TTTCTATTATACCTGTATGGATTGTTATTAAAATACAATAACAAAAAAGCATATACACTTATATATGTACTGTATGCATTTTAACATGTAGAAATAAAGGGTAAAAAAAAGTATTAAGTGTAAATGACGTAATCGATCATTTTACAACTGTCGTTCACTTTACCCTAGCAATATTTATTTTATGTGAGACTATACAACTATTTATAATCTTCAAAAGAATGCATAAATTTTATCGTTTTGACCTACATTTAGTGTACCTGTTTAGTCTTTATTTCAAATTTTTAAGAAATATTCAGCTCACCATTCAATACTGTTATTGGTTGAGGGGAAAGGGAGAGAGAGAGAGAGAGAGAGAGAGAATAAAGGGGATATAATATCATCAACTTTCTTGGTTAGATTGTAATATTTTTGATAAATCTATTTATAGATTATACCAAAAAAAAAGTTAATCAACTTAGGAAACTTTTTTTTTGCTATTGCGTAAATGACATATAATACTAATTGATAGGTTTCTGCAGAATAACTGTGTATAGTATTCTATACAATACCCCATAGAGATAGGAAATCATATCCGGTAACATATTATTTTTTTGTTGAAAGCGTCAATTTTTTCTTTACCACCCTATTTTTTTATCTGCCATCATACCAGTCTTTTATACTCTTTATGATCTCCCGCTATACTGGCACGTTTATCTACAATTTTTACTTTTTCTTCGCCCTTTTTACCTCAATTACTATTGTATACCGTTACCATTTTATCTTAACCTTATACAGCTACTCTAAATTTGTCATCAAGCCTAATATTGTTACTTTAGATGATATCTATACTAATTTTCTTCGGCTTAGTAATTCAATTTGTATTCACCCTTTCCGACTTATAGGCCTAGTAAATTTAGACGTTGAACGAACAAAGTTATTTACAGTGACCGCGTGTCGATTTGAGCTACTGAAGCGTGAAACTACGGGGCCGACCAGCGTATAATTAATAAGTATTCGAGAACACTAACCTTATCCCTACTTATTCTCTACATTCGGCTCTAATGGATGTAATTTTTAAATGTTATTGGGGTGTTCGCAAGATTTTGTTTGTTTTCTTGCAAAGGATAAGTAAAGTTCCCTTTGAGAAAATGACAAGGTAGGGCTTTATGGGAATTTTTGCGAGAAACGATTTTAAAGCGTTCAATTTTTTGAATGCCCTTTAATGGTGTGTAATCTATGTTGAAAGTACGTAATACAACCGTGTATAAAGTGGTTTGAAGAGAATGACCCCTTTTCCGTATTGCACTTACGTGTAGGGAGGGAGATTGGACGAGGAAAGATCTAAGGGATTACGTAACACCTTTCAACAGCCATTTTCCGCGGGGCTTGTTTATTATGCTTGCTTCGTTCTCGTACTACGCAATTATTCATAACCGTCTCTACTAATTGCAAAAATCGATGGAAAGTACAGAACGATGAAACAGCTGCGCTTGCCCCCTCTGCCCTTTTTACATTCGATTCGCCCCTTTTTCTCACTCTCTAAACCGCCCCCTGGAAGTGCATGCGTATAAATGACGAAAAATAATTTTAACCCAACAGATGTGAAAAGTGCGAAAAAATTTGATTGTTTCTCAAGCATGCAGTGTAAAATGTTCTTTTTGAAGCTACTTATTAAATTATTTTCCCTCACTCGCCCTTGTTTGTCCTCCCTGATTCTAGCGGCGGTCAAGCGGATTTTATATGCAAATTATAGCCTTTAGGGAGTCGATTGGGTACAGAGTCTATTCGTATTCTCACAAAAGACCGTATAACGATTAGTTTGATTTAGTAAACACGTTTGCTTTAGTTGTTTGCCTACAATCAATGCGGTTACTTTGTGTACAGTGTACAGCAATATACTCCTTTTTAACATTAAAAAAACTACCTTTTAAGAAGGAAAAAACTATTTATTTGCTTTTAAAAAGGAGAGAAAAACGGTTAATATTTCATTGTAAATTTTCTTTGAAAGTTGGTATCATACTGTATATATATGTATATATGCAAGTTGAAAATCATCCATTTGCCAAGGACATTCGTTTATATGCAGTTTAAGCAGTTGTCATTATTATTTTACCATTTTCTATAACATGAATTAAAATTAGCAATCAGCTTATTCTTCGTATAACAAGAAGAATTTTTCTTAGTAATCTCTTTCTTTTTACCTATACAAATAATACTTTTACTATTTGAAAAGAATAAATTGAATGGTAGAAACGGTATTGTCTTATTAAGTTGTTTATCATATAACACTACCCTAAACCAACGACTTACTATAACAATGAATTATACGGGCTTTGTCTGTGACTTTGAAACAATTTTAAGCAGTATCATTTATCATTTTATAGCCTTTTATAGAAATTATATGACAAAAAGCGTATAAATTATATTTTGCGGTTTTTATGTTTCTCTTTTTAACCGAAATTAATGTTATAGGGGTCTTTAAATTGCATTTTTTTTAAAAAAGCGGGATGTATAGATTTGATCATACTCCCCTACTCATTTATTAGTTAAAATTCAAGCATTTGAAAGAGAAAGAGTGCATAGCATAAGGATTAAGTGTATTTACTTTATTTTGCTTGTATTTTAAATAGCATATAGAATTGGTTCTAGCCAGTTTCTTTTGACAAAAGCCCTTCTTTTTTCTGTATATATAGATTTTTCATTCATGATATGTATAAGATATATATATATAAATTATCAAGTTTTGTATTACGTAATACAATAATAATAAGATTTAATAAAGAAATGCGATACGAATCATAAATAAGATAAGAAACATTTCTTACAAAGGATTTCTTGTTTTTTAATGTCTTTCCATTTCTGGGCGGTTTCCCAGTGTTTTTAGTTATACCAGTTTAAAAAGGGCAAACAGCTTTAGATAACGCTTATGATGTGTTTACCTAAGGTGTTTGCCTGCAAACAAAGTTGTTGCTGTTGGCTATAAAGGCCTATTTCAGCATTATTATGACGTTATTTACAAGGGAGAAAGCTCTTCTTTTCCCCCTTCCTATTTCCTTCTTTCCGTCCTTCCATAAAAGTTTATATACTCTACAAAGGTTCCCCTTTTTGTAGAACATAGAATTTCTATCATTTTTATATAAAAAACTGTGAAAACAGAGATGTTAATAAGTAGAAAGTACATATATACGTCAATGTTATAAATGCAATATTATTTGATTTAAAACTTTTACCTATCTGTTAATTAAATCAGGAAGTTTATGAATGTTAGCTTACCTTTCAAACAGTAAAAGAAAACATGTTTTCTTTTCATGGAATTGGCTTTGCTTCTTATTACTTTACAATCTTTAAGCGATATTCTTTTTCTTTCTTTCTTTCTTTGTTCTTTCCTTGTGTTCAATATTCTAAATAGACCTTTCTTCTTAATTATTATACTTTTCAACGCTTTTAAATGGAAAAGTATGAAGGATGTAGAAAGATGATAAGAGAAAAAAACTTTATAGCCTAAGTGCTTTTAGTTGTTTGTCTTTAACATATATTAACTGGTTTTTTTTTCCTTTGATAAATTATTTTTTAACGCCTAGGCCTAGAGGAAGTCTGTCTGTTTATCTCCCTCTCTCTCTCCTCCTAAATTTTCTTTAGGTAGGGGGAAGAGAGAGAACTAAAGATATAGTCTGAAAAATTTTTTTTTACTCGAGAATATTGAAAACCGATACATAAGTCATCCGTATATAATCCATTTTCCTGTACAGTGAATTGTATTACAAACGTTGTAGCTATTAGTTTATAAGGTTTACTTTTTATTATTCTACATTACTTCTTCGCCCAGATGGGAGATCATATGTAATAATTTTTAATATTTCTAATAGGCAATTTAAGTATGAGTAATTCATATTAACCTTTTTAACAGACATTCTTTTATTAATTCCCAGTAGTGATATCACCCCAACTCTTGATTATTCACAATGCATATTGCATATTCTCAATGAGAAATAAGAGTAAGTTAATTATTGGTGAATCATCACTATAGTTTTATTAGTCATAATAGGATTATTTATACTTATTTTCATGTCTATTAGAAGCGTTAAGGTTGGATAAAAAAAGGGAGTAGAGTCGTCAATTCTCTTCCACCCTGTTTTATTTTTATTACGAAATATCTTTAGGCTTTCCTCGAAAATTTCCCACGAAGAGATTGTAAAATGATTGGTTTACTTTACCAGTTTGTCTGCCAACAAAAACGGACTGATGCTTTTGATTTATAGGCCTTAGCATTTTCTATCGTGTTTCCAGTTGATTTCGCCTAACAAACAGTGATCCTTTTATTATTAATAATCCGTCTTTTTTCTATAAATCCGCTTTATATTTGCAGAGAGGGCTTTTGTAACGTGCCAGTATAAATATAACTGTTTCTTTGTCTATATGTATAAAATAGGAAGGAAATTGTATTAAAAGGTCGACTTTAGGGTTATTTATAATCAAAATAAGGTAAAAATATTCTCCATAGGCCAAAAACATAAATAAGAGAAAAAATAGAAAGAGTTAAGAAAAGAAAGAAGAGAGAGGAAGAGAGAGAGAAAGTATAGGAATTTTATTTATTTTACTAAACTAGTTAGTATCAGACGTAGAATAAGAACTCAATAAACTAAAAAAAATGTTTGTTTGAACTTGATTTAGTACTCAATAAAATAGAAGTAATTATAATTAGAGGAAACGTTACTTTTCTCCATCATCAGAGCTTACAGTAAATACTTTACTACACACCCAAATGAAATTTGTGCTCGTCTATCAATAAAGTAATTTATCTTACCCTAAATTCCACTTCTTATCACCAACAAGTATTTGGATTGGAAACTAATTGAAAAACATAGTAAAAAAAAGAAAAACCTATGTAATAGGCCTTATTTGATAATAACATGTTGTTATATGAAATATTGTTGATTAGACGCTTAAAAAACGCTCCTTTTTATATATTATAAACAATTATTCTTTTGCCCAAATATATATATTTCTTATATTTCTTACAGACATTATTCTTGCAACTTTTGAAGAATCAAAAGACCGTTTAAAGAAGAGCTTACACAAGGTTTTCAACATTCCTAAATCGTCGGATGCTGTTGTTAATAAGTTCTACTCGAATATTAATGAATATTCAAAACCAAAATTTACTGTTAACACGGAAGAATTGTTTTCCGACCTGTTTGTTCTTGTTCTGCAGAATGTAATGAATTTGGAAAAATTTGAACACAAATTTTCCAACTGCGTAAGAAATATAAGAACAGTTCAGGGTAAACCTTTTCGCCCTTATGGTCGGTTAGATAAAGAAGCTTCGTCAACGATGCACAGGAGTTTGGCAACTTTACAAAGTGTTCGAAAAGTTATGACTAAGTTAAATGAATATTATGATCTATTACGCTCTGCTCCTGAAAAACTTGAATACTGTAAGAAGGGTATGACTCAAGTTCGCTACTGCGCTAGATGCCACGATATAGAAAAGAGACCTTGTCTAAACGCTTGTTTAACTATGGCTCGTAACTGCTTAAATCCTAGCGAAAAGTATAAAAAAGTATATCCAAAAGGATTGGAAGCATTACGACTTTTCACGACTAAAGCAGGATTAATTCAAGCAAGCATAGTAGAATTTGATAAGAAAGTTGGCGATGCTATACTGAATGTAATGGACTCTTCTAGCAAGTTGTACGTGACAGTAAGTACCATTTTTCCCCATCACCTAGATAGGTAATTCATAAATGCTGCTAGCTCCTTTTAGGGTTAATAAACAAAGGGAAAAAGGAAAAAAGTTAATTTACCACAACATATATGTATTATTCATAAAATGCATATTGTGTTAAGTGAAAAAATTAGGCCTATAACTGTCAACCCGAAAAAAATAATGCATACGTCCCAAAATATTTACTTAAAAAGCACTTTTAGCAGGGAATTCGATTTATAGAGACGTAATTTAGTTAATGACCCTAAAGCCGCCATATCAACAATAAGGATAATCTTATATGGATTTTCCCCCTCGCAAACTGCTCCCTCCCCCTCCCTTTATTCCTCTTCGTTCACTCTCTCTTTCTCTTATTGTCCAAGTTCTATTTATTCAACTTATTATATATAAAATTCTATAATAATTGCTTTATAGTTCATCGCCTTATTAAGTTTTCCATATATTCTGAATTATTGATGAAAATATAATAGTTCCAATGTCAAATCTATATAGGGAAAAAAACATTGTTTAATTAAGATACATTAGATAATCCGGAACTTGGAATTTTTTTTCTTTCTTAATCAGACACAATTTTCCTAATGAGGTTAATTCCGGATAAGAGCCGGTTGATTTCATGTCAACAAAAGGCTTAACTTTACCCATATAGAAATATTATTAGATTTTTACGTTAAATGATATATTATACGAGCTTAAACTAAGCCGTTTCGCTATTTATGTAATTATTATTTAGATAATCCCCTAAATTGTATCATAATACTCTGTCTACAACTCCTCCTCTCATTTTTCCCACGTACTTTCATTTTACTTGTGTATATCTTCTTAATTTTCCACTTGAAATATACTATATACATATAGTCTTTTTAGTCTTAATTTAATAAGGAAACGAGTAGTTTCTAGATAACCAACAGATAACAACCGTAAGTAGAAAAGGGATTATTCAAATAAATAAATATATTTATATAAGATTATTATAGACAAGAGCATATGTATAATAATAAAATGATATATACCGGACGTTAAATGATAGCGAAGAAGAGTGATAGATTAAAGTTTTTGCTCGTTTTTTTAACATAAAAAAGTATACGATAGGCAACTTTGTGTAAAAAGAAATACATATACACTATATGTATAGGCCTTCAATTTAGGAGAAAAAAGGGGGAGAATTTTGCAAAAAAATTGTATACTTATGCAATCCCTAGAAGAAATAAGCTTGTATGAAATGGGAGAAATTTAAACTTTAGTTAAATAAAAATGTTTTATTAGGCCTTTACATAGCCGAAATATTTTAAACATATTAAGCCTACGTAAACTCTATGACTTGTAACAAAGTCGTAATAACGTAGTTCATTGTTATACGCTTAAATTAACATATTAGGAGCAGGAGAATTCCTTTTATGAGAGCGTAAAAGAAAAAAAATGGCAAAGGGAGAGAGAGAGCGGGGGGTTGTTATTGGGTTAAAATAAGTTTATACCCTCTCTTTAAACTTTTTGAGATAATGGACAGGAATTAGGCGTTAGAAGGGAAGGATAGAATATCGACCAGGCCTGGGGGAAAGAACTATATAAATTCACTTAATTAATCATCAATTTGCTGCGCCTTTAATCCTCGTACCCATCGGATAATCATGTAGAACTCTCGCTGGCACGCCCTTAGGGCATCCAACGCTTGCAAATTGGTGCCTGATTGCAACGTTATTGGGCCAATAATCGAGCATTTGTCCCTTCCCATTCCTCCCTTTGATCTTACCCGACTATGAGACATTTACGTCAATTTCAACATGCAATTTTCCCACCTTTTTGGAAGCTAGGAATTTTTATTAGTGAAATAGTTATACTCTAAATTATTTTCTCTATTTCATTCTTTCCTATTTACAGAGCTTGTTTTACTTTTCCTTTTTCTATTATTTATAGCCGAAAATTGTTATGACTTGGGTTTTAGAGATACCAGTATTCGATTGCCTAAATATTTACAAATTGTAAAGCAACTAACTTTTCCAGTAGGGTACTTAATCTTGATTAAAAATTTTGTACGCCTATTAGAATTTGTCAGAGTCAATGTAGACTTAATTAATTAACCTCTCCTTTTTATCAAGTTTAAAGTAAATTACACATTCAATTTTCCATTCCCTTTGATAAGCTAATGCAAAATTCTTTCTAACCGTTTTAGTATAAATAGCTGTTATCTTGAACAAAAAAAATAGATTGAATTCTTTTAGTATTGTATAATTTGAACCTAGCTGATCATTTCCTGTTCATTGAGGCGTCCAACTGACTTAATTATATAACTGTTTAATTATATCCTACCCGTCCTATGAACCCTAAATTATCCTTCGGAAATAGCTTATCGAGTACAATATATGGATTTCTTCTTTGTATATATCCATTTTACCATATTTAACAAGGTGTCTTCTTTTATAAGTAATTAGGTTATTATTCTAAAAGTGGGCTAGACGTAGTGTAAGATGAGGGTGAGGGCAAGGGCGACAGGGGGGAGGGGAAGACATGGTAAAAAGATATTGTCTAGTCAATGAAAGGCTTTAGGGGTAAATCAATGCCATAGAACGTTTCGTAATCCATGTAGAAATTCCGGGTAGCTAACTGAGCGACTAATTAATTAACGGGCCATTAATTTTTTTCGCTTACCAGATCAAAAGAGAATGTGGAGCGTCAAAGGCAAAAGAAAAATCGAAGATTAAATCAGATTTAAACCAAACTGATGTTGTTGTTAGATCTGCACCTCAATTAAAAATATTCTTCAAAGATGCTTTACGCAGAATTAAAGCAGATTCAGACAAAACTAGCAACCTTCCTGAAGCTATTTGTAGGAGCTACGATGCTGTTTCTACTGGTCATTGCTGGGATGGAAGAAAAGTATCAAAGTAAGTTAATTATTTACTTCATGCTTGTTGGTTTATATCTATTTTAATTCTTATCATTTAATTATGTATCGATTTTTCTCGGACCAATTCTTGCTTTGAACTTACCGCTACGCAATTATCTTAATGAGTATGCGTTTGGTATAAATGAGTGCAATTTTGGTGAACGAGGGAATAATGGTACTGAAAGCCAATAGTTACACCTGAGTACGGGAAATGGGATTCTTTAGCGTCTCTTTCATCTTTTGAGTTTAAAAGAGAGGTTATAGGTCGCCGACTAGGCAATAGACGAAATTTTGTTTTATACTCCCAACTTGAGTCCTCGTACTCCATTAAAAAGAAAAGTAAAAATTTACTTAATATCTACCAAAGTATTATTCAAAATTTAACTTCAGAAGGCGCTATCTATCAAATAACAGCACAGTATTTGTAAATATTGTATAATAATATAAGAACAAAACTTGTACGAAATCCTACTACTATCCCTTTATCCTTTCATTCTCCTTTTACTATCTTTTTATGACTAAACAATTGTTTGTGAATGATAGTTGTATATTTTCTACTATTTCTGTTAGAGTTGTCCAGAAATTTCCGGTACGGTAGGGAATAAAGCCGATATACAAATAGCACATACTTTCTTTTATTATTCATTTAACAAAAATGAAACTTTTCATTTTTTATTCAAACAATAAGAGATATAGAAGAATAAGCTGTATACAGTATATATATAATATACTAACATATTAATAGTTTACTAATAGATTATACTGTATAGAAAAGTATTTTAATGAAATCCTCAACCTTTTCCTCTTTCTTTTTATAACCTTACCTTGTTTCTCCTTTCTTGCTTTTACATTAATATTTCTATACGTCTGCCCCGCCTTCTTCATACTTCACCTCTTTCCGTCGCCTTATCTTAACCTTTTAGTTTTTCTCTTCGTCTCTCACTATATTGAGTCGGCCAGCTCTTCTCTACCAATCCCTATCCCTTTATTTCAAGCCCCAGCTTTGTCTTGTATTTTATAGCGTGACTTTCCTATTCTACATTTCTTTACATCCTATATCTTTTTTCGTTAGTAATAGTATTAGAGGTCAAGAGTTTCCTTTTATTTTATAATAATGTAGCTTCTCACTCGAGTTTTATTTTTTATTATCAAAATCATGCTATTTGTTTTTTGCACCTGAAAAAAAAAAAAGAATATAGAAAAAGTGTTATCTTCTCTCTATTTGACGAATAATCTTTAAATCACTTTGATATAGGAATTTTTTTCAGGCGATAAGATAAGGAAAGAGTTTTTCACACTTATTCATCTTTTATTTCAATTTATTGTATTATTTATTTTTTGCCGACTAAGTTATTTATATGAAAAAAAAACAATTAGGAAAATGTTAGCGTTAGCTATTTCAATATGACTCTTAGTAAGCGGTTATACGCCTAATGGAGTCCCAGTTGGCTATCTCTAATTAAAAACACCGAAAAAATAAATTCGGTTGTTAACTTTGCGGGAGGGAGGAGAAGAAAGGCCGATTTACGGTTTTTATACTACTAAATTGACTGACTACACTCGAAATATAGAAATGCAAACACTCGCCCTCATTTTCAATCCTCCAATGAGTCACTAAAAGCGACTGCAAAGACACGCCCAACTGCAATGTGTCAAATTTCGACTAAAGGAAGTCGACGGTGGCGTCTGCATTTCAGTTGTCTTGGTAACGTCGTACAATTCGTTGGACGCCCACAAGTTTTTCGCTATGCGTCACTTGAATAGGAACTAATCGTTAGGAGTTGTAGAATGGAAGTATAGAAAGGTGTAGGCGTAGGTAAGAAAAAAGAAACTGTGGTATTTGAGTAAAACTAGGTGTGAAAAGTCAAAGGCGAGAATAAAGAGAACAGTTATTTTTTATTATTGTTTGGAAAAGAATAGGGGAAAGGTGGTGGAAAAGGGGAAAGAGAAGAGAGAGAGGGGGAAAGAGGAAAAATCGATCTACCACAGAGATTGAACGCAGTCGAAAGTCTTGACCTTTTTGTCGTTTTCGAACGGACCGTGACACTTTTGTGTAAGTTGTATTTAGGTAGTAAATTTACTTTTCTCTATGGAACAGAAAGAGAAAAGTAGAAATAGGGGTCAAATCGTGAGAAATAGGAGAATATAAGCGTTATTTTAGCTCATATAATATTATATTAATTACCTGTTTGTTTAGACACCGAATATTATTTTCCATTAAAGCTATTCACTTGAAATCTATTTTAAATAGTGGCTCTAACTCGATTAAATACTCTCAGTAGGTCTAATATCAATATTATGTAAGACTATTAATAAATCCTGTCCGCATATGTATACATATATTTTCTATATTTACCATTTTAATTTATTAAATTAAAAAGAAAAGGAAATAGAAATAAAAGTTAATTCAATTATGATTCTTGGAAAATTTTAGTTGAAAATTAATGAAGAGAAGAAAAGAGAAATAGTTGATCTTTACTTTCACACTTTGTAACCATCTGTATGAAAAATAATAGGCCGGTCGACCTATGAGGAATGCAATGGTCTGGTGGCCCCTAAGTGGTTTCGTAGGGAATATTTTGTCAAAATAGCAAAATCTGTTTCCGATTTGGAGTGGGTGAGAAGACGATACTCTTCGCTATACGGTTTTAATTATAGAACTGTAAAGATTCTAAAGAATAAAGGAAATAATAAGAAAGTTAGGAAATAGATGTTTATCGGATACAATATAAAAGACGGAAAGAAACATGGTTATTTGTCTTCATCCTCTAACTTTATCAACGTTCGAACAGTCAACACCTGTTTTGAATAGATAACGGGGATATTGCGCAATCTTAAACAAACACAACGCCCCTCTTCTGTTTATCTTTAAAAAAAGTAAAAGAAGATATAGGAGGTGGAGAAGATGATATATAGATAACATAAAAACTTACGAAATCCTTAATGATCTATCACATACTCTTCCCACCCCTTCACCCCTCCCCTCCCCTTTACTTACACCTACTTCGCACATTTTGCTTTCTTAGTACTTCGCGTGTTCTGAAAAAGTGCCTGGGGATTTAAAATCTTTTTGATATTTCTCTTTAGGTGGTTGATTATAAAATTGTAAGATTGATTTGAAGGTATATGAACTGGAAGTAAGGGTTAAAAGAAAGGTGGAAGAGTAAGATAGAAAGAGAAAGAAAGCAATGGTGAAAAAGAAAATGGCGATAGAGGAGAGAAAAATACTGCTTTAGGCAATGAGTATCTGGGGGAACATGGCATAAAAGCGATTTCGCTATTTTGCTTATGTCACTATATGTTTCCTCTAAAAATATTTTCTAGCTAGTATTAGTATAAAAGATATTTATATCCGTTTTCATCTAAAATATTCCCTGGGTTTTACACTACAAAAGTTCCATTTTTCGTCAATGAATAGAGCATACTTTTATATACAGTATGTTAATGAGGAAACTGTAAACATTTAGTTAAATTCTTAACTTTAAAAAGAAAAAAGGGAGAAAAGGGAGGCAGTAAGGCGATAGTTTTAGATATTTATCTTGTCACGTGTCGTCTTCTAGCTATCTATAACATCGGTGTGCAACACAAAAAGGAAATCTCTTTTTTATGAAATATACGGGTCTAATTTATTATCAATTAGGTTGTTGACTGGTGAAATAGATCTTTTGTCCCTTCTAAGCATTTGGTAATATTTCAGTCCTTCTGAACAAAATATAATGACCCTGAAAACAGAGATGGAATAACGATAGTGATAAACGATTCTAAATCGGTGCAGATTTTAATCTGAACGACCTAACCGACAGGTGGCGTAAATGTACGGTTAAATTAAAGGGAGAGAAAGAGAGAGAGAGAGAGAGGGAAAAAGACATATTTTTTTAATATTTACATAAGTCTTTACGGGTAATTATTTGAAGAGAATCCAACGCTAAAACTAATAAAAACCTAAGAACAAGCGGGAAATTAGCAAATAAACTACTATAAGAAGGTCGATAGTAGAGGAATTTTTACATCTGTCTATTGTTTACCTGGGTATTAGGCCTCCAAATATTTCTTTTTATTCTTTAATAAGAAAACTAAAGTTTATACCCACCGCCGAAATTTTCCTCCTCGTTAGTTAAAGACGTAATGATGAATATACAGATTTACTTATGATTAAACTAAACAAAAATGAGAGAAAAAATGTCTATAAAGTACTTATTTGTATATATTTTTAACTTTTTCTATTCTTCAATTTTTTGTTATCCCGCAGAGAAGGTTCTTTTAATTTTAAGCCGTCTTCTAACGTCTACCACACCCCCTCTCTCTTTTTTTTTTCTTCAATGTAAGTTCACTTCATCCACCTTCCTCTTGTTTCCTCTTTGAAAATTGATTTACATAGTAAATAATTCACGTACACCTGCTCAAATTTCAACGTTTTTCAGGTATATAAATATAGATATGTTTTATGGCAATTTAAAATTATGCTATATATCTATATATATATTAATATACAGTTTACGATCTTGTAATAGAAGAGAAATGAGAGAAAAGATTTACATTATAAGGAATAAGAAATAGAATAGCAAAATGATGTTTGAAAAGAAATTCATAATAAGGGATAATGAATAGTGAACGGCTAAGAAAAAGTTAGATAGACAGTAAGAAAGATACAGAAGTGTCATTAAAAACGGCTTTTGTTGCTTTCTATCATTTCTATCCCATGCGATTACGCAACAGAAACTCGGTACAGAAAAGACAATTCCAAGCCCGAAATTGGGGTAAATTACTTATTACGTAATAGCCGGAATTCTCTTTGAAACTATTCATCAATTGTAGAATTTTTTTACATATATGAAGGAAGGGAGTAATCCTTGTGGAATAGGGTATTTTTCAATAAGAATGTAAGATTTTGCTTTTTCCTTTTAGAGTCTTAGATTTCTTATGACTTTATATATACATAAAGTTCTTTTCCCGCCTGATTTTTATCTATTGTTTATTCAAGAACACGCTGCTTAGACAAATAATTTCACTCCGTAGTTGGCCACTCTAAGTTAGTTTTTCTTTCTTTTTTTAGCATTTATACCAAAATGAGACTCACTCCTGAATTATTTAGTAGATTTTCCGCTAAATTTGACTAAATTATAGTAAAATGAACTATTGTAGTTCGAGTTTGTTACATTGGTAACTAAATTTACTTATAAATAGATAGTAAATGCTAAAAATAGTGCTATACAGCCCTAATGACATATACTTTGTGTAGTAACCGTACAATATATACTGTATAAGGTAAAGATTATCTTTTTGGGGGATTTGTACGCATGCGTGTCGTAGGGGTAATAGACACTTCTTCGAGTAACCTAGTAGCACGACCTTTGGGTGCTAGTTCTTATTATGTTTATTAGCAAAGATTATCACTATATATTTATGATAAAATTCCCTGCTAATTTCCTCCAAGAAGTTCTTCTTGACCTTTTTAACCGGATGAATATCTAGAGCCCAATTAGCTATCCCCTTTCTTCTTATTACTGTTCCATTCTCATTTCTTTTTAAAATTGTTATGTATACGATCTATCATTTTTCCTTATTTACTTTTCTAGTAAATGATTGATGCTTAAGGCATAATTTCATACTATAAGCTAAAATTTTTGCCGGATAAAACTAAATGTCACGCAGGTGACGCGTTGTCATGGCAAAACTTGTACAGAAAGAATGACTAATTATAAAGAGGCTAATTATTTTGCGTGCCTGCTTTTGGCAGTTTGACGAGTTGGAATAATAGGCCTCTTGGGCTTCCTTATCTCAAAGTTTAGGAAGATAGAAGATGCGCGAATCGTCACGAATGACCGATATTTTAAAGGTGTTTCAAATGATTTGTGCCGTTATCTCGTTAAAAACGACTAAAGAGGAAATGGAAGGAATTTTCCAGCGGAGATTTCTTGCTTTTTTAGTATTCTGTCAAAAGATAAGGAAAAGAGTCAAAGTGCAAACACTTGACGGAAATTGTTTGCAAATATTATTTTTATGAACGAAACGGCACTGATAATGGTATAAAAATAGAGAAAGGCACATTTTCTCTGCTAATTTTAGACGCTTGATATATGAAGCCTTAGAGTGGGCGTCAATGAAATTTACTGTAAACACACACTTTATCATGAATAGCTCACTTTTGGGGCCTCAGAAAATTGTACCAATTCTCTTACTCATTCAATATAAAAGGAACGTTAATGGAGAATATTATTATTATTTATTAAAGAATACCAACCATTTATGTATATCGCCATACAATTCATATTTCTTTTATGTAGTTTACATTTAATTGATTAAAAACGTTTGTGGAGTATTCTTTTATCTTTTCCACCATTGTGCTTAGTTATATAATTACTGCAATAAATTGTCTGTTAATGGATAAAGAGAAGGTAATTTAGTCTCTCTGTTTTTGCGTTTGAAGGAGACGGGGAGCGAGCTAGGGATACAGAGAGAGACAGAGAGATAGAAAGACTAAAAGGGTGAGACAGGGGTAAAGGAAAAGAATGAGTAAGCAAACAGGAGCATAGATACTGAAGAAGAGAAATAATGAGAAAAGAAATCGAGAAAGAAAAATCTCAGGTGACTAATTAGAAAGACAGCAACTTCATCTTTTGCTTTCTATAGGGAAAACCATACCGTCTGCTACAATTAACAAAGAGTCGTAAGGATTAAAGCAGACAAAGTTAATGGTTTGTTTAAGGCCTATTGTTTGCAGTGTACTATTGAAATGCGAGATAGTTGTATATAATGTGTGAGAGAGTAAACGCGCCGTGTGTATTTATGCGTATATGTTAATGTACGTGTTCGCGTGTCTTCCTTCCGTTTCTTATTAAGTTTCTAAAGATCGAACTTCAAGCCCTGCAGAAAAATAGGGAGAGGAAAGTGACATATTTAATTATTGTAAATGAAGCATATATTTATTAAATAAGAAATTTAGAGACGGATTTTAGGCCTAATTAGGATTTGTCATGTGACGCTTTTACCTAGCTTATTTGTTTTATTTATAGTATTGTTAGAGAGATGATAAAGGTAATCTCAAAGCAATGAGCTATACCGATAATGACATCAGTACATACAGCATACGAAAAGAAAGAGAATCGCAAAGTTTCGAGAGAGTTTAGCGTTCATTCCTGTTCTTGGCAGTTTGTCATAATGACGCCGCGGCGCGTCTAGCCTTCTAATTTTCGCTCGAGTATTACGTATTGCACATTCGAGTGCCATTGTGAGAGATTTCGTTATCCCGTGTTTTTTGTCGTTTCTTCCTAACAAAGTACACGGAAGAGAATTACCAGCCTTTACAAAATTTTCTCACATTATGTAGATTTTCCGTGTATTTTATAGTACAACAGAATTTGTTTATCTTTATCATTTTGAGTTTGAGATTAATACCAGAGGCGCTTTTCTGTTTGTCGAACGTTCCAACGCTAAACGATGCAAACGGAGCCGAGTTAATCCAGTGGAAAATCCCTTAACTAAATATCGAAACTGGCGTATTAATCCTACGCACGTTCGTTGGATTTCCTCGTCTCTCTTTGTTGTCACGATGTTGTCGCTTTGAATGACAATCAAAAACAAACGACTATCGATTTATCACGTTTCGCCCAATTCGCTTCTAATCTTTACTCATTTTTTTAATACAATTTTCTGATTAATAACAGGCTTTTTTTGCTTTTCCTTTCCCTAATCCGAAACTTTAACCTATGTATTTTTCTCTCTTTCATTAACTTTTCCTTTGAAAGCTATCGATTTATAGCTCATTTTCGTTTGAACACTATTAAAACTTGTTAACTTTGAAAGGTCTTTTTTTTCACTATTTTCTTTTTCTTAACTCTTTCTTCTGCTCAATAGAGCGAATGTTACATTGAAAACACTTCGAGTGATACAAATGCGAATAAAGAATAAGGAAAAAGTTCTGTGAAATGTAAAATTGGTAGGATCGTACTTGTTTTTTTTAGTCGTATTATTGAGATATAAAGCGTTATACAATTGCTTATAATATAAAACTATTAAAAATTATATATAGAAATATCTTCTTGGAAATTTCCACTACAGAAGCGTTACAGCTCCTTAGTCATTTCTATTTTTTAAGTTGAACTTTTAAACTTTTAATATCTAAATATGGAATAAAAATTCGTTTTTGTTATCAATATGTCATTTTCAGTCATTCACCATTCTTTCTACTCTATTTATCCTCTTAACCCTGGCCTCTGTACCCTTATTTTATTTTAGTTTTAAACAGAGAACTACTTAAATTTCTTATAGGTGGCGTTAGCAATCAGTAAAAAAAAAAAGCAAGAATAGGCTTCCAATGATACTTGATAAAACTATATTCATTAAACAATATTCATTTAATATATTCTCTTTAAAAGGAAAAATGGAATTGGTTTGAAATTGCAAAATGGAGAAGATCATCTTGAACAATTCACGATTGATAAGAAATTAAGAATCACCAATAAGATCATCAGAGTAAGGAAATCCTCTTTAATACAATAACTAATATATATATACTGTATATATATAGAAGAAATATCTATATATTTTTTTATTGCTTTTTCAGTCGGCCATGCAACATCTGGGTAATCTTCCCACATCTTATCAAAGAGACGATTATAGGAGTAACAATTTCGATTCAAGCGGTTATGACTTTTCTGGAGGCTATTATAGCGACGACGAAGATGAGCAATTCTATTCTGGCGATCATAACAGTCAGCATGACTTATTTTTTCGCGAAAATAGGAATGGCAACGACTATTATAAAGAGCATGGTACGCATGGCTTTTGCCTTTATTTTTGGTCAAGTCTTTTAAATATATACAGTATTAATTCCCTTAAAGTTATATAGTATCTTCTTAAAAATGATACTGTATATATAAACTTGCATAAATATTGTCAAAGCTTCTCTTTTGCTATTGATAATTTTATAATTATTTTTGTATTGTTCTATCTCTATCTCTCTTCTCTCTATAAAACATAGATATGCATATACTGTATGTATATACAGTAAATATGTTTTATACATGAAAAAAATAGAACAAAAAGGCTGCTTAAAACCGAAAGATATAAGTAATACGAAATATAAATATATACACATTTATGTTGTATATATTCAAATTAGCATATATAATATATATTATAGTATTTTAACTATCTGAATATTCAAATACGCTTGAACAGTTCAATTTTAAGCATTTTTATTAACAAATAATATTACGCTTTAGCATAATAGGATATAATTTTTATATTATAATGTTAAAACGATAACAGATACAGCAGGAAGTGGATATTCAAATATTAATAGTGATTATTATGAAGGTAACACGAAAAACATAACACCACTAAAATGTTACTCTTGTATAAAGTATAAATATATAGTATAACTCATATTCTTGCTTAATTAAGAAGTTTCGAAATGTTTGCTCTTATAACAAAAAGGAATTCTTTGTAAGAAATTTTATACGGTATTCCTTTGAAACTTAAGATAAACAATGGGTAAGACTTATTAGATGGCAGCACAGTAGGAATCTTAAATTTTTAATTGTGTAGAAAATAAAGCAAAGTATACAATTGTCTATTACTACTGTTGACTATATACTTTATATTGAAAGATATACTGTATATAGTATATGTGGTGTTTCTAGAAAGTAATGAGTATTTAATTATTATTTCAATATCCTTAATCCATCTTGAACTATCGATTTTAGATTAACGTCTTCCTGATATCTATATATTGTGAATATTTAATGGAAGTAGAATTGACAAACTAAAAATAATCAAGTTTTTAATTAATCACAAAAAATAGTTAATTAATAATAGAAAATGATAAATTTAGATAAAAAATAATGAAATAATGGACAATTCCTTTTACGAAACCAAGCATTTAGTTTTAATTCATCAATTTAAAAAGTCAAAGTAGTATTAAAAAGATAAAGAATAACTGCAAGCCATAAATTCGCTCATGCTGTTTGAACATACTAAATGATTATACTTGTTTAGCTTCAATTCATTCTTTTTTAATATGTATAATTTTATATTAAAATTTAAATACTTAATCAATGAAAAACAGATACTGACAGAAAAGGATTTTTAACATCCGAAACTAGTTTGTCTACAGGTATAAAAAGGTGTATAAAAACCAAAAATCAAAAGAACTTATATTAAAAGAGACAGTAGATGGCACCAAAATACGATTAGGATAAAACAGATAATAAATATCCTTAATAAATTATTAACATTAAAGAGAGAAGATTAAATATTTAATAATGAAAAGTTTAACGACATAGCACTTAACATTTTTTTCCATTCCTATACAGATGCCAACTATAATCATCTTGACAAGCACAAGCCTCACCATAAAGATAGTGAGAATGAATCTAAGAGACCTTCAAGTGATGAATTCTATTCACTAGGTGGAAATGGATCGAATGGTTTATTACATTCAAAGGCTACGCTTTGTCTTACCTTTATTTGCTTTTTATTAAACATAATTCGTAATTTATAGTTAAGTTCTCCTTTATATTTCTATACTATTAATATATATATATATATATATCTATATATATATATATATATATATATATATATATATATATATATATATATATTAGTGTATATGTATTGGTTTGGAATTATTTCATAAATTGAAGTGATTCTTTCATATGGTTTTTATGAAAAACTCGAAAGACATTGAAATATATGGGAAATTATAAATATACATATAGTTATATATTCCTTTGTTATTCTTTTAAAATATCTATATATTTGAATAAATATAGATATTTTATAATAAGAAAAGAGAAAAAAGAATGAAAACATTAATGATATCTTTATTTTGTACTTATTAAATGAAAATATTATCATAGTAGAATCATTTTATCTCTGTTGTTGATTAAGATCTATTGATTTTTCTTTCTTTTTCTTGATGATTTTATTTTGAAGACAAACAATTAATATAACAAAAAAAAAAAAAACAATATGTATATGCATCATAGAAACAAATATTGGCGAAGAGAGATTTTATAGCAAGGTGCTGTCTATAAAAGAAACTATATAAATACAGACTATATTATTGTAGATAAGATACTTATATAGTAGAAAAGGAAAGCTATAAAGAAAAAGATAACAATTACTTTATATTTCTAATAATTACAAGATATTTGTGTTTTTTTTTTGATTCTCCAATCCTATTTTGCTTTTTTCTCTTCTCTAAATGTAAAACGTTTTATTGCTATTGTGCTGTCTCTATCGACAAAATTTACTATTGTACATATGATTAAGTATAAGTTTCATGGAAAATATTATCAATATATACAGTATGAAGAAATACATTATATTATTAAGATCTATAATTTTCTCCTATTCAATTAGTTCTATATCTATGAAAATAATTCTAGGTTAAATAAGCTAACTAAATGATTAAAGACGAAAATAGATCGCAAACAAAGAAGAAGCAATGATACTTCTTATACAAACTCATCTGACAAATATTTGTATAAAATTGTTGCTAATTTTCTTATCTTTCAGTTCGTTCATTGATTTTTCTTCTTCGAGTCATCAATTTCAAGTTTTTTCCATTTCTAGCTCAATATCTGAATATAATGTCCTGTTGATGTACCATCTTCTTCCTTCTTTTCTTCTATAACTTCTGTAATAGTTGTGTAGATATGAGATTTTTCAGGTAACTTGGAATATTCCCTCTTTAACATTTCATATACCTATTTTTACGATAGCAAGAACACAGCTTATTTATTGAAATTCCGTTATAAAGGCATACTGACTCTAGTTGGAATAATAGTTTCTTGATTCCGCCTAAGTTTACTTACGGTTCTATATAGCGTCACGGTAAAACCAATATGTATAATAATTATTAAAAATAGTCCTATTGAACACGCAATTATGACATTTCTTGTTGAATCTTGAGAAATAAATTAATATTTAGTTTGCTTAGAGAAACTGAACCTTTTTCTTCTTACTTTGTGAACTGTCAGAATTGATTGAAGATTCAGGTCCTGGAGGTCCTGGAGGCCCGACTTTTCCCTCCTGCCCAATTCGGCCAGGCAGTCCTGGAACTCCCCGTTCTCCAGTAAAGCCAATTGACCCTGTGAAACCAGTTTCTCCTCTTGGTCCAGTTGCTCCTAAATTCGTATATATCTTTCTTTACATCTTCTTGTTTTAATGTTAAACATACTCTACCTCCAGGAGAACCATTATCACCTTTAGAGCCTCTGTCTCCTTTTTGTCCCCTTGGGCCTTGAAATCCAGTTGCACCAGTATATCCATAATGGCCTATAGGACCAGGGGGACCAATGAAACCGGTAGAACCAGTGGGACCACGAGGACCCATTGGACCAATTTTACCAGTAAAACCAGTGGGACCATGAGGACCCGTTGGACCAATTTCACCAGTTACACCAGTAGGACCAGTGGGACCAGGAGAACCCCGTGGACCAATGGGACCAATTTCACCAGTAGAACCAGTGGAACCAGGAGGACCCATTAAACCAGCAACACCCTTGATACCTTTTTGTCCGGGTGAACCAGGAAGACCTTTTCCTCCCGATCTACCAGTATCTCCTAAACACAATGATATGTATATTAAATAAAAGCAATATAAAACAGAAAAGTCTATCTAGCTTACAACTTTTAATTAAATTGAAGTGTTCTTACCTGTATCACCTTTATTCTCTGTTCCAATCAAAAATAACATATTTAATTAGAAAACAATGCTAAATTTATTGTTTTATAACGAAATAATCGTCATTGTTCAATAAATTTTTGCTAAAATAGGTATAGCATAATCTTGCAATATATGTATAGCAAACAGAAAACTGTACGTATTTAAATATAGCATATACTGTGTACAGCATTGTAAAGATAATATGCTTTAGACACGAATTCATCTTTTTGTAAAGATAATGTTGAAAAACTATTTAAAAAGTCACAGTTTGGTCATTCGTTTATTAATTAACTACATTTAAATCAAATTTAGGCCTAAAATATATTAATAGCTAATTTTGAATAAAATATAAAATATTAAGTATAAAAACATACCTTGAGACACGGACATTTTAAAAAATGTTAATTCTGTAATGAAGAATACTTGGATATGAAAACTTTGAAAAATAGCTAATGCTAAAATAATATAATTAGCTATAATATTCATGATTTCCGTATATTGTTTATCACATATGACGAAGCTTTTTGAATGTATACGCTTGCTCTTCTAATGCTGATTTTATTTAACAAAAACAGCTTCATGCAGGAAAAAAAATGATCACAAAGGATCGATATACTTTTACAGGCCAAGCGCAAATAAATAGGTTGAATGGTCTCTTTAAATCACCTAAAATACTTATATTGCACCGAAATTTGAACTTTTTTAAATGTAGTCTGAATATAGTTTAACTTTTTACCTAAGAAATTTTAATATCACTTTAAAAAACGTTAGGTAAAGTAGGAAGTATTATTTATTTCATTATATATAATACAACCTTTGCTTACAAACCTTTTTTCCAACATTCGCTATCTTTTAATCGGATTTTCTAATTATGAATTGCCTTACTCAGACACTACACTTAATCTACTATCCAATTAGCAATCTTATTAACTAGACTTAAGAGAAGAGATTTCATATAAGCTCATAGTGTTTTATGACGTTCGACAGCCATCAATACATAAAGGAAATGCAGTTTCGAATTGCGTTATCATCTTCGCTTATTCTTTCTACAGCTGTTCTTTATGGTAAATACTATCGGTATATGAAAAAAATTGATAATTTGGAAGGAAAGTATGTATTAATTATTGGATGCGATAGTTCAATAGGCTTTACTACCGCGAAAAAATTAACTAACGCCGGTTTTAAAGTCATTGGAACTTGTTTAACGGAAAATGCTGAAAAGACATTACAAGAAGAATTCTCTGGATATAATTTTCATGTTATAAGAGTAGATGTTAACGATATGAATAGTATAACAGATGCTAAGAGAGTTGTTCTCAGCCTCATTGATGATCAATCGGGTATTTAGCTTAACAGAATATATACGTTTATTTCTGTTAATTAATAATACATTTTATATCAGCTTTGTGGGCTATAATAAATAACGTAGGATCGATGGACAAAATTGGACCGTTTGATTGGCTAAAGAAAGACGATTATATAAGATCATTAGATATAAATTTCTATGGTCATTTAAATATTTTGCACACCTTTTTACCATTATTGAAAAAGAGCAAAGGAAGAATAATTACAAACACGACCAGTGAGGTTACTCTTCCACTTCCTCACTTATCTCCTTATTGCACGAGTAAAATGGCTTTAGAAGGCTTGATTATGTCGACAAGGTTCATAGAATAAAACCTCAACATTTCCTAGAAAACCACTTTTTATAATTTATTATAATAACTATGTTTTTTAGGCCTGAATTAGGCGACTTTGGAATACACAGCATTGACATTCAACACGGTTATATAAGAACAAACATGACATTCAATATGCATGAAAAATGGAAAAAGGCATGGAATGAAAGTGATCATATATCAAAAACTGATTATGAATCAAAGCTGCTTTTTCATAAAAGTAAATACTGTTATTATATATTATCTATACACTTATACTGTTGTCTAATTCTATATATTTTGTATAGAATATGAAAATTTGAAGAAATTCTCTCAAACTTCAATGCCATCTTTCCTACTCTCTAGCGATGACGTTGCAAATTGCTATCTTAAAGCAGTTTCCAGAAAGTACCCAAAAAGCGTTTACTACTTGGGATTTTATGGAAAATTAGTCCAATTTTTGCGGATTTTCTCACCTAATAATATAATAAGAAAGAAGTTTGTAAGAATTCTTTCTAATATGGATAATAGCTGAAAATAGACAATTTTACCATTACAAAGTGGAGTTGATAAAGGATTATCTGTCCTTATTATTGATTTTTATTGTACTTAAATATATATCTAAAGTTATTTTTATGACTAATTTATTCTCGTTTCCTTACTTTATTCAATTTAAAAATTATATTATCAGATAAAAATACACTTTTTATTACATAATGTAAAGAGATCATTTAATCTGATTAATTATTATTTACATTCAAATTTTCCATTCAACTCTTTTAATAGAATCATTCACACTCGAAACAATATTATCTTGAATATTAATATACAATATAACTACTTTTTAATACTTTTACACTGTATATAATAAATAAATAATGGTTAATATCATTTTATTCTGAATTAATCACTTAATGAACACTTTCTACGAAATACAGATCAACTGATTTTTTAAAGCCATCATCATTGAGAGTACCTTCTGAAAGTTTAACAAAGTGAACTTTATATATTTTTTATATTAGACATTAACGCCACCTGTTGTACAACATTGAAGATAGTATTGATAAAAAAGAATTGATTTCTCTTGTTATTCACGTTGATACCAATAGGTGGGGGAAATAGTCACGTGATCATTTGTACCACTCGATTCATTTGGTAAAAAACAAGGCTTTTGCTTATATACATTATTTTTGAATTTTTCGAAAATGAGCAAATCTCCAATAACTGAACAACCTTCTAATAATCCTCCACCACCTTATCAAGCAGAAGGATACTCTAATTCAGCATATAACACTCAATACAGTTCTGGACTTAGTGGAAATGCTATACAGATGCAACCTACTACAGGAAGTTACCAACCTACCCCGGCCAGTGGAGCAGAGATGTTGGCCAATTTACAAAAGATACACGTTCATCAAGAAGTACATCTAATTGAAGGTATCGCTGTTAATGCAAAAATCTATATATCTTGTTAAGTTAGATCTTCGATATTGTTTATTTAAGAAACACTTTTGACTGAAATTTTTATATAAAATAAACATAAAAAAAATTAGCATGCGTTACTTTCAAAATATTAAAAAAGACTAAAAAGCCTTCTTTACTACATATTGTCTTGTTATGATATTTTAGGTGAAGGGTGTTCTAAATACAGGCCAAATGCTATTTGACCCAACAATTCTGCATTAAAATGAATATAATTTGTATATAAAAGTAAATTATATTATTCCTCTTTTACTGACAGTCTTCACTTCGTGGGAAAGACGAAATCGCTATCAAATCTGCAATGACGAAGACCAGCAAATACTCTATGCTAGAGAAGGTAATCTCCTCAATACTCGTTAAACTTTACAATAAGTATTTATTAATTTAAAGAATCTGAATGTTGCGAGAGACAATGCTGTGGTCCTATTCGTGCGATGACAATGAACATTTCAACTGTAACAACTGCAGGAGAAGTTCCTCTGATATTCTTGAATCGACCACGAAATTGTCAAGGATGCTGTTGCCCATGTTGCCTACAAGTGATGGAAATACAATTTCCAATTGGGAAACTGGCGGCAACGATTAAAGAAGTGTAAGTATTTGTATATTTCACCATTCAATTGGTTTGAGTATAATGAATTCGGATCTTGCGTTCAGGTGGACTTGCTGTATTCCAAAATACGAGATTTACGATGCAAATGGTTCCCTACTATTTCAAATTGTTGGAGATTGCTGCGTGTGTAAGTGTTGTACAGATGTTCATTTCAGAGTATGTATCCTCTAAACACCACTTTCCATGTATTTTACAATTTCGTATACAAATATTGAACAGATCCTGAAAGGAGACATGGAAATCGGAGATATTCAAAAACATTGGGGAGGATTTAGAGAAGTATGCGGAAAAGCAAATGATTTTTCAATTATTTGTAAGTAGTTAATTTCAAGAATTAATATCCGAGTTGATTATCTTAATTATTTAATGAAATACAGTTAACGACAAATCGGAATCCGTAACAAACAAAGCTATTCTACTTGGAGCAACTTTCCTAATAGATTTTAATTACTTTGAGCACAACGACAACTAATAATATGTTATTACATAATTAAAATTTACAGTTTTGATAAGAAAACCTTGTCATCATCTGTCTAAGCTTGTAAAAACAAGTGTGTTCTTCTATGTAGAGTATAAATGAGATTTTTTATTTATGCTTTTTATTATAAATTAATCTGGCTAATTATTTTTTCCAATTAATATTTACAGAAGAAAAGATTGAAGGCATTTGTGTAATATGCAATATTTTCGTTTTCTTCTTTTGAAGAGTTTTATCGATTTTATATTCAATCCTCAGTGATATTAAAGATAAATAACTGCAGTTTTACTTTTCATTATAAAATAAACATAAACTGAATGCTTAATTTTTTTTATTTCTAATGGTTTATATTAACATTATTACTAAAAAGTTTGCGTGTGTACCTGTCATATCTATATTTGACAATCTATGAAGGTTTTATATAGATTGAATTAATTAATTAAGAGCTGTTAATTACTATATTTTTATTTGTAAAAACAAAGGTGAAGGAGATGTTGAGAAGAGCTATTTGCATCGAGTAATTAACAATTAGAAGAGGCTGTCAAGTAAATAGAGAAATCTAGGGTTCTTAAGAAACTGTTGTATTTATATGTAAAATCAAATATATAAGATACTCTTTCTTCTTACATTTTTCATAGTTCTCTAATTCAATTTACAAATACTAGATAAAAATGGCGCTAATTTGAATCACTATAATGAGGCTTTTACTATACGCTTAATATTTTTAATGTCTTATGATAATGCTCAAACTGGACTCTCTAATACGCTAAGCTTTTTTTCAATATGTTTTTTACTTATTTCTATTCAAGTTACAAAGATTATCTAATGTTTATCAGTGTCACTATTTTTATACCGAATATTTTTCTTCGATTGCTTTTCATTCATTTATTTTTATAATTATTCAACAGATTTTCAATATCATTCAATTGCTAATATTACATCAATTTCATCACAATTAAATATTTCACCAGTAATTTCTTCGCCAAGTAAGCTTTGACTTAGGTCGAAATTTTTTTCTTAAGCGACAAATCCATCTTTTTCTACCGAATCTATATCTAAATCTGCATCTTCTTTTAAGTATCCAAGGATCAACTTCATACCCCAAATCTGGAATTGGTTCAGGATTAACATCTAAGCCTGAACCAGAGCCGGATCCAGAGCCTGATCCAGATCCAGAGCCTGAACCGGACCCAGAACCTGAGCCGGATCCAGATCCAGAGCCGGAGCCAGAACCAGAGCCTGAACCGGACCCAGAGCCTGAGCCGAAGCCTGATCCAGACCCGGAACCAGACCCAGAACCAGATCCAGACCCGGAACCAGAACCAGAGCCGGAGCCAGAGCCTGATCCAGATCCAGAACCAGATCCAGACCCGGAACCAGAACCAGAGCCAGAACCAGATCTTGATCCAGAACCAGATCCAGAGCCAGATCCTGAGCCAGAACCAGAGCCAGAACCAGAGCCGGAACCTGAACCGGACCCAGAGCCTGAGCCGGAGCCTGATCCAGACCCGGAACCAGAACCAGAACCAGAGCCTGAACCGGAGCCTGAACCAGAACCAGAACCAGAGCCTGAACCGGAGCCTGAACCAGAGCCTGAACCAGAACCAGAACCAGAGCCTGAACCGGAGCCTGAACCAGAGCCGGAACCTGAACCAGAACCAGAGCCTGAACCGGAGCCTGAACCAGACCCGGAACCTGAACCATAACCAGAGCCTGAACCAGACCCTGAACCAGATTTGGATGCTAATATCTCACTAGACTCGTCTATAAAAGAAGAACATTTTTTCTTCAACTCTTCATTGTATCCATTTGAGTAGGCATTGTGATTTTGAAAGTAGAGTCGACACTCTTCTGCATAAGGATGCAAATCATTTGTATCTGCATGATTATGATGTGAGGAAAAATCAGGATAATTATTTCCAGAATCTCCTACTGCTGTATTCTTTTTCTGATTCGGATGTTCATTATGTGGAAAAGCTAGAACCAAACTGAAATAAAGTATGATGTAAAAGTTGTATATAAAAGATTTTTACTAAATTTTACTGTAAAATTGCAGCGAGAGCCAAAAGGATCCTCATGCTTAAAGAATGATAAAAGTACAATATGACCGCTATTTATGCATTTCCTAGTGTATAAACAGGAAACTGATTAAATATAGCTAATTGAAGCAGCTGTATAGAGAACTGTTATAATTAATAGATAACTACTGAAGTTTAAAACTGTTTAATTATCAATAAACTATCAGAAAAAAAGAGAATATTGATAAAGTAACTCCTGATTCAACTGTCCAAATAACAAAAACTTAGAAAGTTAAATATAATATTTAAACAGTGGTGATAACATAGTAAAAGCTTTTCATTAGCATGAAACCAAAAATAGAGAAGAAATTATAATAATTCCAATATAGTTATCTTATTGATTTATACATTTAACTTTAGTTTATAAATTCATATTTTAATTATCTACTTAATGATTTAGTGAACCAATTTGAAAATATTTCTGAAAATTTTCAATTTCTATTTCATTTATAGAATACTACTGTCAGAAACTTTTAAACACTACATTTTGAAGTAATAAGCAACGTAATCAACTCAGGTACATAGACTTTCATTACATTCGATATTATAATGTTAATTAAGAATGTTTAACATTTCAAAAGAATTTTTTCAGCCTTTACTTTAATGTTTTATCTTTTCTCTTCTTTTAATAATAAATTAAATTTTCCACTTTTCACTATTCTATTCTCAGATGAAACAGATGTTTTTATCTCTTATATTTGTCTCCTGCTTATTATATAATACTACCATTTCTCTTAAGGAAATCTTATGAACTCTCATTGTTTTATACGAAAAAAGCATATTCATTTTAAAAACGTATTGAATACGCTAAACAACGATTCCAACCTTTTCTATAAACAAACAAGACCGTTGATAAAACAGAATTGATTTTCCAAGCTATGAGAGCCTTAACCAATAGGTGGGGAAGAAATAATCACGTGATTAAAGGTAGGAGTTGTCTCATATGGTAAAAAAAACAAGGCTTTTGCTTATATACATTATTTTTGAATTTTTCGAAAATGAGCAAATCTCCAATAACTGAACAACCTTCTAATAATCCTCCACCACCTTATCAAGCAGGAGGATATTCTAATTCAGCTTATAATACTCAATATAATTCTGGATATGGTGGAAATGCCGTTCAGATGCAACCTGTGCAAGGAAGTTACCAACCTACCCAGGCCAGTGGAGCAGAAATGTTGGCCAATTTACAAAAGATACACGTTCATCAAGAAGTACATCTAATTGAAGGTATCGCTGTTAATGCAAAAATCCATATATCTTGTTAAGTTAGATCTTCGATATTGTTTATTTAAGAAACTGTCATTAAGTATTTATAAAGAAGCTAAGTACCATTAAAGTTAGTGACACCTAAGCTAGATATTTTCAAAACAGGAGAACATTTTTCTTTTTCCTTATTACATTTATGATTGATTGAGACATTAGGAAAAAGTGAATCATATATTGAATTTCGATAATCTGAAAGCCTCTAATTTCTTATACCTATATAGTCTTCACTTCGTGGGAAAGACGGAATCGCTATCAAATCTGCAATGACGAAGACCAGCAAATACTCTATGCTAGAGAAGGTAATCTCCTCAATACTCGTTAAACTTTACAATAAGTATTTATTAATTTAAAGAATCTGAATGTTGCGAGAGACAATGCTGTGGTCCTATTCGTGCGATGACAATGAACATTTCAACTGTAACAACTGCAGGAGAAGTTCCTCTGATATTCTTGAATCGACCACGAAATTGTCAAGGATGCTGTTGCCCATGTTGCCTACAAGTGATGGAAATACAATTTCCAATTGGGAAACTGGCGGCAACGATTAAAGAAGTGTAAGTATTTGTATATTTCACCATTCAATTGGTTTGAGTATAATGAATTCGGATCTTGCGTTCAGGTGGACTTGCTGTATTCCAAAATACGAGATTTACGATGCAAATGGTTCCCTACTATTTCAAATTGTTGGAGATTGCTGCGTGTGTAAGTGTTGTACAGATGTTCATTTCAAAGTATGTATCCTCTAAACACCACTTTCCATGTATTTTACAATTTCGTATACAAATATTGAACAGATCCTGAAAGGAGACATGGAAATCGGAGATATTCAAAAACATTGGGGAGGATTTAGAGAAGTATGCGGAAAAGCAAATGATTTTTCAATTATTTGTAAGTAGTTAATTTCAAGAATTAATATCCGAGTTGATTATCTTAATTATTTAATGAAATACAGTTAACGACAAATCGGAATCCGTAACAAACAAAGCTATTCTACTTGGAGCAACCTTCCTAATAGATTTTAATTACTTTGAGCACAATGATTAATTAGGAATGTGCTAAGCGTTTTATCTCGGCGAAAGTATTTTATGAAAGTTTCGTATGCCGAATATTATTAAAGAAAGGAACACAAAGAAAGTTATTTTTCAGGACTCAGTATTACCTAACATAATATACAGCTCGTTGTTTGTTTTTTATGATGCTTCTTGTGATAAAAGACCATGGTTATTAATATATATATATTGTATATATATACAACTAATATTTACTTTAAATAATTGAAACTTCTAAATGTTTCTATAATCGTGTAATGTGATAAAAATAAATTGAATTTTATATAACCTCAAGTATCTAAGATTAGAGCACCGAAGATGTTAGGAACAGAATTTTTATATCTACTTCAAAAATAATATATTTGAATACTCAACTAGAGTTTGTCAAGAAGCACTTGATTACTAGCTTCTTCGGTACATTGAAGCGGGTAAGGAAGAAAGCTAATTAACTATTTAAGTGTGATAATTAACTATCAAATGTGAGTTTACATTTTATTACAATAAACAAACAGAAAAAGAATGTGAAGAAGACGAAAAATATGACTTCAATTTTTTTGATTTATTCATTTTTTATTGATTTATGGTATATTTTTTTATTAAGTCAACTTTTCTAAAAGCTGTTGACCTAATTTAAATTACGAGGGGAAAAAATGACTCATATTCTACCCCTTGAAATGAAGATATAATAATCAGTTCTATCTTACTATCTTCCGTATTTTTTTTATTCTACTCAATTAGATCCATTCTCTATTTTTCATGTGAAGTAACGAGAGTAGTCGATTAACAAAAGAGTTATATTAAAACCAGTAGATGGCAGTTTATTCTATGTAATAGAGGTCTTGATTTATTTGTATAGATAAATTGACAAAAGAGAACGAATGGTTTATATCATTGCTTTATAGTTATAGAAAAGAAATTTCATTATAAAACTATAACAACAAACTATCAAAAACTATATCATATTCATATTCTAATTAAGTACAAAACGAAAGGCTAATTACGTCGATATTTAAGAGACTTTTTAAAGCTTTATAGATAGAATGATGAAATTTTCAAAACAAAGACTAGAAATTCCCAAAAGAAAAAGCTGATTTATTAATTTTTTTTATGTTTTGCAGATGAAATCATTTATGTTTTCATTGAAATTAAATAATAAGGAATTATTAGAATACAATATTTCATAAGTAGACCATTGTGTCTCTTTTTTTATCTGTTAAACTTAAAATCCTAATTAATTATATCAACAATATTAGTAATGAAAAAATAGAAGAAGAGGTCATTTATCTGTTAAAGTAAAAGCTTACTTTTTCCTTCTTTTTTCTTTTTACTAGGTTTTACACCTCCATAGAACAATTTACAAAGTAAACAAGTGCTCTATTCTTTACATAACATCTTTTATGACTTGTCAATGGAAATGAGAAATCGTATTGAATATTAAAGAGAGAATACATTTAAAAGAATAGATATTCCAAATATTTTTTTAGCTTTTATTTGGAAATTCGTACCACTAGGCCTTAATATGTGATAAATGGGATTTTATTGATTGATGAATTCATTTACTTTTTCTTATTTATTAAAGCTAATTTAATGCATCTTTAAACTTTCCTTTTTTTTGTTCCTCCCCTCTCTAAGTAAATCGTATTTGTTGAAGTAATTAAATGTAGGACAGGGAATAATAGAGAATATTGAAAGGAAATAAGCAGAGTATTTTTTACTGCATTAGATTTTATTGATTTTATTACGACATTTTTCCAAGAATTAGAAGAGAACTGGAAAAAGAATCTCATATCTTTAATGACATGGTGAGTGTACTTGAAAGAGTTTTAGTTTTTATTTCCAATAATTTACACATTCTTCAAAAGTAGAATAACTGATTTTTTATTGACTATTTATCCAATGGAATTTTCTTTTTGTCTCTCTCTTTTCTCTCTTTCTCTTTCTCTTTCTCTCTCTCTCTCTCTCTCTCTCCATAGCATTAAAAGGAACTAATAGTCTATAAATTTTCATTTCATTCAAAATAAATTTAATCAAATGAAAGTATATTGCTCCATCTGTTGGGCTCGAGCAGTGATGCTAATAAGGTCTCCACTTTAAGCGAACTGGTGACAGAATTTTCCCTTTTGAAAATATTTTCAGTAGAGCTAAATTATCGGGCTAATTCTAGCGATTATCCAGATTTTCCATTTAATTCTTTCAGATCTGTATGACTTTCCATACAGAATATGTCACGGCCAACTGAATAAAAGACATTTTAATTGTCATATATAATTAGAATATAGTTTTTCTGTCTATTGGAAATGGATAAATGTATATACTTTTATAAATATACACAATATATGTTAACACTTCTTTTTAACGATTCATCAGTTACGTAAAAAGGATTAAAGAGCAAACATAGACAATCATAAATAGGTGATAATGTAATAATTTCACCGAACACGTGATATGATTCAATATATTTTTCTTTATTACAATTAATAAATCATTAATCTTCAAGTTAAGATATAATAACTTGATTGTTTATACTAAAGGGAGGAAAATGTAATTTAAGCTATAGATAGTATATATTTTATATATTAATATATACAGTATATGCATCTACATTTATTTATAAGCGGAGGAAGTATAAATTGTAGAGGAAGAACCCTTTTTACATGTCGGGTGTGAGGAGGGAGGGGTAAGTGGTCTTATTTCAAATATGAGCTAGAAACAGCTTCTTCACTACCTAGCTATTCTACCCTAGCACTTCTTATTGATTCTTTTCCCGAGCTTTTCCCCTATAATCAACTGTTTAGTATTGATATCACGTGATGGTTGTTTGTGCTGGAACAAGCTAAAATACGCTTGTTTTCATATGTATACAAAATTTTTATTTTATGAAAAATGAGCGAACAAGTCATAACTGAAGAGCCAATAAGCGATGAAAAACATTCATTGGAAGCGGAAGAATATTCAAATCAAGGATTAGATTTAAAGGATGAAACTGATGATTGCAATGTGATACAAACTCAGCCTACGTCTGAAGTTATACCTTCGAATCCAAGTGGATTGGATCTTATAGCTAATGTAGATAAATTTCACATTCATCAAGAAGTTCAGCTAGTGGAAGGTAACTAATAAACCAATACGGGGGTGTTAACTTTATATACTAATATATACAGTATATACGATATGCCATTTATTAGTATTTTAATGACTATACTGTATATATATATATATATATATATACAGTGTATATACATTAAAATACTGATAAATCGTGTTTTTATGTCAGTGTGAGCATTACAAGTTCAATTGAATAGAAGTTTCATGAATGTAAATCTGAAAAAAATAATATATTTTTTATATTATACGAAAAGGAAGTAATCGTTATTAATTGCATTTAACACTTTCGAATGAATAACATTTGCGTTATATATATTTTTTATTATATCTATATTTTTATGAATTGAAAAACAAAAACAAAAACGTAAAATTAGTAACAGATTTTTCTATTATATATTTTAACAGTTTTAACTGTACTGGAAAAATGTAATCGTTATAAAATCTGCAATGATACAGAACAGCAATTATTTTATGCTAAGGAAGGTAAAAAAAATTAATAAAAATATATATATAAAAAAAAGACATAATTAATTGTACTATTTATTAATATGAATATCTTGAGAAAGATTTTTTTGTTTTTTGCTACAGAATCTGAGTGTTTACAGCGATATTGTTGTAATATATTTCGATCTTTACGTATGGAAATCTCTACATCCAGTGCAAATGGTGAAATACCAGTCATAGCACTAAATAGACCACTTAATTGCCAAGGTTTTCTTTGTCCATGTTGTCTTCAAAGGATGGAAATCTATTGCCCACCTGGACAATTAGTAGCAACTATTAAAGAGATGTAGGAATTCTAGACGCTTCCTTTTTTAAACGCATAAATAAAAAATAATACATGTTATGGCTGATAAGGTTATTTTTCTATTTAACTAGGTGGACTATGTGTATACCTACATACGAAATTCATGACACAGATGGAAACCTTTTATATACTATAATAGGAGACTGTTGCCACAGTAAATGTTATACTGATGTGCATTTTAGGGTTTGGTTTTTATTACCTATTCCTCAGATTTTGATGAAAAAAAAGATAATTTTACTCAGAAATGAGGGATTGATTAGCTTTATAATTATAGGTATTGAGGGATTCTTACGAAGTGGCCGATATTCAGAAACACTGGGGAGGATTTAGAGAAGTTTGTGCCGAAGCCAATGATTTTACGATTTTAAGTTAGTTACATTATTTATATTAGTAAATAAAAATTAATTAATGAATTAAAATTCTATTCATAATAAAACAGTTCACGACAAATCGGTATCAGTTATGAATAAAGCAATTATGATTGGTGCTGCTTTTCTTATCGATTATAACTATTTTGAACGTCTAAATTACGGCTAAAACTACGGATAAAGTTGTCCAACTTTTAACAAGTGCCTGATTTTCTATTCTATCATCCTTTGATTGTTTTATTTAAATACTGTATAAAGTGAAAAGTTTGCCTGAAAGCTAGCAACAGAATACTTTCAATAATAATTTATCTATTGTTCCACTTTAGAACTGTGAATCATAGTTCATATAAATTTCTTTCGTTTGGCGATAAATAGACTGATATATTGATTGAAAAATAGCCAATAATTCAAAAAGAGTAATTGGAGAACGGTGAAAATTATTCTCTTGTCATTTATTGATAAAAACCTTGTACTATTACCATATTTAAATATTCAATACTGAATATCGATATGTTTATATAAACTTGGGTAGAAAATACGTAAGTGTTCCTATCAATGTTCCATATTTAGATTTGTTTCTTTTCAAGTTGAACTGCACTTTGTTATATTCATCAACCTTAAATATCTATGCAATAAATCTTTTTTGTTCATTAGTTTTGTTATTAATGTTTATTTTTTCAATGCAAAAAATGTTAGACTTCCTATAAAAGAAACAATTAGGTATATTCGCGGGAAGAGTCTATTAGGAAAATGACCTTCAGGAAAATGACTAAGAAAAGGATCAATGGTAATTAAATTGCTAAATGTCTTATATTGAGAGCAAAATACTGATATATAGTAGTTTTTATATTATTAATTTAAGAGGTATTTTGTTAAATGTACGTTTCTTGAGAAATTCATCAGTAACCGAGATTTTTCAAGTTGACTTATAATTAACGATACAATATCTAAAGACGAATATAAAACTGCTTTCCCCTTCTCCCCGTCATTGTCGTCATTGTTGTTTTTCCATTAGCCAATTTAATATAGCCTATCTTTTACAAACATAAAAGAAGTGCAGATGTTCTATTGGTCGCCAATAAGAAATGTCATCCATTCAGTAATAAATACCTTGTACAATAATCTATTAATATAACGAACGATAGTACTATCCAATTCAGTTGGTTAGATAGTAATCTTCATAGTAATAGGACTTTAATGTTTTATAGATTAAATAGAATGTTCCTCTGTTATATTTTATAGAAAATTAATTGCTAATTAAGATTTTCATCTTTCTTCTTAAATTATTTAATTTACTATAAAATCTTATTAAACGATTATAATTAAACGACAAAAATATAAACTTTCCTTAGTTATTTAACGTTTTATTATTTCTATTATGAAAGTAAAACGATACGATAGAATTTCATTAATAAAATATAATAAATTAGTATTAAATTTCTAACACAAAGATAAATTGTAATATTTTGAATAAAATTACATTTTTTAATTGATAATTTTCAAACAAGCAAACAAACAAACGTATATTTAATAAGTTGGATATCTCTTTGTTTAATAACTCTCTATATTTAAATAGCTGACTCTCTAGCGGCTTTCTTTGAAATATCTATCGCTCTGTTGAAGGTAGATAAGTGGAATATAAAATAAAATTACACTCCATAAGAGAAAACAGAGACGCTTATATTGTATATATTTTTTTTACCACTTGGTGAAGAAACGCCTATAAAATTTATAGATTTTAAACAAACTAGCTAATAAGAGAATATTGGAAAATTATGCCATTACGTAATAATTTTTATACAAGACTGTGAAATTGGAAAGTTAACTACGTAAACAAGTTAAATAGTCCATGTAATTAATAAGAGTAACGTGTTTTTTTTGCCTTTTGATAGAAATAATAATCATATCGATATGATATATCAATTTACCACCGTAAAAAGTACATGGCAGTGCATCATAATGTTTTTGAAATGTTCGTTCAATGGGGGTCTTTTTTTTTAGCAACGTTTGCTAAATAGCTGATAGAGTAGAGTTAGCTATATGTAATATATCGGTTGTTACAGAGAGAGAGAGAGAGAGAGAGGCGATGCATATGTTTTATATATATAGTATAATATTCTCATATCGAATATTTAGCGAAATTATAAAAACTTGTTAATATTTAATCGATATTTTTACATTATGATAGAAATTTATATAGAATCGATAATTGTTTAAGATAATTCTTTGTTTTGTTTGTGTTTTAGCAACTGTATCTTGGAAATAATCAATAGAAATATGGACCTAAAGAAAAGAATTGAATTTTATGTCTTTTTTATCTTCTCCTTGAAATTCTCAACCTCTCTATTTCTCTATTTATTTCTACAAGCTTATAGAGATACAAAGTTGACTATTTCTTTCTTTCTTTTTAGCTTAGTATTATTGTTATCTAAGATATTTTTTAAATGGCGAAAATTACTAAATATGCATATTAAATAGAAAAAAAAGTAATAATAAAGTGAAATTAAGGTCAACAAGGTTCACTGCTTCTTCCAGTTAAACTCTCGTTACAACACTTATTTATTTCATGACGTTACAACACAAACTTTTTTTTCAAACGAGAAAAAAAATTCTCTGGAACAAAGAAGAAAACCAGTCTAATATTTTCCCTCATTCCATTATTTGATACAGCAAAACAACCAGCAAAAAAACTTCTTCCACTACGGCTTGACTGGTGGTGGCTTCTTCAACCAATTCCGTCTAGAATATGAATATTTCTTTGCCAGATCTTTTCGCTGATAAAATGTCGGAGGGAAATATAAAGAACCAGTTAAAGCCTAACTTTGTCCGATTAAGTAATCGATTATGCATTGGGAGTAGCACATATCTGGCGAATTTGATTTGTAACGCTGCCTTTGACGCATCAGGAAGAAAAGATCTGCAGCCTCCCTACCACAGTTGTTATAGTCTTCACGTTTGCAGGCCTTTGATGCTTCACGCAAATAGCTGACGTCGCAGTGGGATGCTGATAGGCCTAAAGCTGAACCCTAGATAAAAAAAAAGAAAAAAATGAAGAAGATTTAAGTGAAAGCCATACATTATTAGATATGTATATTAGTATATGTATATATATATATATAAACCTATAGGTTGGTGTTTACTCTTCATATAGGTAAATATGAGTAAATAGAGGAATAAAAGGAGAAAAAATAGATGAGAAAAACGACAGAAAGTAAGAAGGATTGGTTGTAAAGGGGAAAGAATAAGAGTAGATTACAGTTAAATTATTTCGCTATTGCATCTAATAGAGTTGCCACTTTATTTAATTCCAACCTAAATGTATCTTTCAAAGTGATAAACGTCCTTTACAGTATGTCAAATCTTGATAAAGTTTTTAATTAATAAAGAGAGAAAAAGGCCTAATTCACCAAATAAAACGTCTATTTGCATAGCTTTACAATAATTAACGTTATATAATATATATATATATATAAAGAAATTGACCAGGTTATATATGTGTATATGACATTTTCATATTCTGCTAATGTAAGAACTGAGTGAAGGGAGAATAATTATCAAGCAGAGAGAAAATAATTTTTCTACTTAAGCGTCTCTAAATATGATTCCATAACGCCTCCTTCTCTCTCAATTCCACTTTCTCTCTATCACAAGCCAAAGCGAACGACAAAAGAAAGAAAAGAAGGAAGCATCTTCCTTCATATTAACTCAACTAAATATAACTTTTAGAATGATAATTCAGCTTTTCTTCTAAGTGAAGAGCTAAATTACCTTGACAAAAACGACCAGCTAAGCAATTATAAAAAAAGAGTATATACATATTTAATGCTTTATTTACAAATGAATACAGTATATATAACCGTATTCTCATACTCTGTATAGTTGTCTTTACAAAATCAATGAGAGACGTTTAATTAGAAATATGATAAAAACTAAAGATATATACAAATGAAGGAGCTAAAATTTTCTATACTGTCTTTTTTTTCCAAAGCATTTAATAAAACAAAATCTAGGTCAGGAGAGAATGTAAATTTATAAGACATACAAGGAAAGAGAAAAGCCTTATAAATCATAAAATGTCGACGATATTACTATTATAGAAGGGAAAAAATTCTTTTTTCACTTCCTCAAACTTCAGCCTTATACAATTCTAGACATCTATCCAATTTGACTTGAAGAGATTTACTAAGATTACTTATTCCTTAATCCTTTTTATCAGTTTCTTCATTACGTATAGCTGATAAGACTAAAAAGTGAGGGGATAATCCGATAGAGAAAGATACTAGCAAAAGAGAGAGAGAGAGAGAGATTTCTATTAGAATTATGCTAGAATAATGTTTCACTGTGTAGTCTAAACGTAGCATGAGTTATATATATATATACTTATATAAAATCCTAATTACAGCTTTATCCTTCAAAAGACAAGTGATTTGTTTCTTTTCTATCATCTCAAAAAGCATCCCAGAAAGAGTCCAACATTCTTATTTAAATTCTCAAAAGCTTAGGAATTAAGTTCATATTAATCGATTTTAGTCAAATTAAATCCTATGCAAAGGACAAAATTCAATTAGAATTTTAAGGCAACTCCCAAAATACTAAAAAATTGAAAAGGATATATACTGTATATATATAATACAAAAAAATACGCATACTGGTTGATATGATTAAGCACTTGTATGTCGTGTTTGCATGACAATATAACATTTCTAGAATTGACATTTACAAATCTAATGATACCATATACATAGATTTAAAGAATTGATTGTACTTAGATTTCACAGATTGGCCAAAGTAATAAGAAAAGATATATGAATGTATGGTATTGAAATGAATGGTAGAAATTTTCATTTTTTGCTTAACTTGCATATTTCTGATATTTCCAAAGAGCGTTGATATCTCTCTCTCTCTCTCTCTCTCTTTGACTTTGATTTATTCTATCTAAATGGAATGAGTTGATAGATGACAATTTTTTTCACATTTAATCAGTTCAATGCTTCATTTTGTTTGAAAACTCTACCAAGTATAATAAAAAAATAGCAAGTTTTAACGGGTGAACAAATCATTAGATAGATACGACTGATAACAGAGTAATTTACTATACTATTTTTAGTTTTATTCTATGTGCTTATGGGTATATATTTAATATTATTCGGACCGGTTTATTTACAAGTACCTAGAAGTTGTTACATTACATTACCGTGGGGAAAAAAGTTTATCTTACATAATTATCTGATACTACTGTCCTTGGAATTGTTTAAGTCTACTTAGAACCTAACTTTGGGAATATTACAGGCTGAGAGAAAACTTGTCTTATAATATAATGAATTTTTTTTCAACTAGCCTTTGTCTTTAATAAAGAATAACAATTAAAAATTAAATAATCTGTACTTTTTCATAATTTTATCATATACTTGATTAGTCCTTTCTAATCCCTATAGTGGGAAGCTCATTATCAGATTGATGCGAGACGGCAAAATCATCATTATTATATTTCTAGTATAAAATATTTAGTATTTTTTCATAAACCCAATGGAATTAATTAATCAGGTAATTCTTCCCGATTAGAATGGCTAACTAATTTATTTAATTACTGATTTAAAGACAGAATTTTCTTGTTTTGTTGAATAATGAATAAAAAGGTAAAAATTCTATGTAAAAGAACTTTTCATGCGTAATAGGACTATTGACTATTTTCACCTTTTTCTTTCTTTTGCAAAAAAAAAAAAGAAAAAAAAATCTTTATCGGTTTTCCGCTTATAAAAACTCAATGTCAAATAGCTTTTAAGGCACGTAGGCCTATTGCTGAATGGAACTATAAAAGACATATGAGGAAAAGTAAAAGAGACAGGAAAAGGATATAAAAAGAATGGAATAAAAATTGATAAAGGAAGAGAAGAAAAAACTTACGCAAATGTAGCACATTTCGTGTTTATTACACATTTCTAGAGCTTCTCCATCCAGTTCAATAGAACTTTCAAAGGCGAATCTGCATTGACTAGAATATTCAGCAATTGCCGGGCATTCATCTACAAAAGGGAAATATAAAACTTATAGTATTGAACATATATATATTCCGTTATAAATATAACGGATATACATGAATTGTAATCATAAAACTTCTCATTTAAATATAAAAAAAGAATTAATTTGATAAGTTGGCTTACATTTTCATGATTTAATACGCAATATGTTTATATAGTGACAAACAGAATTTTTACCTCTTTTATTTGTATTTTGTAATCCGTATTTTTCCATTAGTTCGCGATAAAATGGATTTAGGTAGACTTCTAAAAATGTTGAATATTTTACTTATTAGTTTTATAAATTCAATTGAAAAAGCATTCAGTGTATCAATATATTAATACAGTATATACATGAACACTCTTTCTATGTTTATCTATACAAACCAGAGTCTGATGATGCTCTTTCATTTTCGTACAAATATTCTAGTAATTGTTTCCTAACTATATCATCTACTTGACTTTGTCTTTCTTCTTCATTACTTTCCATTTCTCTTTCTGTTTCATCGTCTGCTTCATCGTTATCTTCCTCCTGATATATATCATTGTTCTCAGAAATTAATTCATCGGCTATGTCCTTTTTTACAGGAATATTTAACGGTGGCTCTTCTTCTTCTTCTTCTTCTTCCTCTCCTTCTTCATCTTCGTCTTTTATACTAAGGCCAAGTCTCTCTTTAATTTCAGAAATTCTGTTTTCGTCTGCGATCGCTTTCTTCAAGTAATTAATTTCCGCTTCAAGATGCTCATTTGCATCTCCGCTAACTTGGTTCATTGTAGCAAGACTTAGGGCGTTGGCTAGGTCATTATTCTCTTGTTCTTCTAATTTTAAGAGATCACTAAGTAGTTCTACTTGCTGTTTATCATCTCTCTTCATTGATCTTTTTCTCTTTCTCTTAACTTCGGTGTCATCTTCCTCAGGGATACTAAATACCTCCTCATTAATGACACGCTCCTCGTCTTCAGGATTGTCTTGTACAGTTTCCTTTACATGAACAACAGCCTCTTGGCCGTTCTTATCAACAGTCTCTTCTATTTTATGCTCACTCCCATCTATGTTAGATTCTTTCATAACCTTGGCAATTTCTTCATTAGAAACATCTTCTGCTTTGGCATTATCAAACAATTTCTGAACATCTTCTTTATTGACTTCTTCTCTTTGATTATCATTAACCGGGTCTAAAAATTCCTCATTCTTTAAAACAAAACTATCAGCGAATAGTGCGCAAGCGCACAAAATCAAGAGCTTTGTCCGACTCATCCGTCGGAATCTAAAAATAATATTGAAAAAGAAATATGTACTATTTTGTTATTAGACACGTTAAATGATACTTTTATGACGTCATTCTAAGAAAAAATAGAATGAGAGAGAAAAAGAGAGAGCGAGAGGAAAAAAAAGTATACATAATTCATTCGAACTAAGTCGAAACAACGGTAATAATAAGCATAATATGAAATTATATATTTTTTGTTTTCGTAAATGAATATCTATTTTATTCAAGTCCTTAGAACAGAGTATAAAAACCTATAGTTTCTTGTCTTTTTTTGTTAAGATCTAAAGTAAAAAAAACTGTTTGTCACAGGTTTTTTTTTCCTTTTTTTTTTAAAAAAAAAATAGACAAGTATATGTTTTTCTTCTATGTACAATATGTATATATAGATATTTCTTTAAACACCAAGTGCTATATATCTGCTGTTTTTTGTTTTTCCTTTCGCCAATATTATGTAAATAGTTTTCTATAAATTCTATGGTTTTTATAGATTAAATGAATATTCTGTTTAGTAAATAATAAATAGAGAATGATTCTAAATACAGTTGACTAACTAATCTATAGAAATAACGTGACAAACGTCGTATTCTCTATAACTTTTTTTAATGCCCTCATCAATTAATTGATACTAAAAATATCTATCGATAAAAAAAAGTGACAAAATAAAGTATGTGCTCTATACTTTGACCTAACTTTATATTTTATCCATTAATGGTATTAGCTTTAGAATAGCATTGCCATTCCTTCCTCCCTTCTCTACATCCCCCCCTATTCTCTCTCTCTCTCTCTCCATCTATCTATGCGTCTATCTGTCTCTATTTCTGTCTATCTATCTATCTATCTTTTTCTTCCAGCTTCATTTCCATCATAATAGAATTTAAAAAGGCGTGGATAGAACTTTAAATGCAGAAATATCAAACAATTTGTTTAGGAAGTTGAGACAGGAACAAGAGATAGAGGGATGGTATTTGCTATACAGTCTAAAAAGAAAATAGCGTGACTTTGTCGACCTGCTCTGCTCATTCCAGTAAAATACCATACGTAAACAATTTTAATGGCAATAAACTATTATCGATAATAATTAGTGTAGCGTTACTTCAGCCTCTAAACAGAACGTTTTTTTTTATTCAAGGTTAAGAGGTAAATTATTGATAAAACTAAAACCGGCGTCAGAAAAAGGTATGGGGATAAAAGTCAAGTAGACCTCTTATTTCAAATCAATCTATTCCAGTTCAGATTTTTATCATGAATCGATCTGGAGCGGACAGGTAAATTGAGAAAATGGGTAAAGGAGGGAAAAGTGGGAGTAAAAAGAAATTTAAGAAATAGAGGAGTAAATGAGCAAATAGTGGAGAGAAAATAAGAGAGAGAGGGAGAGAGAGAGAGAAAAGCAAAGAAGAGGCGTCTAACTACGCAAAAAATATGACGTCATTAATAAACTTACCTTATATTTTTTCGATATTATAATGATTGAAATGTTTCAATTAAACAAAACTATTTTGTTTAACAGTTGGAATGATTTAAAAAAGAGAAGCTGTTCTGCCACCACGCCAAAAAAATATCGCCCTTCTTGCCGCTCTAGCGGCGCCCTACTGTCTGCAGTAGACGAGTGGTTCCCAGTTCCAACCTCTTCCGATAGGCGTCTCTTCCTAGATATCCAGCATCCTGACTCGAACTTTTGCATAATTAAGTAAACGTCACGAATGTGAATGTATAGATAAATAAAAGCTAGTAGATTTTATGATTCAGCTAGCGTAATTAATATATGGGTATTTTTTTAAAAAAGAAAGCAGATAAAAGTAGGGTAATAATATAGAATTTATACCCTACTTTTCCTTGTCGTAAATCTTATTATACGCCGTTGTTATGGTAACCAATCGATGCTTTGATTATTCTCTGCATTTTTTACAGCAAGCAGATTTTATTTTCTCATTATATTGATACATTTAGTGTTGTTTTAACGAAAGACGCTAACAGCAATAAAGAGACGCTATTTTACAATGAAAACAATAGTTTATCATTTTTTTGTTATTTTCTCTTCATTTTTTACCTCTTTTAATTGTTAAGTGCTATTTCTTCCTCTTATATAAATATATATACTGTAGACTGTATATATGTAAATATATATGATAAAAAGTATGCACTATACAGTCTATATTCATTTTAAACAGAAAGGAATAAGAATGAATACAAAAGCACTAAAACATATATTCAAAGCAAAACACAAACTCATCCACAAAAAACGTATTTCAGACACATATACCATCTATTGGTAGGTGGTATATTATTTAATTGTTACAATTTCAGAGATAATAGTCTAATCCAGGGACTTCTGTAACACCTCTTTAGATGGTTATAGGCCTTTTCTTTATTTCCTCCCACGTAAAAGTATAGTTGTCATGTTAGACAAAAAAAGAGAAAAGGTTTGCTAAATAACTAACATAGGGAAACAAAATCATTAAATATACTATTTATAAATGCATTAGGTAACATTGTTTGTGCTTAGAGGATTTCTGCTAAATAATAATTCATAATTTAAAGAAAAAAAAATTCTAATTCTTTAATATAGAACAATATAGAACAGTTTATGTTTGTGTTTAGATAGGGGAAAAAAACTGCTTTTCCTCATCAAACTAAAGCGTTATAGTTTTAAATTTCCCAATAAACTAACAAGAGGCTGTCTTCTTTTTCTTTTTCTTAGTCTAGAGGCTCTTTTTTTATTGGCGTATTAAACATATCTACTAATACTCTTATCCTACTCTCTTTACATGTTTTCCCTTTCTTTTAGTCTGTATATCTGCTTCCTCTTCCCTTATCTTCCGTGTTATTATTTTCTTAAGGGAAAAAACATGATGAAAAGCTTGGTTAAAGTCAATTATACTTATGGCCTCTAATTAACATAAAATTTGTTAATTTTTTAATATGTCTCCCTCCAAAGATTTATATTAAGAATAGTAGAAAAGGATTTTTATTTAGCTTTTCCTTTCCTTCTTCTTTTCCTTCCTCAACAAAATATATAGTATAGACAAACATTCGATTGTTCTATAATTAACGAATATGACGTAATGACGTAATTTTTTTTCTTTTAAGAAATTATATTCCATAAAGATAATCGAATGGTCATGAAATGTCAACATAATTTACGCGTTATTCTTTATATTTAGGGTTAACAATTTATTAAATTAGTTATACTTTGTCTACATATCTATTTTATTTTCATAAAGGGATTAATGAAGTAATAAGAAGCGCTATAATTATTTTTGCTTCATTAATTAAGAAAGAGAGTATATTGTATAGTTTATTTAAAAGAACACTCTGTTTCTTGAAGTTCTATCTATCATACTTTTCAACGAAATTACGCATTATCGGAATAATGAAAACTTTGATTATAAACCTTTATCTATTAAAATTAATTTAATTGAATTGAACTGTTCTGTCTCTCTCTCTCTCTCTAATTCGATTCAGAATGTATTAATTGAACAAAATGATATTTGTTAAAAGTTGATTTTTATAGGTCTATTCCAAAGGAGAAAACTTAACAAATGATAAATTGTTTTATACTTATTTTAGATAGTCTTTTTGTTCAGATTTAGATAAATTATAATATAGGTAATGTATACTGTATATACAATATAATCACTCACGCTCTTAGAATAAATGATTATATAATTTATTCATGAGAATAATATGACTATATTCAAACTTTCGTGAGATATATATTATTATGTATATTAAATGTTATTTGATCTTTTAAATGAAACTGTAATTCGAATCTTATTGTTCTCTTATTATTGCTGTTTTTTTTAATTTTTTTTCCAAGTCATTTCCTTTATACGATAGATGGAGTTTTTGTTACAAACCTATAGTTTGTTTACTATCTTACCAATGTTGAAGCGACACCTAGTGTTTTTGTAATAGTATTCATAGTAGTAAACATTATTGTTTGTATGCCGTGAAATAGGAAACTTAGGTTGTATTTTATTGCTGGGCCTAAATGAAGCCATCCTCGTAAGGAGATATTATATTACACAATAGGCCTAAAAGTAGGATAAATACTTTAACGTCTTTCATTTAGGTTGTTGGCTGACCGCTTTTTTTCTAGAATTGTGTAGTTATCTTGAATTCGTACGAATACTAGAATGTTCTAGAAAAATCTCTATCTTTGCACTCTATCTGCTCCTCATTCTCTTTCTTGCTATCCTTTTTTTATGTCGAAATTTTTTAAGTTGGCTTTTAGTCCTATAATACAGAACTTATCCTTCTAGATTGTCTTTGATTTAGATGTATTAAATTAGCGGTCAACAGATGATGAGATGCTATAAAAAGAAAATTCAAGGGAAAGGGGAAATAACATAGATTTTCCTCATTTTAATCATTTATACTTTTACTTAGCATAACCTTGAGAAAACGATATTAAATATTAATATAACTTTATAAATACGTCTAGCAAATAGCTATTCTTTACAGAACACGATATATTTATCTATCTAAAACGCTAATTTTTAAATTAAATAGCATATAACTTCAAAAAAATGGTACAGAACTATGCCATAGATGATATTTTAATAATATAATTATTCTAATTACAGCTGTCTCCCTCCTAATGTCTTGTTTTTACAATACAATATCAAGCTTGCACTCGTAAACATATTGCGCAGGTTTATTTATGATTTCTTCGAAATTCGCGTATTTGTGGTGAGAGAGAGAGAAGGGGGGAAAGAGAGAGAGAGAGAAGGGGGGAAAGAGAGAAAGAGAGAAATAGAGAGAGAGAGAGAGAGAGAGAGAGAGAGAGAGACAGACAGACAGACAGAGAGGCAAAGGCTTATTTTGCTTAAAAGTTGAATGGCATAACCAAGCTTATATTTATATGTATTGTTAAAAATTGTTTTATTCAACACTTCTAATACTAGTTTTTTGTAACTAAGCTGTAAGATACTTGGAATTTTTTTTACAGGATTAACGAATCTACGTAGTTAGAGAGAGAAAAAACGAGGAATATGGAATAGAAATTTCTCATTTTTTACTCCTAGGCCTAATTAGAATATTATTAAGACAGGTTTCAATGTAATGTATTGAAATGAATGTGCTAAAGAACTACTGTTACCTTAAAAATTTTATCTTATTATAATTATTTTACTAGCAGTAAAATATTAACAATTCGCATATGTTATAGAGTCCAAAGGAAGCCAAACCTGTGAATTAATTACAGTTAAAGATAAAAGACAGATACAAACTTTTTTTTAAGTGTCACGTTTTTAGAACGCATCATTAATAATATAAGAGGATTTTTTATCTCATGTAGTACGATTCTTACGTAACTTTGGTGATTGGCTTATCGATGACCTTTTCTCTTTGAAATAAATATAGAAAATTGATTAGTCATTCATACAGAGTTGTAATGAATTAAATAGCTTTATAAAAAAAAACCAAATAGGAAAAAAATAGACGTAGAGTAAAGAGAATGCAGGAAAAGAGTAAAAATATGCCGCTATTTTAAGCTGGGTGATAAATATACTTTAAGAGAAAAACGCTTTAGTTTGAAGATCAATGAACAGAGAGAAAAAAGAGAGACATTTATATACAAAATACAGCTCTTAAGTATTTGTATGAAAATCGGTCAGATGTCGAGATTAGAATTTATCCTTGTTTGCAGTACAACTTAATTTATAGAGATAATTTATTAGAACCTACAGAGAACGCGAACAGAGAGAAAACGAAGAATTAATGATAACGGGAAAAGAAAAGAGTTTAAATAGAAAAGAGAATATGAAGAAAGGATAAACTGCAAGTGACAAACACACTTCTGATATAATTTTCTAACGTCAATGGCATAGTATTCCCTTTTGACATGAAAGGTTTTAAACTGTACTACCTTACAGTCTTCTTACTCTGTTGTCGTAAAAAATAAGAAAGGGAATTGATAATAAACTGCAAATTATTGTACTACAGTTAGTTTAACCCAATACAAACTATAACCTAAGGCAATAAATGAATTACTTTCTTGCGAAATATCTTCGTGGACGATAAAAGAAGTAAAAGAAAGAAATTTCTGATACAAATAAAAGGGGAGAAAAGTTAAAGATTCGTAACTCAAATCACGTCTTCTAGTTGTGTCTTTAGTTTGTTCTTAATGAATATGTTTAGGATGAAGGGGGGGGAGGGAAGGGAAAATTGCCCAAGTGACAGATAAATCCCCTAGCGATTATGTCACGTTGTAGGCCTCGTTCTGAAGTTTTTCTTGGAAAAACTATTTATCGATTGAATTTCAAATACAACAGAGAATAATAGCCAACGTAAAGAATATGAAATAGAGATAAAAGAATCATTTAATTAGATTATCAATCCTGGGGAATAATCGTCGCAAAAGAAAGAAATATGAAATAAAAGAAGGAAACCCCATCTTAATATATTTTACTCTTTTATATAAAAAATATAACATTTATAAGCGTATTCTGTACCTAGAAAAACAGTAAAAATGTTTATAATATAGACATATTATGTGTTTGTGTACTTATAGATATGTATAAACAATAGGTTTCTTTTTAATAATCGTCTGTGTAGATTTTCTTTTTTTTTTATAGAAAAACAAAAAGGTTAGTAATTTTATATTTGTATACAAAAAGAAAAATACAGGACAAAATAGAAGAGATGCAGAGAGAAGGATTAGTGTTTGTTACATAGTTTGAGTGTCCTGCTCTTCCTCTTTTTCATTTTTTCTTCGTGTATATTAACGATACCAATCAGATCACCTTTTTATTTAGCACGCAATCCCCTCTTGTACTTGTAAGCAATTATTGCAAAGTTCCTTGTGTTTGTATTTGTTACAGGTTACAGTACATTTCAAGGTCATTTTATTCAATTTCACTAGAAATTTCATAAATCAATTTTTAAATCCTTCTAGTGAAACAGATGCATGAAGATTTTTTTTTTAATGAGTATCAATTCAGGTTTGTTTATTTTTAGAAATCTTATTATCTTAGCTGGAAATATTCTAAATGATTAAACTAATTCATTAATTATAAGAAATCCTTTGATAATATCGTAGAAATTTGAACCAAATTTAGACTTGAGTCGAAAACAAGCCGAAAATAGCTCAAATCGATAAGCGGAACGAGAAAATCGATACAGGTGGCGCTGTTGCCCTCTTTCTGAGTCAGCCTTCGTATACATAAGGTTTCAAACGGTTTCGAAATGCTTTTCAGTACGTTCCTACTCTACGATTAATAGTAAAGTAACAAATATGGCTGTTGATTTTTGCGTAAGTCTTTTTAGTGATGAAGAAGATGAGAAGGAATTTACTACGAAGAGAGAATTCTCGGATCCTTTGAGGATGTTTCGTTATTGTGCTCATTCCGAGAGAGATATAACGAACGATTGGAATTCCAAGGCCGAATGGACCGGTGAAAAATGGTCGGAAACTGTTAAGGCCTCGAACTTTTCTGAATCGTTTACGGAAGACAGGAAAAGAGTAAATAGGAAGAGGAAAGCCTATTCCGTTCTAGTAGAGCATCCTGTTGGAGAGTTGGAGCAGTCTCCAACGGTTAAATTGCATTTGGAAGGTAGCCAATTGGCTGTCGGACTGCAAGAACAATTGATTAATAAGGTTAATTTGGACGCTTACCCAGATCTTGATTTGTCAACTTTATCTTGTAAAGTAAAAAAAGGTTATTTTATACTTAAATCCGGTTCAAGTAGATCAAGAAAGTGGAGTGGAGATTCTAGAAAACGTGTATATTGCGATGAAAATGGCGACAGAATGCTACAATTTCTCATACCAATCAGACACGGTTCCATACCTGAACAGGTTAGTCAAATTTTTCCTTTTAACCGACCCAAAATTAAAACAAGAGTTGAGCAGAAAACGGTATTGGAAGAGAGAAAGAAATAGACAAAAGAAAGTAATACCTATACTTTTCATATACATCTTTTTGATCGCAAATTAGAAATCTTCACAGACGGCAAGGTTATAAGGGTTAATAGATAAATGGACATCGATCCATTCTGTAGTCTATAGTATTTTATCTCCTTAAGTACCATCAGAGGGAAAGAAAAGACAAAGAAAAGAGAAAACAGAGTTTACCCCCACGCAAAATGCAAAGAATTTACTAAGAATGACCTAGTGTCAATAAATAGAGATTACATAAGTTAACCAGGAAATTCAACCACATAACTAATAATCCGAAAGGATATTATATGAATATCCTTACAATACTTAACAAAATTTATCATTGAAGAGAAAAATCTCAAGAATAAGTAAAATATTTTAATATAGAAAGTAAATGTTTAAATAAAGAATTATAATAAATATAAACGTATATATATATATATATATTAGTATGTAATGTATATACATCATAGACAGCATACAACATATAGAATATATTTAATTAATACTCAAATATAAAGTCTTTAATCTATAGGTCACGTGGGCATATAAAAAAATTATTAGAGAAATATTAGAAAAAAAAAGAAAAGCTTCCATAAAGAAGACTTCCAAATGTTATAAAGTAAAAGAGAAAAACCGGCTTACGTGAGAAACTTTGTAATGACATTGCAAGAAAAGTTGTACATAACGCAACATAAGAAATTGAGGATAAGTTCTATTTTTAGGTATTTTTTTTAAGGTATGAAATATGTGTCTCAATGACATAAGAGTCGTTATATAATAAGAATATTTTTAATAGTCCGTCTCTTAGATATATAGGTATTGTTATTTTTTTTTTGCTTATGCGGTTATGAATGAACTACTTTTAAGTAAACTGTTGTACCGGCTACAATCTTTTGGTTAGGTTACTCAGCTAATTTTTGTTATTCAACCGCCCTCTCTCTCCCTCCTCTTGTTAACTTTACTTATTAATTTATCTACTTAATTGAATACTTATACATATATACAAACAGGTTAAGGTCGATGTTGATCGAAAAAATCGTACTGTAAATATCATGGCAAGTTCAGTTGTTGAAAAGGAATGGATGAATATTGAAAAAGTATTCTCCTTTTCGCAACACCTACCACAAATGGTTGACTTGGAAAAAGTCAAAGTGAGAATGAGATCGGAAGACGACGAACCAATACCCTACCTCGAAATTTCGGCTCCTTTTCAGGACGAAATAAGAAATTCCAACGAAAGAAGGAGTTCATTTTGAAAGTGAATACATGTCCGTGGGCGGGAAACATGGGAAGGATATAAAGTATTTTGCGTGGGAGGACAGGATGTTATTTGTTGTTATTTGTTGTTCTTATACTGTTTTAACTTGTTAAGAAATGTTGAACTTTTACTTCTTTTGTGTACTTGAACAATGATTCATACTTGAGAAACAATCTAGTGTAAAACAAAAAGATATGTTAATTGCTATTACAAATAGCAATCTGTCTATATACAATATAAACTATATACTTAAATATATACATTACCTGTATTCATAAATGTACATAGTATCTTGTAGTGAAATGTTAATACTTTTGTATGAATATTTTAAGTCTATTTGCTACGAAGTAGATGTTTTTTTTAAATGTGAACTATAAAGCAAGAAATAAAAAAATTACTAACTGAATAGAGAGAATACATACATTATTTCTTTTGAAGAGAAATATTAGAAATAACTCAACCTTTTCTTATTATAAACATAATGTATAAATATCATAATGATTATCTTCATTGAAAACAGAGGAAGTAAAGGGATATACTAAAGAATTATTACTCGAATGACTAACTTACAAGTATTTTTGTTATTCTTCATTTAAAATAAATAAATAAACAAAGAACATTTTTACAGATAAACATAGTTTTTTTTCCAAAGAGCATTGGTTGTTATAAATAGTGAGATCACTTAAATAGAGTCTAAAAATAAGAACAACATAATCATTTAATTAGATTTTTTTCTCGCGCTCTCTCTCTCTCTCTCTCTCTCTCTCTCTCTCTCTATCTATCTATCTATCTATCTATATCTATCTCTCATTCGAGCTCCCGTCTTGTCCTTCTCTATTCATTCTCTCTTCTTCATTCTTCTTTTCAATGCCATTCTGTTCGTTATTTTTTGTTCGTAATACTATTAACAGTGACTTTAATCAAAGCTGTACACAGTTAATCAACGACAGTTTATAGATGCCAATTTATCTCTTATACACGTGTGCTTAATCTGATTTATTCTGTAATTTAGTTTAGCGGCGTTTATATTTAGATTATTAATCGTATATTAATTGCAATTATTATAATAATAACTTTCTCCCTCTCTGTGATTCTGTCTTGTTCAATATTCTATCATTAATTGGGTCCATGGGAATTAGAAAAACAACAGAAATCAATTAGAAGAAAGGAATACTTCTATTTTCCTATAAATGCCGTTCCCTCTCTTCTCTCTTCCTTTGCCTGTCTCTTTCCTATTCAATGCCTACTCTAACTATTTCTTTCTCTCTAGCTGCTTCTGTATCAACTCAATTCTATTCTCTCCTTTTTGCTATTGACGAAATTCGTGGAAAGCTCATTTAGAAGATATAAGTAATTTAATTCAACTGTAATTGATTGATTATCAAGTGTGACCTTTTCAATTTCGCTGTAGTAAATTTAGCTAAGCTAATGCGAATAAATATTTCAGAGTAGTACTAAGAAAAAGACTGGATAAGGAATGCTAAAAACCGACAATAAACCGGATGTGTACAACTCTCTCTCTGTCTCTTTTGATATATGGATATTCAATTAATTTAGATTTTTGTCAAGGTGATTAAGTCACAAGGGAACACTTTCCAAGAAATAGTTTTCAATATGATTTTGATATTTCAATGCTGAGCGATGTGGCCTTATTATGGTCATACTGTGTCCTTCATCCTACGTTGACTTTCTCATTAATTATTGAGGAGATTGCGAGGACGTTGATCTCCCAAAAGCAAAAAATCCACCGTGGTGTCAACTCTTTGCTAGATGATCGCTGACGTTAGCTAAACCCAAGTTCGCTGAAAAAGTTACAAATTGGCGGGAACATACGTTCTTATCATTTAAGACGTTAACATAAGTGAAAAAAACATAACGAGAGAAAAATCACGATTGCAAAGCTTGTAAAGGATTAATATCAGTTGTTCTGTTTTCAATAGATGTTACAGTTTCACAATAGAATATAATTCAATTTTATTAAATCCAATTTGTTTCCCATATTAACGACAAGTCCAACTTATCTTCCTGCCCGATAGATATTCCTATAAATTAACGCTGATGACTTTTTTTTTCGCAATGTCATTTGACTTGACCTTTGCAGTTGGATTGAATATCATATTTTGTTTAAGGGTATAAAGCTCGTTACTCCTTTCATTTCCAATTTTTTATTCCCTCTGGTATTTTGTATTCATTTTATTTAAACTTTTTTATTTCTATATTTAAAATTTAAAATTGATTTAGAGTAGTTTCTCAATAAATGAAGAGAGAGCGAGAGAGAGAGAGGGGGATCTTTACAGGATGAGAATCTCTCCAGAGATATTAAAAACGTTAACGTTTTACCAGATAAAATTAGTGTCGACAAGTACCATAAAGAGTCCGCCGAGAACTGAGCTGCTCTTCTATTTCACCATTTGACCTTCAATATGACTTTGACGACTGCAAGTCTCAACGTTCTCCTTATTCGAAAGTGTGTTCCTTAGATTGAATTGGAATATATAAATTTAAAGATAAATCGTGGTCGTTGACCATATCACTAAAATTTCAAAGAAACTCCATGATTCTCCGTCCGACAGCTGTCATTGATTTTCTCTTTAATTTCTCGGTCATTTTCCCCAGCATTACTAACACAGGACGTACAAATCGATTAGCTCTACTAGTTTGTCAATTTCTGCATTTCTATCTTACTAGGAATCATCTTCATATACTTCTGCCGCATTTAACAAAAACCTCATTTCACTAATAGTGAAAGTGATTTAATATAAGAATGCTACTTTAAATATTCATAATAAATTATCGAATCTTGTGATCGGCGAATAGAGCTTACTAATGGAACTCATTTTTTTCCTTTTAATAGGCATACGCTAGGCAGGTTTTCTCTTTTTCTTAGATTTTTTTCTTGCAAGGAGATATTATTTAAGAAGTCTAGGGTGGGGTTTCTTATTTACGAGATCCGCAAGATGTCGTACGCTTGGCTGGAATAAATTCTTTTCTATAAACGAATATAGTAATAAAAGGTATTGATATTGTTTACATTTCTGTCCTTTTACTTATTTGTAATTTACTACGAAATGGACTTCGCCAACCTTGATTTAAATTATACCCTACTGCAATTTTTTTCCAGTTGACATACTAGATTGACTAAAGGAACGATTATTAGAGCTTAAACTGAGGAAGAAACCTCGAAATTGAAGAATAATTATCCTAGATTCCGCGAATTCGTATTGCACTTTTAAAAGCAATACGACAAGTCTGTCTTAGATGTAAAATTTCTTTTTCTGTCTGTTTGTGCAATATTATAAAAGAGTACGTTTTTTGGACATGTATATATCGAGGCGTCTCTTTTTACAAGCAAACGCTCTCCAAAATAGATATACAAAGACTAGCTTTTTGTGAGGAAAAATTATAGACCATACAACCTTTTAAGTATAAAAGAGTTTTCTCGTCACGTTTGTCACTTTTCTAAAGTCTCCTAATGATGCAACATCTTTTGTAAAAAATACAAGAGACAGACTAAATCACCGAGAGTCCCTTCTGTTAATAATCATGGCATACATGGTTACAATAACATTGTCCTAATTTATTCTACACACTAATAACGCATAGTAGACATAAATATTTTTCTTTAGAAAATAAGGAGACCGCGCGAACGCTGATCTCCCACTAACAAAAATTGTACAGTCGAGTCATCTCAATGTGAGATGATCGCAGACGTCAACCAATCCGGAGTGCAATGGAAAGGCCTCAGTCTGAGGAAGCCGCCTTCTTGATCGCGGCGATTCCCCCTGCCAGGTAAGTATGCTTAATATGGGTTGCCGGTAAACATGTATAGCAAAAAATAGGAAAGACACTCTTGTGCCTCATTTGCATGTTGAGTTCACGGGAGCGCGTCGTGCCAATATACCAGTTAAATTTATTTAAATAATTTATCTAATCATATATTTAACTACTAAACATATCATCAAAAGTAACAAAATAATAGAAATGGTTAAATTAATTAAAGGAGCATAAATATATTGCAAATTATGAGTCAGACTGGTTTCTTATAGTATTTTAATAGTAACAACCTCTATATTTGTGCTCTTTCATTTACTATATTCAATTAGTATAGGAGCATTATTATTTCCTTGTTGTATAGGAAATTTGATTAGCTGCAAGGCGAAATTTGAGTTTGTACTTTATGTATTTAGACTAACCCAAAATAATTATGCATTAAAGTGAGAATATAAATAAGGATTATTGTATCAGCTATTTTTTGTCTCATAAGATTAGCTTTGAAGGGATTATAGAAAGAATAGATCCAGAGAACGATAGATAGAAAAAGTCCCCCTATCAATTTTAAGAATAAATTCCCAATTGGTAAATAACAGAACGCAAAACGGAAACCAACTTCCGGAAGTTTCTCCCTTCCGTACTCCATTTAAATCCTTACAACACATCATACCTATCCAATTGTAAAACCAATTCTTATACATAACAGCTTTAAAGTCATTTTAAAGGATATTGCTCTTTTATCGATACCTTTATGGGTATTATTAATAAAATTTAACGTGTACTTAATGTAATAGTTTGCAGCCTATTAATTTTCGGTTTGTTCTTTTTTTTTGTACGTAAACTAGCTTACAAAAGTTGAATTTACTATCATTTTCTTTTACTTTTTCATTATTCCTTTTCATCTTTTATTATCATTGCCTTATTTTGACCATTAAAGAAGACTGACAAAATAAATTTTATTGGTAAAAAGCCTTGGCTCATAAAACTTTGAAGAATAATTATCATGATTATTTTATCGCTCAATAGGTAGTCTACTACTTAATTTTAATATTCAGAATAAACAGCGTAATAAGTTATTTATTCTAAAGGATTGTTTTCCAACCGGATTATATAATAATGTGAAAAAGATAGAATATTAATTGAATACTCGTAAATTTACAGTATAAGATTAACTCTTCTGGATAACTATAGCTATCTTTAATCTCTATAAATGACGAAAATGTTAATAGAGCTTAAACCAAATAACAATATTAAATAAAATAGGTAAAAACTATTTAAAACTTGTCCAATTAACCTGACTTTACCTTTTCATCTATATCATTATAGTTAAGATCAAATGAAGTAATTGATTTATCAAAGTTTATAGTTTTCTCAGTCTCTACTCTTCTGATTTTTCATATCAACGTTGTATATGAACCCAATACATGTTGGATTTACTTCCATCCTACAACCTTTATAAACCTCTATGTAAATAATATTTCATCTTTCCATTAAATATGGACTAGTAATTGATGTTGGATTGAGTTTGTAAAAAAAAAAAGTAAGAGCTAAGTTTAATGTCTGGGTTGGAAGCAGTTCTGACGGAAAAGACTCATTTAATCAAGAGAAAAATTTCCGAAGAAAACACATATATAGAGGAAGCAAAAAGGAGATAGAAAAAAATTGTAGAATTCTCTACAATCCTTGTGATAATGGACCTTCGTTCAATCGAAAATTTCTATAATAAGCTAAGCAATGCATTTATAATGAGAAACTAGATAAAAAATATGTAAAATTCATACATTTTTATGCTAAAAATGTTTATTTGCACCCAAGTTCTGCTATTAATATCGATATTGGATTCATCTTTAGGAAATTATTATGATTAGACGTTGATCAACGGAAGGAGATAACTTTTAGATTCCGTTTTGATTTGAGATCTACAAATGCAAAGAATGATTATACATTAATATATATATGTATATTAGTATATAATAAATATGTATGGTGACGTTACTTAAAGCGATTGAATCTTATTTACATGGTGATTTTGGACTTATCTAGTTACTCTTTTTATCCTCAATAGGATTAAGAGAGTAATATATTTCTATGTATGTATACATATACATATTACTGTTTACATGCATCCAGTTAATCATTTCACTCGTACTACAGCATTTTTATATTAAATAGCTCTTTAAAGGGAATTCTCCCAAAAACAAATCGCTAAAAGGAATCAGAGATTGTTAAATAATTACACACAATTGAGGATATAAACTCATGAAAGATATAAACAAATTGGCTCTGTAATGAAAAACAAAAGACTTTACACAATTTAGCCTATTGTAACTATAATGGATTTGCTAATCTATCTGTAAGCAAAGTTCGTACAATGTCATTTGTGCTGGTTGAGCTCTACAGATTTCCCTGGAAAAACAGTACTACTGCATATTATCGTTATAAAATCGTAATATGGTTGTTGGCGGAGGAACCAAGAAATATTCTTATATCGCTCAGCTTTTAAAAGTTTTTTAATAAATGTAGTTTATTAAGGAGAAAATATTTTTACTTTAGGAATATTCTACAGATACTTTCTTCAAATTACATACTGTAATATTAGATTCATTGTGAATGCTTAGCGCCATCTGCATTTTATATAGTATATTAGTTTGTCTTCTTAAAATGAACAATAGTTGAGCAAGAAATGGATGCCTGAAAATATTATTTATTACTTTTTGTACTCTAGGCTATATTTTATTAAAGAACATTAAACACACTCAATTTTCTATCATTTAACGATTAGTTTGTAATCTATATTTTTAAAAAGCAAGTAAACTTTTTGTTTCAAGCTTATGCCATTAGTTTTTAGCTCCGAAAGCTTTTACTAGAAAAGTTTTTTCCTTCGTTTTTCTATCTTCGTGGATATAATCAACAGCAAAATTGCTTATCAAATTGTGAATTGATTCAAAAGTTTCCTGTCTCTCATCACCAATTGTCACACGTCCGAGGGGACCTCGATAAATTTTTAAATGTATAACCTTCCTACTGGAGCTTAGTATTGATATTGAATAACCATCTTGACCTCTATCTCTTATCAAAAAATCACCAACGTCTCCTTCTCCCAAGCAAGCAATAGCTTGTTCACGGGAAAGACTTCCGTAATACCAATCTCTTCCAGCAAATTCACCGACAGCAGTTTCTCTATAATAATCCCAAGATGGAATTTCTTCTACGTAGCGAACTGGGACCATACCCTTCTCATTATTTTGATTTTCAACTCTTAACCATTCTTCACCTTCTTGATTTATTACTAACAGGATTTCATTTGGCTAAAGAAATAAAACATAGGATTTTAATTATTTGCATTTAGTTTATTAAAATATTTCTATTACTGATATCGTTAATTCGCTGATATCTCTTGCGATGAACCTGAACTTTGCTTTAACTTTTGTTTTCTGAAATTCTACGTAGTTGAGAGGAACAAAACCGGATTCCCCTAAATTATTTTCCACTTTCAGCCATGAATTTTCTCTGTATAATAACTTTAAGTTTTGATTAGGTTCTATATTCATTTCTTCACTTCTTTCAGCTGTGTATTTATAAATCGCTTTCAATTTCATATTAAATGTTTCCATTTGTTGAGACTAGCCTAATCTTTAAAATGTCTAATCTTAACTTGAAAATGTTGTCACCCAAAATATGGCACTATGTTCAAGGGTGAAATAACTTCCTTAATCTCTCTACACTTTTTTGATATAAGGCCAATATTATTCAATGACGCACAGTATTACTTGAATTATTGTCATTCAAGCAGGATGCGCCATCTAACTGACTAAAATAAAATTACATTAACATTTATACATTCTTCAAATAATTTACTTTATGAGATCAAATAAGAAAGATTCGAAGATACAGATATTTCCATCCTTAAGATAATTAGTATTACTAGAATTAATGCATGACATTAGGGAAACAAGGAATTTTTCGGATTCTTTATAATTTATACTGTTTTTTCAAATGAGTAATAATATGCTTATTACCTATATTCAGTACTATTTAGCTTTTATATTGTGTAAACAAGGAAGTAAATTGATTATAAAAAACAAAATAGTAGAAAGAGAGATAAAAAATGAAGCTTGAACGACAAGAAATATACGTTGCAGCATGAACGTTGTTCAACTATTATATAACCTATTCATTGATATTAAAGAAATATAGAATTTAAAAATAAATATATAAATAGTTTTAGGTTAAAGAAAAACAGACCTTAATAAATTAAGACTATTCATTTTTCCTTTCAAAAAAGCAATTGCGCGCTCATGCCATTGAATAGGCATGAAAATATAAAGGATACATCTCGGAATAAACTTTTTTTGAATACCTAGTATTTATATATAATAGTTTATTATAGAAAGGATAGAATTTCGTGTATTCAGAAGATTTTAGCAATTTTTAACTACTGTAGGAACTTCCAGGATGCATAATTATTACTTTTCGCTTAAAGTAATACATCGAAATGTGATATTAAAATAAATACGTAATATTCAAATTATTTTTTATGATAATGTTTATTTGTATTTCAAATATAATAGATAGTTCAAGTGTCAATATTTTATGACTTTTACTATACAAAACGGTACAAAATTAGTTAAACAGGCAAGTGATATAATTGATAATCGATACAATTAAGTGATAAATCTTTGCAGATATAATAAATAATTTGACAGTAAGTTGATTAAGTAATGTTTGCGATCTTTTAACTTCTTTTTTGAGAGGGCCAGGTGTAGGGAACAAGAGAAAGAAAATTGTTTATCATTTTTTTATTACTCAAAATACTCTACCCCAATTTTATCAATCTCCAAAAAGAGGTTCGATTTTCGACTGCAATTTTATTTTTAGGGTAAAAGGTCGACAAAAATATTTTATCTCCTTTATTTAAATAAGTAACTACTGATGTTGAGCAAGATGTATATTGCTCTTCCAGGGCCAGTTTATAAATTTTGTTGTCATATTTAAACTTTTCTTGATATTTTTTACGTTTCTCAGTTTCTTCCATTGAATCTATTTTTTTTGTTTTTTCATTATCTGTAATTTCTGAATAAGTAACTTTATTAAGACCAGCAGTATTAATACACGTTGATAAAGTTTGAACTTTTTTGACCTCAGAAATTTTATTTATCTTGAAGCCGTTACGATTTACATCATTAAAGAAGGTTATCTAAATAAAGCAAAAAAAAAGTTATTAATCATGTTTAAATGGTAGCTGTTCTTTCCCTTTGTACCTGTGCATGAATCCAATAATAGCCCAATTTTTTTATTTTTAAATCCCCAGATGTTATATTGAATTCTCCAATTTGCGTATTGTTTGCATGTTTCGAAGTTTCCACCGTCCAATTTCTTATTACAGTCTCCCAAAAACCTCGGTTATCTTTTATTTGACAGTAAGGTTCTTTTGAATATAGAGAAGCCCCTGTTTCTAGACTGCGACAATGATAATCTTCATCTGATTTCAATGGGATCGGATTGAAAAGCATCAATTGGGTTGTGTTTAATGGGAGATGATTCTTTAAAAAGAAATCATAAATGTAAGTAGTCTATCAAAGGAATATTGTTTACAGCAAACTTACTTCATATTTCTTAGATCTTTCCCTAAATTGCTGCAAATTATCAAAAATAAATGATATTTTCGAGTGAAGATTTTCTATGCTTTTCAATATCTGTAAAACAGAATACAATAGATTAATGATTAAGGATTATATATGATACATACTGGACAATCTCTTGTTGAGCACGAAGTTTTTGATTTAAAATCTTTACATTTCTCAGAATGACGTTTGCTTTCGCAAAACTTAAAAAGCCTCCTGCATTCCTTTCTGCTGCATTGTGCTCGTCTCTTCACTCTTTTAAGTATTGGCTACAATATTTAAATAGAAAATTAAATATACTATAAATATTTATAAGCGTTAAAGAAATTAAAAACAATCTTACCATTTTCTCAATGATTTCTTTTGAATTTTCACTTTTTCTTTGAACTGCGTGAACTCTTTTCAATTCAATCTAATAAAAAATAGATTCAATGAATCAGAGTGATTTTTACAGGCTTTTTTTTTCTTTTAGTATATGTATATATGCTTACAGTTTCTTTTTCATGAATTTGCATCTGCAAGATGACTGTATCATAGATTACAAGTGATGACATCACTAAAAGAGCGATACCCAAAAGTATATGAAAAATTGATACCTTTGAAACTATTCCCTCCATGATTTAAAACTTATTCAAATGAGCATTCATATAATATTCTTGGTTTTTTATACTGGATCAGAGTATACGTTCACACGCTCATTGGTTATATTTTTTTTGCGCTAGGGTCTCGCCCTGCATACCAATCTACGTTTTCTGGATCTATGTCTTTTATTTGAGGTAAACATTGAAGGTATTAAGTTACAATTTCTTAAAACTTATTAATAATTATATTAGATATACATGATATGAACTAGGGAAGATAGAATGCAATAATTTAAACGCGATATATAATTATATATATATTTAAATTAAATTTAATTATATTATAATAAGAGGTATGATCGTGCAGTTCTTTTTAACTGTCAACATTTGCAGATTGTAATTCCCTATATATATACCTTTTTATTACTTTTCAACATATGTTGAAAAATATGAAAGTAATTGAAAAGCGTACTTTTTAAACTTTTTCTTTAATGTAAAATATTTATTCATTTTTAACATAAGATAGTTTTTGTAATGATAAATACAATTGACTTTATTATTGTTAAAAGAAATCTATATTACAAATACTATATATTTTTTACAATTTTACATGATTATTACAAATCATAAATAACAAAATATTTAATCTTATCCCTTGTATTTAACTACTTTTCAAATGAGAACTATGCATTTCTTTGTTAAATTATTGAATTCAAAACAGCCTATCACTATTCTGTAACTTTAAATAAACAAGGTGGACAATTATCAAGGTTAAAACATTACAAAAATATGTTATTATATTCTAATTAGTCTTTTAGAACACAAGCTATGCAAAAAAAATACGTATGATTTATCTACACGGGTTAACAGTTTTTTTATACTTATTATACATTAATAAATGGATACAAGTCGATATAAAATATTGAGTTTTTTCAAGTACAAATCCACCATTTGGCCTTTTTTTCAAGCAAGATAGAACTCCATTAGGCCTAACAATAACTTAACTCCTTAACTCTAACAATATGTTAAGACGGACAATGAAACAATACATATTAAACATTAGACAAATTGTATAGATTACAATATTTTCATTCTCCTCACTAACTAGATTATATCTGAGTTACGCCCCAAAAACTGTTGTACACATCTACGCTGGGTTCTCTTTTTGAATAGGGTGACGCAAGAATTAAGATATCGCCCACGAACAAGTGTTCAGCAATTGCTGTATTGCAAGTAACGTAATGCTTCCTGATACCTAATCTTAGTTTGGTATTATGTTTGGCTTTGTCTTCTGTTACTGTAACGAAAGTAGCTCCTTCTGCTTCCTCTTTGCCCGACTTGAAGATGTTGTAACCTTGCGATTCTACACAGGAAGCAATCTTTTCTATTCTATTTTTCTTAGATTTCATGCTGATCCTCCATATTTTGTAGGTATTGTGATGCACTTTATTGTAGAAAACAATTTGGCTGTAAATCCAGTAGTATCCCTCTTCAAGTATCTTTAGCATGCCAGTATCATTATTATACTCAAAGTTCCCTTTTTGATAATCAATTTTCCAAATGTTAAGCTGCTCTTCATAGAATTTTGGACAAGTTTTTTGCTTGACATTATACATATTCTCATTCAAGCAATATATATCTCGTTTCTTAACTAAAGTATTGATAATTAATAATTAATAATCAATGCTAAACACATATATAAAACTTACAAGAAATTGATCCATTGTAAACAAATTGTATCATTCCCTTCCGAAATACTGAATTTGATATATCCTGCTCTATAACTTTAAGCTTTTTTGACTATTAAAAACAATAAATGAATTAATTTAATTACATTACATCATGATTATTACTGTTACTTACCATTTTCTTTACTTGGCATCTAATACGAAATGACCATTTAGCATTTTTCATGAAAATTCTGTCTTTGCTTGCAATCTCTTTGCATCGATCATTATTTGAATCTTTTTTGCACGATTTTTGAGCAAATTTCAAGTCTGAATATCTTTGACAATTTTTGAACGTCGGAGCAAGTTTCTTCATAAACTTTTATGACGAATTATTATAATACAAAAGGATAGATCAAACTATTGTTTTATTGTATCTTAATAATACCTTTGGCCGTCTTGCTATATACTTTGGTTTTTTAATTGAAGAAGCTTCTTCAATTAAAATTAGGCAAACGACAATTAATAATGCATTCATTATTTTCATAGTGATTTGTTTTTCTAGTTCAGTTATAATAAAATAGATATGCATGCATATATATATATATATATATATATATATATATATATATATATTTCTATAATTCCACTAGGGGGCATTGGAAACTTGTGTATGGTGCATATTGGAAGATATGTTTTTATTGACTTGATTAGATAACTAATACCTAGATATTTTATTTTTAACATTTTGCTGAATTGCACAATTACATTCATTCCGACGAAAACGACATAAGTTTGAAATTTATTACACCGAGAAGAAAATTAGGTAATTGAATATCTCTTGCTTTCCGCAAAACCGACTATAGTCCTATTTGTTTGAATATTCATATAAAAATCAAAGAGCAAGTATTAGACTCTCTTATAACCATCGTAAACATTTCACGCTGCCAAATGTCTGCCTAATACCTGCCACAAAAAGAAAAGTTATAAAAGCTGTCATAAATTGAGAGGACAACATGTCCTAACATATTTTTTATAGCTAAGATCATTAACAAATTTGTTCGCTTTATTTTTTAATTTCAAATTTTTAAGCCTATCTTTTCGAAATATAAATATTTAATTTTTTTGTCAGCTAAATTATCTATATATCTTATTATAATCTATATGATAAATAAAGAAGGAAAGCTTTTAGATACCATTAGATGATCGTTTACTACTATTTCATACATAGGACTACAACTGACCTTAACACCTTTCAGGTGAACAGGAATGCCATCTTTAGGTTTTTATGTTCACATTTAGAATTGAATATATTTGATCGACGATAACTTTTCAATGAAAATTGAATAAAATTCTTATTCAAGCTCATTTCAGTAGTCATTTTAATCCACTAGTTATGGTATACTCGCACACAAATTAATTTAAGATATTCTACATGCGTAGGTGTTTATTTATCAGAGATTCATCCAATAACCACCGCAGTGCGATGCTGATTGGCTAAAAATATTCATTAAAATGGGTATTTATGGCTACTAAAAATATTTATAATGAATGTTGTAAATTTGCTGTGTGTCATTTGTATTAAAATTAGGATTTTACAGAAATTTATGATATTTTTCTTTCTTTGTAAAAGTTTTAAGGAAAAATATTTTATATGAAATAATTTACTTTCCTGTATAATTCAAGTAAAGCAGCATAAGGTAAGTTCAAAAATATTTGAATAGAAATTGACAACTTTGCTATTTTGAAATGAATTTTCAATAGACTTGAACCCGGATTAGAACCCGGATATGTTTGAATGTCGCTCCTATAACAGTAGATATAGAAAGAGTGGAAGTGTATTTGGTCAGTATGTTGCGAGAATGACGATACACACGATATCTGCATATAGTATAATTATATGGATTATATATCTTAAGAACTTTGACAAAACATTGGATATCAGAAACGTGGATTAACTTCCCTTATTTTGTGATAATAACTGAATAGTTCAAATAAACTGTGAGATACATGAAAAAAAATATCTTAGTTATCCGTTAAGGATGAAAAAAAAAACTCTTATTTCTCCTCATGGATTATCATCGCTAACATTATCATGTGACAAATTTGAATCTTATTGAATTTCTTTCTTATTTATTAGAAAATAGTGAAAATTTATTGAAAAGAATAAAATCGCAATCTGAAATTTTTCTAACACAAAAAAATTCATATTTTCCCCTTAAGCAGTGAAGAGAAAACTCTGTTATTTCAAACATCTAATAGGACAAAATTTTGTCAAACATTATTATCGTTCAAATATTGTGGTATGTATAAAATTAATATAAATCAATTAACATTAACAGTATTAAGTTTTTTAGCGTTTACTAATATTTTTGATAAGCTATCTTTTATGTCAAATTCTATTCTAAGTTGTCCCTATCACTGGCCGTTGATTGGTGGTGAATTGAAAGAGAATTCTTCCAAGGCTTGCGTTTCTTATACATTTTATATGTCATAAAGCAAAGGAGGATCATTATAACATTTAGTATAAAGAATATTAAGAGCAGTATAACGTCTTCTCTTTCCCATCCTTCATCATCTGCTTAAATGATTTATATACTATATTAGAAATTATTCATACAGATTTAATATATACAGACTAATATACTGTATATTAATATTAAATAATACCTTCTTTTTCATTTCCTGTATTTGCTGTAGAGTGATTGTCCATATCGTTAAAATGAAAGGTATAATTCAAGAGATTTTTTAAATTTTTGGACGAGCGTATAGTCTGTCTAGTAATACATATATGTACATATATTTAATCGACGGGAAGACTTAATACAGAGAAAGATGCTCTGAGAGGAGTGTTTTGGAAGATTTATATATATATGTGTAAAAAGAACTCGCTGATAGTATGTTGTCCCTTTCAATATTAAACTTCTTATTTAATTCAATACGGTATTGTTATGTTTCAATTTATCTTAACAGTAGTATGCTGGCCAGTTGGAGGACGAGGACTATAATCAATAAAATCTATAAACTTTTATCTCTCTATCATCCCATTATGTAATCTTAAATCTACTAAACTATCTCGCCGTATTAATATTTTCTATTTTACATATTTCGACTTCTCTTCCTTTTTAAAATGATAAAAGTAGTTTATATTTCTTTTTCCTATATTATTAAAGTATTCCCTTTTAAGAATATAATAAAATTTGAATTAAAAGGGAAACATAATTCAACATTCTAAGTGCTTCAAATAGACATTCAAATGAGGATAGGTAATTAATTGTCTAAAACCATAACTATTTTTCAAAAATTTATCAATAATGTATATAAATCTTTATGATAAATGATCAATCGTTATACACACCCATTTAGGTCTAGTCTTTTTTTTTGTTAGTGTAATTTTAGGAAACAATAGAAATAGGCCCTTATTTTTATTCTTAAATTTCCATTAGTGTTTATTTATCTGTTTATTAGAACAGTTTAATCCGTTAAAGAAGTTTTTAAGGACGAAGTTTTGTTAATTTTAACCAGATTTGATTAAAACTTTTGGTAATTATATAATTGTATTTATTGTTAAATTGTCTCCTGTATAGATAGGCTAAAACTTAATACTTTTACACATTCCTAACAGAATTAATAAATGAATATTTCTATAGTTTAAACCAATGATTTGTTAAGAATGAACAAGCAATTAAGCAATATTTATATTGCAAGAATTGTAATTGATATTTCATCTACTGAGTTCTTTAGCTACTTTAATCAGTTTCTGATTAAAACTATACAAGATATCAGCTTAGAAAATCTTTGTATTGTCACGTGGTTAATCGATAAAAGACAGTTGGAAATATGCGGAGATTCATCCCATATCCGAAAGACAAAAGATCTAATCATAACCGAGTTACGTAACCATGGTTATTTGGAGATCGTATTAAGCGATTTAAGTGAGGATTTAGATTGGGAAAAAACCGAAAACTTAGCAGCTCTTTTGTCAGAAAGGGAGCTTCAAGTTCAAGTAAAATACTTTGGGAATAAATTAAATATATTACAAACTGTTAGTGATTTAGGCAAAGATTCGAGAACCGAATCAATAACTTGCTTTATATTCAAGAATACAGATTATTTCGTTCACGATATAGACGTATCAAATACTCAAGCCAATGATATGGCTCTTTTTGAGCAGAGGTTCAATGATGCAATAACTATGAGAAGTGATGCAAATGGTACAGACGATAAGATTGATGAGTGTAAAATAAAAAAATTTGAACATTTCTGTCGTAGGGGAAAATGTTTTAGATTCTATGAAAAATCGATATTCTCTTATGTCTTTGCATTTTTTAAACCGATTCTTAACAATTCATCCCATCATATTTTCTTCTCTCCTCTTCGGAATGAACTTAGTTTAGCAGTTGAAAACAGTGGTATATTTGATGGACTAATTTATATACTAGAAGAAACGCTTAGGGAGAGTTTACAAGATATTATACAAGAGAATCTTCAAACAAAGCCTAAAGTAGTTAACAAAGAAGAAATTCTAAGTAAGCTTGCTAAAGATGGTAAAAGACGTAGAGAATTTCTTCTGGAATACGATAAAAGCTCTAATGTTAGATTTGTTGGTAGGAAACAAGTTCTAAAAAAATTCCTTCAAGACAATAACAAAATATTTACAACTTCAAGGTTTAAACTTGATAATAAACCCATAAATATACCTCATTCTCACCTATATAAGCCTACAATTTACCAGATATCGGCTGATATTGGTTCCATTCCAGCCGACGCCGTTGCAATATCATTGCCAGTAAAAAGATTCATTTTAGACACTGGTGCTTCATTATCTGTAAGAGATGCTCTTGCTGAAGAAGATATTTTAAAAATTCAAAAGATTCTACTGCAAAAAAGATATTGCGCTGGAGAATACTTTTATGAGGATTTTTCTCATTCGCAATGGAAAGGATTTGGATGTATTATAGTATCAAAAACGAATTTATACAGCTATTTAAAATCGTCTACATCGTCTCTTCTACAAGAAATTGACTCGAATGGACATCAAACTTTATTAATGACAATTTTTGGAGGTTCTTTCGGTAAGAAATCTAAAAAGTATACAATTAATAGACTAAATTATGAATATTAATCAGATGACGCTGATGTTAACTTTGACAAGAGTTTAAAAGAAATATTTGAAGCAATTGAATCAACTCGATTCTATCATTTAAAAACAATATATTTGGCTGAAAGAAATCCTAGGAAGGCAACAGTAATTGAATTGTCTAGCTATAAATATAACTTGTCTTGCCAATCTTTAAAGAGACCTTTTAATAAGGAATTAGCTAATCCTTATCACACGGAAAAATGCTTGCAGAGAGCATATAATGTTCAAGATAAATTCTTTATAACTATTCAACTATGCCCCAAGATCTTTGATTGTAATATAGATTTAATGATACTCATTGAATTTGATTTACCTGAAAAACCCTCCATATTTTTTGAAGAAGCTATTCAAAGATTTTCAATTCTGGAAAAGAATAAATTAATAAATATAGAGAAGAAAGAAATATTCCATTTTGTTGGAAATGTAAAGAACCTATTGGTTTTAAACTATAATACAAAATCAAACAACCTAGTAGGATCCAATAAAATTGAAGATGATATTATCGATGGAATTAATAATGTTCTTGAACGTGAAAGAATTGAATCTATCGTTTTTAAGAATATAAGTATAAAAGGTTTGTCATTAATCTGTTATATATATATATATATAATTATATATAATATATCTATTAATCTATTTTATAGAATCAAAAGATAATCCTCCTAATTATAAATTTACTATCGATTTAGTTCATCATTTCTTGAAAAACTATTCAAAACTTTTTGAATTGAAATCAATTGTTATTCTTTCGGATGATAATTCTTTTGAACAGATATCAAGAATTATATAATCAATACTGATGAATATTTATCTTAAATATTCTATGTTATTGCATAATTTTTCAATTTTATTTCTTATCTAATAGAATTAGGATGGTTTATTTAAATAAAACGACTTATTTATCTATATTCATATATTATTAATATATACACTATGTGAAGTATATACAATTTCAGCTTCTATTGCTATACACGTTCGGAATTAGTCATACTTTATCTAAAATTGTATATTTTTTATATATAGTAAGATGGTCAATTATTAGCTCTATATACTTTCTATAGCTTCTTTTAGTAGTCGTTGGCGATGTCTTAGAGTCGATTAGTCAGAAAGGATAGATACAAGGTTACTCAAGGTTGATGGAAGAGGACCTTGGACATATATCTAATATATTTCCTATTAATTCTATGTTGATGGTACAAAATTTTTGCTTAACACTACACTATCTTATTTAAAGTATGTTTAATAATAGTATCCTTCTATTTAATTATATAGAAAAAAAAACCAATCTTGCTTGTCATGTGACTTTTTAATATCTAGCAAAAAAGCTCGGGGCTATTCTCTAACAATCGGTTAAGTTTAATGTTACTGTCATGTGACTGATATTTTAATTTAAATACTTCTATTTAATTTTGATCTTCTGTGTATATTTCATCAAATATTAATTTAAAAGAAATAAACCAGCTCTTTCTCTATGCAAAAGTATGGATGGAAATAATACAGCAACAAGAGAGACAAATGAAAGATACTTGGTATTAAACGGTAACTTATTATTACATTTCATCAAGGATATAGGTGTTGTTGATAATTTGTTTAAGAACTATAAAGAATTAGATAATTTTATCCTCCAGAGCCAATAAAATCTAGTTCAATTGGAGGAAGATTACAATTCGATCACCGCAATACCGATGAAGAAACTTCAGAAGGCGAAGAATCGTTATTATTAAAGTTTAAATCTGAATTTTACGATTGCTTTAAACTATATACTCTATCTTCAAATGATATAGAAGAGATAGAAAGTAACGAAAATGTAAGACTTCGCTATTTAAAAGATAATCAATTGGAAATAATTGGAACGCACAAATGTGTTGAAAAATCCCGTTCACTCTTATACAACCTGCTCTCTCAGTACGGTATTATTTATATGAAGTTTAATGAAGAATATGATAGAATAGTTGAAAAATTCTCGATATACGGAGATCTTAGATTGTTTAAATTACCTAATAAGAGTAAAACTGGTACATGTTTCGGTAATAAAGAACAATTAAGAGATGCATTAAATAAGAATTTAAACACTTCCTGCATAAATTGTATTCGTATTAAAATTTTCTCGTGGGAAAATGAAATATACGAGTCAAGACAAAAAGTATATTCTTGTAAACGAACAATTAATGGATTGAAAATTGAAAATAATAGAACAAATCAACAAAAAGTACATTTGGAACCGGAACCGGAAGGAGTTGAAGAGCGTATAGAGAAAATACCTTTTCTTTGCTCTTCTCAATTAACAAATTATTATTGGTTTAAATTTAAAGAAGAAATTGAGAAATATTCTAAAAAATTTCCAAATTTAATGACTTTAGTTCAAGGAAAACATTTGGTACCTATTGATCAACGAGTAAGCGAGGATACGTCATCATTTCCATCATTTCAGTTTGAGTCTTCTATGATGAATAAGAAATTCCAGTTTGAGGACTATCCCCTTTTAGAACTTCAGTATGGTTCATTTTTCGAAACTAAAACAAATTTTGGCCTATTAATTGAATTAAATGAACCTAACAATCCATCGGCTATGCTGCAAGAAGTTAAAAAGCTCTTATCAACCGAAATTGATATGAAAAAATTATATTCCTACGAAACTCAACAAGAATACATTTCCGTTGGTGAAATAGAGAAGTTGACAATTCTAAACTATTCAAATGAATCTCAACATTCCAGAGATTTTTTATGGCAGATTGAGAGAGATATATTAAAAAGATTAGTCGATATAATTGACAAAGGTTCAAAAATAGAAACTATAGGATTAACAAATCTAGCAAAAGGTTAATTAAATATGTCATAATTAATGATTTTTCTTTTGATAGCCTTATTCATATACTGTATATATATGTATATGAATATTCTTATTTGAAGGTTTCTTAAACTTTCCGGAAGACTGCTTCTTTACAGTGGAAATTGTACGAAGTATGATTACCGAACATATTATAGACAAGTCTAAAAAGATTATTGTTATTACAAACGATTCAAGAGATTTCATAAAATTTGAACAAATATTTAATGTTGTTTATTCAAAAGGAAAGGATCAAACGGTAGTATTTTATTTATTCTTTTTAAATATAAATATAGTTTATTTTTTTAATTGATTTTCTTATAAAATAGAAATTTACTTCTGATGAAAAACGTCAACTAAATCAAGGATCTGATTTGGGCGTTAAAATAATAAGAAATAGATTTAGTAATTTTGAAACGGAAGATGTGGTCTTCTAAGTATGAACGATAATGAATATATACAGTCTTCAACACTTTTCTATCATTTTTAATATTACTTCACTTAAAGTTTTACTAAAGGAACTCTTTTTTAAAGGTTTTATTACAATGTTATAATGTATTTTTTTGCTATTTCAAAAATTCTTAGTCACTAAAAAAATCACTAGAAAATAGTTCAGAGAGCCTATATGCTTCTTCCTCTTCTTTTGTCCTTTATTTGATAAAGGTGTACAAGTAGTATAAAGTTTTCTATTTTGACCTTAGGATAATTCTACATCTTCTTCCCGTATGTTAAAACAGTATGTGTTTGGGTACGGAAAGAGTTGAAGAGTAACATTGTAATAATTTTTTTCTATTGCCAAGTGAGTCTGGGAGAGAATGTGTGTTGTATTTATCTTGAATTGATAAGGGCTCATACTCATATTTTTATTATTTTGAATACATTAAATAATTGAATAACTAATTATACTTACTATAGTAATTTAAATCATCTTATTAAGGAAACTAAGAATGAGCTCTTACTTAGTCTTCTATTTGTCTTTGTCAAATTTATCTTCTCAATGTTCAATAGTTGAAATATTTCAAATTGTATGAAATTTTTTCTTTAATAAAATATTAAGTTTACATAATTCTAAAGTCATATATACAGTATATATACGTCTTATCATGAAACAATTAATATCAAATCATGTACACACTCCAATGTCCTGCAAAGTCAGTTCAGCATATATTTTTATCATGAAATAGTATAGGATTAATAGATGTATTTTTAGTGAAGGATTCTATAAATTAATTAGCTGGTAGCTGTATTCTTTTGAGAATCAATTATACTTTCAATTAATTGTTTGTTACCGAACAAAGAAAAGTAAGATTTAAGAATCTAGAGAGAATTATCGTATTCGGAAAAAAACCATAAAATTAGACGTATAACTATCAAAAAATTATTACACTTTCTCAAATTCATCTCTACTGTAATAACATTCTCTGCAAGAAACGGATTGTCTTTTTTCTGTATCTTTCTTAATTAATAAATAGATAGATTTAGGCCAAATAAAATCAATTTCTATTATCTTTGAGAATACCAAGCAACTGCTTTTAAGTAAAAGAAATCTCCATATCTTTCCATACGAAGTACATGTTGACCAGATGATACAAATTTAATGTTATATAATATAATAATTAATAATTAAATACATCATTTATATCTTGTATAGACATATTTTGAATAGTTCATTTTTATAGATATTTCTTTGGCTTTCTATAAGAAGGTAATTGTATATTAAATATCTAAGGATATTATAGAACAATATAAGTAAAAATTTAATGTCTGACATATAAAGTATAAACTATAAGATACATGTATATATAAAGTATACATGATTAAAAACAGATATAGTAAAAGAAGGATTAAAACACTTTTATATACTGTAAATTAAAAACTAATTTATAGCTTAATGAGTAATAAAAATGTTATATGAGAAACTTTAAGTATAGAATTATACAAATATACTAATATACAGTGTATATATATATATATATATATACAGTAATACCTGAATAGGACTTGTATAGGCTTTTTATAAACTGTGCAGTCTTTTTCTCTTCCCAAAATATTAATTCATCCATATAACTCATACTTAAATACTTTGTATTTATACTATTCAAATCATTCCGATAACCAATTGTGAAATTATTGAATTCATTATCATTATATAATTTATATTTCTTGTTTGAAATTATTGGAGGATTTCCATTAACGAATACTTTTAATTTACTATTTGGATGCCAAGTCATACAGGTATGTTCCCAAATTTTCTTTTTGAATGGTATACTTGCCGAAAATTTATGAGTTTTTGTTTTAACAATAAATTTTAATGTATTATGATCTGTAGATCTAATACATATACCATAAGAAGATAGTAAACTTCCGCTATTGCATAGATAATATGAAAAATGATTTTTTAATTTAAATAGCCATAAACATAGTGTAAAACCATTTGTACATAACGTTGGATTGAATAAGCATTCATCTCTGTTATTTGATAATTGTATAAAGTAATTTAAAGTTAAATTTAAAGATTTTCCAAGTATTTTATTACTGTCTGAAAGAATGATATTATTTAAATTAAAATCGCTGTTAATTCTTGGAATTCCAGGTAAATTTTCAAGATTGTTAGTATCAAAATTCCAGAAATATGTACTATTAAAAGGATTTCCAATTGAATTCGTATAAATAGTTTTCGGTAACCAAATTACAATTAGTATAAAAAATGAATTGTTCAGGTGATCTGTCATGATTTTCATACTGTATCAATCTGGCAGTATTTTCCTACTTTATATACTTGTTATCTACCTAAGAAAATATGTTACATAAATAATTAATATTCCTACTACACGTGTCTTGAATCGGATGATGTTGAAATTTCCCTACGATGCGTCGTTTTTCCTTTCAAAGAAATCTCCTGATGTCTTGAATTCATTACTTAAACATCGTACGATTCAATTTGATTGTTATAATATATTCATTCGCATTATTTAAACTCCTAGATGTCTAATACATCAATAAAGTGACCAAATAACGATTCTATCACGAGTGATTTTATATACTTAAACGATTATGTACAGTAATTAATACCATCCTAAAGAGGGCGCCTAATATATTTTGCGACAACTCCATCTATCATTAAAAAAAACTAGTTATACAATAGTAGATTTGTCTTTTTTATAGATTGAAAGACGAGAAGAATAATGAAAGAAATACTTTTAAAATTTGATCCCATGATATATTTGTATATTTCGAAAAATGTTCTCATATTTGGAGAATTGAAAAATCTATTAATAGAAAACAACTATGAGTTAATATTCTTTGCTGAAAAAAGTTCAACCGTTTTAATATTCGGTGATGAAAATAACATAGATTACATAATTAATTGTTTAGAAAAGCATTATAATCGTATTAACATCATTTCTATATTCATGAATTATACAAATATTAATTTTTTTGAACAATATATGAAGCAAACCAATACAATCTATTATTTTACGGAAGAGAATAGCGACTATTCAATGCACTACTCAAATATCATTATTATTGGAGAAGAGAGTGAAATTAAAGATATTTTAGAAAAGTTTCAAGAGAAAAGTCATTTGAATGGAATATTTAAGCTACCAATTCAAAGTCTTACGTATTTTCTTGATTCTGAACGCTGTTCAACAACTTTAAAATCTGAACAACAGCCTAAGAAAAGTAAAGAGATTGTTAGGACGAAAATACATATTTTACATAGGCCTAATAAAGGAGATAATAATCAATGTACTATCGATAATAGCTTTGATTATTTTGGTGATGTTAATGAAAAAAAATCGGACGAATTTTATCAATTGTTGTCAAATTCTCTTGAGAATAAAGTCAATATTTTGTTAAAATCGTCATCTTCATCATCGTTATCTTCGCAAGGAGAACCGGAAGTTTGTTCAAGCGATCATCCTGAAAATATAGAAAAAGACTACGTTATTCAATCAGTTTTAGCATCAAAAAATGAATTATTACTTATTCATTTCTTTCAAGATTCTAACAATATACATGGCGATATATTAATAATTCCAATATGTTCGCCAGTAAACCATAAACAATTATATAAATACGAGAAAACTTTTCATCAATATATCGATCCTCTTGATAAGGAAGAAATCAATGCAATTTCCAACAAAGATATTGGTTTTTTTAAAATTGTCCACCTGAGAGAATCAATTAAAACTGCTTGTTGTATAATATACATTAAAGTACCAAACGATCAAGACGAAACAAGCGAAACTCTTATCTTTAAAGCTTTTAATGAAGTAACAGATGAAATTTTTCTTGAACAATACGAAAGTTTGAATACACCTATTATCCTCTCAGAGAATTTCACTTTAATGATTGCGTCATTGTTTTGCCAATGCAACCTGATTGTAACAATTCTAATTGAAGATTCCATTATATACGATCGTATGAAATGCTACTATAAAGTAAAACTACCAACTTCGGTGTTAGACGAAGAACAAAACACAGTAATTAACTTTAGTATAGTTGTTTTTATGTAATATATAATAAAATGAAGCTTTTATGCATTGTAGAGCGATTCGGATGAACCTTTTGTTAAGGTTAACTCAAGAAGAAAACGTCTGATAAGGAAATGCTCGTAATTTGCCTCAAATATTTAGTTTTTTTCTTTTTTACTGTTTAAATGAATACTAATACTATAGATCTTTTCTTATATCTATATAGACAAACTATATGCGCCATCTGTTTGAGTGAATTGAACGAAATTCAAATTCTGGAAAAATGTAAACATATCTTCTGTAAAAGATGCGTTAATTATTCACTAAAGTAAACTTAGCTTTTTCCTTTTGATAATGTTGAAAGTTACTTATATTATGATGTCTTTTCTGTTTTTACATATATATATATATAAAAGAAAGGATAAAAAGCCTGGCTGTGCAATATGTGGTAAGAAATATTTCGAAACTGGAAATCAACCTGTAGATGGCGTAATGAAATTTTCAAAGATTCATAAATCTTTACCGACATACCAGAAATATAGAACGATTAAAATTACGTATGAGATTCCTGGTGGAATTCAGAATGTAACAATAGATCTATTAAAGTAATTCAATTGTTTATTATCCTATTTGACAGATTGAGCATCCGAGTCCAGGAAGTTGGTACGACGGAATAAAAAAAGTAGCTTATCTTCCCAACAACGAGGAAGGAAAAGAACTATTAAAACTACTTAAAATAGCCTTCAAGAGAAGATTAATTTTTACCATAAAGAAAGCTGATAATTTTGAAGATGAAGATTATGTTACATGGAATGATATCGTCCATAAAACGGAAATAGAGCCCGGAAAGGATACAAAAGAATATCCTAATGATGAATATTTACTAAATCTTCGTACAGTCCTTAATAGTAAAGGCATTAAATAATGAATATTAAATCCATAAAAAAATAAATTCACTGTATTATAATCAGAATTAAAATCAAAATGATTGGTTATTTTTCAATGATTTGGTTATCCTTTTCAAGTGTATCAAAACGTAAGCTAAGAGAAAGTAGAACCAAAGTTTTTATCAGTTGTTTTTATAAAATATTAAAATGCTATTTTTCCTTATTAAGATAAGATAAAAAGAAACTACAAAAGTACAAAAAGAAGAAAAATGTTGAGGGTTGTAGTGGAAGGAGGAAAGAGGGAATTAAATACCTCGGCAATTTTTAATTCTTATCTTTGACTCCATTAGTATTAGAATTTAGTTCCTCTTGAGCCTTCTTCTCAATAGCATCCAATTCTTCGTATAAAGTGTCAACATCATTTTTGAAAATTTTTCGGGCCATCGCTCTCTTTAGCTTGAAAGTTGGTGTAAGAATATTATTTTCAACAGAAAATAACTCAGTAATAAGCTTAATAGCTTTAATTTGTTCGTATGATTTAGCGTTTTCCTTCTTTCCTTCTCTTCTCATATCAGCTAATATGACTTCTCTCAGTTTCTATTGGATAAAAAGAAAATAACTTGTTAGTTCTTATTGGTTTAAAAATCTTGATCATATACCTCGTTCTCGCATACTTCTTGGAATGTACCATTAAGTTTGTTTTTCTTTGCCCAAGGCATAACGGTTTCTTCGTCAGGTACAACAATGGCAACTGTACAAGTCTTCATTGAATCTCCTTCAACAAAACATTGAGCGACATAAGGGCTTCTCGTGTAGATTGTCTCCAAATATTCGGGAGCAACGTATTCTCCTTGCGCCAGTTTGAATATATGCTTGCATCTATCAATTATTTTTAGATTTCCTTCCTCAGTCCATTGACCAATATCTCCCGTGTGCAACCATCCATCCGAGTCGTAGGTTGCAGCTGTCGTTTCAGGATTCTTATAATACCCTTGAGTAACGATTGGCCCTTTAATGCAAACTTCGCCTTGATTATTCTTAGCGAAATATTCCATTTCAGGTACATCAAATAATTTAATGGCGCATGTACTTAAGGGTTTACCAACGTGCCCACCAATAGCTTTTGTGGCGTCATCGGTAAATGTTGCCACGCAAGAGCACTCTGTCTGGCCGTAGCCTTCTCCAAGAAGACAACCGAAAACGCTCATTGTAAATTTTAATACGTCGGCTGATACTGGTGCACTTCCTGTGGTCATACGTTTTACCCTTCCGCCTAACATATTACAGATTTTACGAAAGACTAGCTTATCAGCCCAGGTGTCTCTATTAACGATGCCATTTTGCAAAAGGGTCAATTTCTTGTTTAATCCCGCTTCAAAAAGCTTTCTTTTCAGCACGAAAGAAGCACCAACAGCGGAATTAATCTTATCGTATATTCTGTTTAGTAAACGAGGTACCATTGGTACAAAAGTTGGCTTGAGACATTGTAAATCTTCAAGCAATAATTTAGGATCATTTCTAGAATAACCAATAGAAGCTCCATACATAAAAACAAACACATGGCAAAGTCTTTCGTAAGCGTGAGCGGACGGTAAAAATGATAACACAATATCGTCTTCATCCATAACTGGCTCCTTTTTAAAAAAAATAAAATAACAATTTACACAGTAGCTTAATGATAATAAAAAAGTCTCGTACATTAATAGTTTCTAGAGAATGAGCCATTAAACCGGCACCAGTTGCTATCATATTCTTATGAGTAACAATCACTCCTTTGGGATATCCTTTCAAGAGCAAAAATTCAAATTTATTAATATTTAATTACATAATAACAATCTAATTACCAGTTGTTCCACTAGTATAAACAATAGAAAACACATTGTCCGGTTCAGGAGGTGTAACGTCAATTAATTCGTGATTCTGTAACGTTTATTATTATTTTCAATATAAATTATTGTATAGTAAGGTAAAAAATAACAAACCAATAGACTTTCGAAAGCGGTCACTTTTATTTTTCCATCATACTTTTCATTCAATTCGTTAACTTTGTCATTGTTAGTTTCACAAACAATGATCTCCTTTAGACTTGGTGTATTGTTAATACTGTCGAGTATAAATTGAACTCTTTCAATTGTATCGACAACAAGAATAGATAATTCAGCTGGTGAGGTAAGTATTTAAAAAATTTAATCATTTATTTAGTTGAATTGTATACAAATAACTAACTTTGATTAATTATAAAAGAAGTACTTTCGCTTGCCGATGTATGATAAATTGGTACCGATGTTAAAGAGAACATGGAACAAGCAAGGTCCGTTAAATCCCACTAAATTTTTTAATTAATGAATACTTATTATTAAAGTAATAATAACAATTTTGATAATTTAATTAACCTCTAAACAATTAGCTGAGAATAATCCGACAAATTTTAAATTTTCATCGTTCGATTCTGGAAGCTTAGAAGAGAAATAGGATCCGACATGTTGAGCCTTTTGGTGAACCTGTAAGTAAAAATTTTCTATAGGTTGTTATAATTGATACGGTTAGGATTAAAATCAACCTGTCTGTAAGTAAACCATGTATAACATTTATTTTTAGGAACACCAAGACATCTTTTGTTTCCGTCTAAATGGAGAATGTTTTAATGAGTTTCATATATTCTTTAAGACAAAGGTAATAGAAAGATTAGTTTGTCATACCTTGAATTGACAATCCCCTTAAAAATCCTTCATACACAGTAGTAACGTCGTCAAAGAAAAGCTCACGAAATCTGCCTTCCCATCCTTTTGCGTAATGAATTTCCTAATGAATTTAATTTCACATTACAATTCGAACATGTGGAAAAACAATAGAAAATGCTTACGTCACCCATAACTTCTTCGCTTCAAGTCAGAAGGACAAGTTAAACTCAACAATGACGTTTTAAAAACCTGTTTAGAATGACAAGTTATGTAATCGATTGAATCAGGTGAATAGCAGACAGAAAGACATTTATTATATTACTATTTATAAATTAAGAACATGTATTAGAATATTTTGCGATTGCCTATAACAGTTTCTCTAAAATTTTATGAGTTTGCAATCTCTATATCAATGCAAAAAAATGTATATATCTGAATAGTTATATTATTAAATCAATAAATTAAGGTCAAGGATTACATTTGGAAAAATATTTGAGATATTTCTAACAACAATAAATTCTTATTCTTTTTTAATTTATAAAAATCAATTTAAATGCGTTATTTTAATATTATCTAGCTTAAATATTCAAATATATGAACAATTAATCAATTTATGCAATAGAATTTTGAATCAAAATATATCTATTTACATAAGATAAGAAACAAAAGAGAGTGTATTTTTTTTACCTGAATGCTTCGGCTGCCTACGCCCGTATGTTACTATGAGGCTTTCAAAGCAATGGCATTTAACATTGAACACCCCATTTTCGGACAAAACATAAATATTGAAAAAAGATTCCTGACGACTAAAAGCAAGCTGTTAACGCTCGGTAGAAGATAGTCGTTAATTCCTACATTTTTTCATAACCTTTGCGAGTGTAATCTTTAATATTTAATATTTATTAATAAAAAAGAACGAAGAAAGAGAGAAAAAGAGTCACACACACGCGCATACACATACACACACTCCCCCCCCCTCTCTCTCTCTCTCTCTCTCTCTCTCTCTCTCTCTCTCTCTCTCTCTCTCTCTCTCTCATACTTTTATTGACAATATAGATACAGTATATCGATCCTTGAAAAATGTTTTATTGTATTCCAAAAGAACGATTTCAATGGCCTTAATAAACATTTAAAATTTTTTACTATAATATTAATAGAATTTATCCTTTTCTCTCATTCTCTCTTTATTATTTACATACTATTATCTACGTCTGATTAAATAGAATTATTTTAAATAGAACTTTTTATTCGTTTAATAATTAAAATCTTATATTAACCAATTAGCATAATTTTGATTTTATTACTATTAAATATTATATATATCAATGTTACATTGATGTCAAATATTTCCTTTGTCTTTTATTCCAGTTGATCTGTTTTTTTAAAAAAAAATTAGATGGCAAAGTTCCAATTAATCCAGTAAAAGGTTTTTATTCAATTGAATTAATTCTTCTCATATCAGTCATCTTGTTATCTATAATATAACTAATAAATAGGATATTTTTATGATATATATTCCCTAAAGCCTGTTTCTATAGTATTGTTACAGAAAATGATTGATGACAGTGTCTTCATAACTTGTTTATTTTTTCCAGGTATTGGGTTTATATGTTAACATTATTGTTGTTGTCTAAATGCTGTTTCTATCAACAACAAAAGCTTCATAGCTAAAATTTATTTCAAGTGAATTTTGATATAAACATCCTTGAATATTTCAAAATCATTAAATATTGCTTTTTCAGTGAGAAGATTGAAAAGTTTAATTAGATTATGAAGAGGATATTCCCAAGCTAAGATAATATGATAATAATAAATGAAAATGTTCATAATGATAGTTTTAATGATAAAAGTTGTAAAAAAATAATGTGTATTTACGGAAAGACTCTTTTTTCAAAATACTTTATCATAAACATCACGAGCATCGTAATTAAAATCTTTATTACGTAATTTGGTTTCGGCTATATTATCCCATTGTCTTTTTATAATTAGCCATTTTCTCTGATTTTCAATGGCACCCTTATAAAAATACGACGAACGCTTGATATATTGGAATAGTAGTTTAAAGCTAGGTATTACGTAATATTTATATATTATATATTCATTATCTGGTATTCTACAAGAAAAGCATTCATTATCGGAAATTACTCTATTACAATCTCCAAATGTTCCTCTTTCAAGTCGGCCTTGTTTAAAGTATTCGTTCGAAAAGTATTTCTACGAGTAGATACGTAAAATATTAACAATTCAGAAAGGAAGTAACTATATGTAAATTAATTGAAAATTTCCCTACCGATTCATGAATGGCTTTTGAAAAGTCTAATGTTCTATCATAGTATAATGAACATATAAGGATTAATGATAAAAATAATCTCTTTTTCTTATCATTTAATTTATCCAGTGTAAGATTTCGTTTAAGATTTTCGAGTTTTTGTAGAATAATCTCTTGATTTGATGTTTCGGCAAGAATAATTATAGATTTTATACCCGAAATTATATTATTTCTTTCGCTTTTCGTTAATTGTGCCATAAAATTACAATTATCTTTATCGACTATTGAACACAACATTTCAAAATTCAATAGATTTCTCTGATTAAAACTTGGTATATCTCTTAGAATTCTTTTCATGTCTTTCTATAAAATAGAATATAATTAATTATTTTAAAATATTTCCTATTTTAAAAACATTACACTTCGACTTTGTCTTATATAATCGGAATTAAAACCAATATTATCAATATTCAAGCAAATTGAACTCATTATTAAAATTAACAAATCACTTGAGCTATGAAAGAATAAATGTTAATTAATTATGTAAAGTAATAATTTGAAGATATTTACTCAAAGTATTCCTCAAGGTTAAATTGTTTATAAAAACAAAAAGCATTTCGACTAGTTCTAAAAGCAAAATTCCAATTATAATAGATATTAAGATTACTATCATAGGTCTCTTTAACTGTACATAAAAATCTAGCTAATTTTTCCATATCTAAATTTAAATTTTCCAATAATAACATATCTTTCATCATCTCTATGATAACCTTAAATAGATGAAAAAGATGTATATCTTATTAGTATATTTATAATCTTTATTGAATTAGAATTATTAGCGTAGAAACCTTGCAACTATTGAATAAAGGTTGTTGAAAAGTTTCATAAGTTGAATCTGAAGATGGCGCTTCAATTCCTTTTAAAACGTTTATAATGTTGTTTACTTCATCTTCTTTGTAATTTTTGATAAATTGTTTATAGTTATTAGCTGTTATAGGTTTCTTAGACATTATATTCGCGTATTGGTTATCCACTTAAGTATATTCTATTCAAACGTGTTAATATGTTTAGTAGTTGTTGAGGTTTTTCTTCCAAAAAAAGAGTTGTATCAAGTTGAACAATATGAATAATTTCATACATTTACTCAACTAGTAGATAAAATATTGTAAATATGTAATAATATGCTATTGATACTGTGATAAATCAACAAAGAAATGAAAATCTTTCTGTTTAAAAGTGGCAGTAATACTCTACAGATATATTTTGCAGAATATTAATCAATGTACCTATGACTAGGCTCATTAGTACCCTAATGAATATTCTTTTGGAAAATCCGAATACTCTGGTAGATTATCAGTTAGCTGGTAAAGGGCTATTTAATGCTACAAATATAATTAATGAACATATTTCTATGAACATCCTTCTGAAATTTAGTATTCTTATCAATGTGTTTCATGTTTCTCTTACGAAGAATCTATTTACTGGGACAGCCAAATAGTAATAGGAATATACAGGGAACTAGCAGCCCTAATAGACCTAGCAACGAAATCGTAATTCCATAATAATACTGTCGATTTCTAGCCATTGTCAACTAACAGTCTATCTCTCTATCGTAATGTAAAAGAGTATGGAAATTTTTATTTTCGATTTCCTAATAATCTATTATTCACGAGAATTCCATTCAAGCTTTTACTTCCAAATTCAAGAGAAATATGAGATATTTCATTGAAATTGATCTATATTACAAATTCTTTAATATCAAAAATAATTAATTCAATGATAACGTCAATTCTCTTTCCTTAGCTTATTGATGGCTATTTCAAAGATATAAAATGAAACCTCTGTATGGATCTAAATGAAACGATTAAAAATTAATTAATATTTAAAATATGAAATTCTTTTCCTAACTGAAATTAGAAGATTAATGAAAGAAATGATAGTATAAAACTTAATAAGGAATTCTATGCTTTTATAAAGAAGAATATTAATGGCAATGTTTACTATAATAGAAAATAAAGATAGTAGGCACAATAAACAATATACAACACTTTTTTATTTGTAGAATATCAATCTTATGCACAATTATTAAACTAGAGATTTAAAGTATTTATTTGCTTTGCAATAACACATCGTTAGTATAGCAATAATCTTCCTTATTCTCATTTTTTATTTAGAAACTACCTTGCTTACACTTTCCAACTCCCCCTTCTCTTTTCTCTATTCATTTATTCATACTCATAAAGCGCAAATCTTCAGGCTAATAGCTGAATAGCTTCACGTACTATTAAAATATCATTGTATTATAATAATAGAATAGTGTTTATCTATTAGACCAACTATCATCATAAAAAAGCCTGTAGAATCGAGTATAGTTCGCCATCCAACAATCAAAACTAAAATTTCTTTTTCATTTTACTCTATGTACTCGTAATAATATATTTAATGATAAATAGGCCTTTATAAGATATAAATATCTACGTGTTTATAGTTTACTATAAACTATATACTATTTTATATCAAAAGACAAAAAATGTGAAACAGTTTTAAATACGCTTAATCCTTAAGTAATAATAGAAATAGAGTAATTAATCATACAGTATATTTGCCTTTAATCTTTTATATTTAATAGATTTATTTCTGTTTATAGTATTCTAAAAGTTTCAAATACGAAACGAAAAGTTCGAAAAAGTTTTATATTCAAACTTTCATATTATTATTATTTATAGACTAATTCAATAAATTAATCTTTATTGACTTTCAGTAGTATTTTAACAGGAAATGATATTCTTTAATTCAAGTAATATAGTTGATATGAAATTATTAGCACCTGCTTCGCTTCTTGCTTCTTTCTATTAAATAATATATGTTATTTTTTACTATATTTTATTAAACTAAAACTCTTTTGTTCACCTGCTCTTTGCTATTGAACCATTCTAAAAATAAATCTGTGGAATCCCATTGGTTGACAATAATAAAATTTGCCGTCCATCCACCTCTCAGTGGTTTAATGTCGTCAGTTTGAGATAGGCATATTATTTTCTGACTATCAGGTAAACCTATTGATAACTTTGGCAGGAAAACGTCTTTAAATTGATCTATTTTTACTGAATCAATAACTGTCATTTCAAATATAATATTCTTGAATGAAGCTGGTAATCTTTGAATAGATAGAGTGGAAATATCAACACCATGTTGCCAATCGTATTGCATAATATCCGGTGTAGCTTGAACAAACTTTTGAGCGTAGAAAAATGATGGAAAAACAATAAGTATCATTCCATGATTCTGCGCCCAACTACAGCTAGTAGAAAGATCTTGAATCTAAAAAGAAATATAATCTATGATATGAAATAATACATTGAAAATATCATTATACATTATCTGCTAGCCCTAATATACATCCTTTATAATTTTCTATAACTGATCTTTGAGCAACAATACTGTTTCTTGCACTTTGAAGATATTTCTTAAGAACACTTATCATAACTAATTGAAAATCATTATTTTCCATATTAAAATCAGTCCTTTTTTTCTTTTTCTTTGTTTTTCTTTGTTTTTATATTATTTTAATATATTCACATTACGTTTTATTCTTTCATATTTTTTAGGCCTATAATTAATAAAATTTTTCATAGAACGCTATCACTAACTGTATCACGTGCAGGAAGTAAAAATATAAATGGGACTTTTTTTTTACTATATACTGTATATATATTTCTCTTTTAAATGTCAAGTGCTTGAAATGTTTTATAAGCCAACGCCTAACGTCTTTGTATGGAAGACAAAGTCAAACGACTAAAGACTAATAGTCATATATTACCAATTGACATTGTTAATAATATTAGTTAAATAAAATTTCTTTTTTCGCTAAAATATCAAATTATTTATGAAAAATATCCAACGCAAAAGTTATAATTTCTTAGAAATAGAATATTGAACTAATTTCAATAAGGTTTCATAGATATTTCTAAATTTCAATTAAGAAAAAGAGGCTATGAAAATTAAACTTTTCTATAATAAAATAATAAGTGACCCATTTCTTGTATAAGGTATTGCAGGCCTATTCCCTTAACCACATTTTGCGGTTTATAGGATATATATAGATATAGCTTTATCTATTTTTTTTTCATTGCTTTTTAAAGTTTTATTTAAATGATTCAAGTTTGTAATACAAACCGACTGATAAACTCTTGGAAACTGTTATAAAAATAGAAATCTTTCTAATTTAAGCTATTTTTTCTTTATAATATGACATTTCCAATGAGGAAGTTGAATTTTTAAAGAAATAGAGAAGATACATATTGTATTCGTGACACTTCAACTCAGAAACGATTGATCCGTCAAACAAGCAACTGTTCAGTAATGTCTTACATACCGTTCTATGTAAGAGAGAATTTCCTGTTTTTTTCTAAACATAAATGTACTAATTATTAGAGTCATATTTTAATAGACTTTTCTCTTTTCTTTTAGGACAATTGGAAAAATGGAAGTAATTATAATGATTCAAGTTCAAGCTATAGTAGAAGTAGAAGTATTTATCCAATGAGAAAAGATTATCAGAGAAAGCCTTCATTTTTCACAAATCCCAGAGCTTATATATATGGATCTACATTGGAAAGCAATTCTGTTGAAAGTGACGAAAATGAACAACAGCGTTGGAAGTTGACAAGAACCCAATGGATACTTTTAATTGTTTTATCTGTAATATTTATAGCACTATTATCTATCATATTTGGTATTGTTTTTACTCTGCCAGGTAAGTTTATTAAGTATATTGGAATATTTTTGAACTAATGTATTCATTTTCATTCCAAAAAACTACACTACTCAGCTTCAAAAGAAGATAAAGAAAATATCAAAAGTAAGCGTTAATAAACAAATAAATATATCATACCTTTATAAAATTATCTCTTTATCAAACATTCTTTACATTTAATACTCAGATTTCGAAATTACTATGAAAATGGATATAAATTTTGATGATTCATTATTGGATACTAATTCGGAAAAGTATCGACAACTTTCACAGACTTTGAAAGATAATCTAACTCAAGCTATTCAATCGAGTGAAGATCTTAAAAACACAGAAATAAAGAATATTACCAATTTTAAGTTTAGGTATATTCTTTACTCTTTTGAATCTCTTTTAGTTACACTTGAACATTCATTTCAGCAAGGGAAGTGTTATTGCAACATTCTTAGTCATATTCTCCACGCCTGGTTCAGATATCAGCAATATAACTCCTAATTCTATTAAAACAATAATAGAATCTACAAAAAATGACCCTTTGCTTAAGTCACTAAAGATTATTCTCGTTCTCGTAGTTGAAACAAAATTAGAAATAACTACTGATGTTCAAACAACAGAGAGAAACCCGTCTATCACGCTGACTCCAACTACATTAAAATTAACTGAACACTCAGCATTTGAAGTTTCCACAGAAAAAGTAACAACTTTAAATCAAAAAGAAACTATGAAACACACCTCTGAAAAACCAACAACAAAATTTACAACACAGTCTCCCACCAAAGTTACAACTAGAAGACCAAAAATTTCATCCACTGCAAAGATAGAAGATACCACAGAATATACCTCAAAAAAACAATCAACAAAACTTACTACACAACCTCCCACCAAAGTTACACAACCTTCCACCACTGTTTCAACAGAAAGACCAACAACGGAATCTACTGCAAAGACAGAAGAGACTTCCAAGCAGACCACTGAAGAACCAACAACAAAACTTACGACACAACCATCCACCACTGTTTCAACAGAAAGACCAACAACTGAATCTACTGCAAAGACAGAAGAGACTTCCAAGCAGACCACTGAAGAACCAACAACAAAACTTACGACACAACCGTCCACCACTGTTTCAACTGAAAGACCAACAACTGAATCTACTGCAAAGACAGAAGAGACTTCCAAGCAGACCACTGAAGAACCAACAACAAAACTTACGACACAACCGTCCACCACTGTTTCAACTGAAAGACCAACAACTGAATCTACTGCAAAGACAGAAGAGACTTCCAAGCAGACCACTGAAGAACCAACAACAAAACTTACGACACAACCGTCCACCACTGTTTCAACTGAAAGACCAACAACTGAATCTACTGCAAAGACAGAAGAGACTTCCAAGCAGACCACTGAAGAACCAACAACAAAACTTACGACACAACCGTCCACCACTGTTTCAACTGAAAGACCAACAACTGAATCTACTGCAAAGACAGAAGAGACTTCCAAGCAGACCACTGAAGAACCAACAACAAAACTTACGACACAACCGTCCACCACTGTTTCAACTGAAAGACCAACAACTGAATCTACTGCAAAGACAGAAGAGACTTCCAAGCAGACCACTGAAGAACCAACAACAAAACTTACGACACAACCGTCCACCACTGTTTCAACTGAAAGGCCAACAACTGAATCTACTGTGGATCCAATGACTACAACATATTTACATCCATGTGATAGAGAAGTCTGCAACAATGGAACGTGTTTAAAAAGAAATACGACTGATTTCGAATGTGAATGTTTACCAGGTTGGACTGGAGAGCTGTGTGCGAATGGTAATCTATTGAATTTCAATACTAACACAAAACAGAGAAATACTTTTGTTAATTCACAAAATTTATTCTATAGATACTAACGAATGTACTGAAAGTGGATTGTGCAATTACGGAGAGTGTATTAATCTTCCTGGAAGTTATAGATGCGATTGCGACTTTGGTTACGAAGGAAACTACTGCAATAAAAGTACATTATTTCAAATGCTCTTTACAGTTTAAAACATATTGAAAATGTTTTTAGGTATATTCTGTAAAGAAGAAGATCTTGGTAAAATTTTGCAACATCCAATAAGTTGTGAAAAATACCTCAACTGTACAGCAAAAAATAATCACGCTGTGGTGGATTGTCCTTCTCAGTATAAATTTGATACCATTAGTGTACAGTGCTCACCTAGTGGTGCTACCTGTAATGAACCAGGTAAAATAATTAGCAGCCTGATTTCTCTTCTTAATTTTTGCGTTATGATTCAAATTTAGTATTTTCATTCATATTCTTACACAACAGAGAAATGCACAAATGTGACTTGTAATGGTGGAACTTGCTTGTTCTCCTCAAAGACTTATAAGATTCAGTGTACTTGCGATAAGAATGCTACAGAATTTTATGGTGACAGATGTCAATATCCAAAGAAATCATGTAACGAATTAGTTTGTCAGAATGGTAAAGGTATTGATACTGGAAAGGGCTATTGTGAATGCGTATGCGATAAAGGTTGGACAAAGAAGGATGTGAAAATTTTCCCAGCCAACGATACTTGTGATGAGGGTAAAATACGCTAATTAATTAATTTTACATTCATAAATGTTTTACCCATCCAATAAAATAGATATCGATGAATGTGCAAATTTGTTCAAGTGCGGAAAGGAGAATCAATGTACTAACTTTAATGGTTCATTTTCCTGTCTCTGTTCACCAGATTGGTTCGGCAATGAATGTCACAAAAGTGTTCACTGTAATTCAAGATCTGATGGTCTTTATCCACATTACGACTGCGACAAAGCTTTCCATTGTCGCAATCACAGCCATTCAATAGAGAAATGTAACGTGACCGGCCAAGTTTTTGACCATAAAAATGGTGTATGCTTTAACCCTGGACTACTATCCTGCAATATCATTGGTAAACAATAATTTCCTTCTTATCATATTTAAAATGTATATTTTTTCAAACTAAGAGCGATGCACAAAAACCACTTGCAATAATCATGGTACATGCTCAGTGGATATAAATGGAGGCAATCCAAAATGTCACTGCGATTCATTTTACTATGGCACAACTTGCAACTACACATACAATGCCTGTGACTCAATAAAATGCCAAAACAATGCACAAATCGAAAAAATGACTCTAAACGACACATTTTGCAAATGTAATTGTCAAACAGGATGGACAGGTCAATTTTGCGAAGACGACATCAATGAATGCAACAATCAAACAATCGCTGCTCAATGTGGAGAAGATAATACCTGTACAAACACAAAAGGAAGCTTTACATGTGAATGTTCAGAGGCATGGAGAGGCGATAAATGTGATGAAAGTTGGTACTGCAACAAAAAAACAGATGGTGTCTACCGCCATACTGAATGCTCCAAGTATGTAAACTGTACAAGCGGAGTTCATAAAATAGAGAATTGCCCTATTGGTCAAACGTTTGATGTTGATAAACTGGAGTGTGTTCATTCATCATTGACACAATGTGAAACAATTGGTTTGTATCCATGGTCTTTCTATTTAAAGCTTATGTCAATGTAACTAAACAATTCAAAACTTGTCTATTTATTAGAGAGATGCAAAAATTCAACATGTAACTTTCACGGGGAATGTGTCGATAGCATTGAGACACCTCCTAATTGCACATGCTACAATGGATTCTACGGAACCTACTGTGAAAATAAACTATTGAATTGTTCAACACTGAATTGTACACACGGAACGAAAGATGTTGTGGATTCAACAGAAGATCTTTGTAAATGTCAATGTATACAAGGATACAACGGTCAGTTCTGTACAGAAGATATTGATGAATGTGAAAAGAAACCAAGTCCTTGTGGTTCAGACAATAAATGTACAAATAAAATTGGAAGTTTTGAATGTGAATGTGCAGAAGCATGGAATGGTGTTAGTTGTGATAAAAGTTGGTACTGTAACAACAAAACCGATGGTGTCTATCGCCATACTGAATGCTCCAAGTATGTAAACTGTACAAGCGGAGTTCATAAAATAGAGAATTGCGTTATTGGTCAAACATTTGATGTTGATAAACTGGAGTGTGTTCATTCATCATTGACACAATGTGAAACAATTGGTTTGTATCCATGGTCTTTCTATTTAAAGCTTATGTCAATGTAACTAATCAATTCAAAACCTGTCTATTTATTAGAGAGATGCAAAAATTCAACATGTAACTTTCACGGGGAATGTGTCGATAGCATTGAGACACCTCCTAATTGCACATGCTACAATGGATACTACGGAACCTACTGTGAGAATGAACTGTTGAATTGTTCAACACTGAATTGTACACACGGAACGAAAGATGTTGTGGATTCAACAGAAGATCTTTGTAAATGTCAATGTATACAAGGATACGACGGTCAGTTCTGTACAGAAGATATTAATGAATGTGAAAAGAAACCAAGACCTTGTGGTTCAGACAATATATGTACAAATAAAATTGGAAGTTTTGAATGTGAATGTGCAGAAGCATGGAATGGTGTTAATTGTGATAAAAGTTGGTACTGTAACAACAAAACCGATGGTGTCTATCGCCATACTGAATGCTCCAAGTATGTAAACTGTACAAGCGGAGTTCATAAAATAGAGAATTGCGTTATTGGTCAAACGTTTGATGTTGATAAACTGGAGTGTGTTCATTCATCCTTGACACAATGTGAACCAATTGGTTTGTATCTATCGACTATCTATATAAAGAATATATCAATGTAAATAATCGCTATATAACTTGTCTATTTATTAGAGAGATGCAAAAATTCAACATGTAACTTTCACGGGGAATGTGTCGATAGCATTGATACACCTCCAAATTGCACATGTTACAACGGTTACTACGGAACCTACTGTGAAAATAAACTATTGAATTGTTCAACACTGAATTGTACACACGGAACGAAAGATGTTGTGGATTCAACAGAAGATCTTTGTAAATGTCAATGTATACAAGGATACAACGGTCAGTTCTGTACAGAAGATATTGATGAATGTGAAAAGAAACCAAGTCCTTGTGGTTCAGACAATAAATGTACAAATAAAATTGGAAGTTTTGAATGTGAATGTACAGAAGACTGGAATGGTGTTAGTTGTGATAAAAGTTGGTACTGTAACAACAAAACCGATGGTGTCTATCGCCATACTGAATGCTCCAAATATGTAAACTGTACAAGCGGAGTTCATAAAATAGAGAATTGCGTTATTGGTCAAACGTTTGATGTTGATAAACTGGAGTGTGTTCATTCATCATTGACACAATGTGAAACAATTGGTTTGTATCTATCTACTTTTTATTTAAAAATTATATAATTACAATTTTTTTCTCCACAACTTTCATATTTATTAGAGAGATGCAAAAATACAACATGTAACTTTCACGGGGAATGTGTCGATAGCATTGAGACACCTCCTAATTGCACATGCTACAATGGATACTACGGAACCTACTGCGAGAATAAACTGTTGAATTGTTCAACTCTAATTTGCACACACGGAACGAAATATGTTGTGGATTCAACAGAAGATCTTTGTAAATGTCAATGTATACAAGGATACGACGGTCAGTTCTGTACAGAAGATATTGATGAATGTGAAAAGAAACCAAGTCCTTGTGGTTCAGACAATAAATGTACAAATAAAATTGGAAGTTTTGAATGTGAATGTACAGAAGACTGGAATGGTGTTAGTTGTGATAAAAGTTGGTACTGTAACAACAAAACCGATGGTGTCTATCGCCATACTGAATGCTCCAAGTATGTAAACTGTACAAGCGGAGTTCATAAAATAGAGAATTGCGTTATTGGTCAAACGTTTGATGTTGATAAACTGGAGTGTGTTCATTCATCCTTGACACAATGTGAACCAATTGGTTTGTATCTATCGACTATCTATATAAAGAATATATCAATGTAAATAATCGCTATATAACTTGTCTATTTATTAGAGAGATGCAAAAATTCAACATGTAGCTTTCACGGGGAATGTGTCGATAGCATTGAGACACCTCCTAAGTGCACATGCTACAATGGATTCTACGGAACCTACTGTGAAAATAAACTATTGAATTGTTCAACACTGAATTGTACACACGGAACGAAAGATGTTGTGGATTCAACAGAAGATCTTTGTAAATGTCAATGTATACAAGGATACAACGGTCAGTTCTGTACAGAAGATATTAATGAATGTGAAAAGAAACCAAGTCCTTGTGGTTCAGACAATAAATGTACAAATAAAATTGGAAGTTTTGAATGTGAATGTTCAGAAGCATGGAATGGTGTTAATTGTGATAAAAGTTGGTACTGCAACAACAAAACCGATGGTGTCTACCGCCATACTGAATGCTCCAAATATGTAAACTGTACGAGCGGTGTTCATAAAATAGAGAATTGCGTTATTGGTCAAACGTTTGATGTTGATAAACTGGAATGTGTTCATTCATCCTTGACACAATGTAAACCAATAGGTAATTGTATTTTGATTTTATGATGATTTTGATGTGATGTGTTGGCAGCCGTAAATTTAACTGATTATCTGTATTTTTTTATTTATAACTTTAACAGAAAGATGTCTTATGTCTACTTGTAACTCTAATGGAGTGTGTTTTGATGGTCCCGAAATATCACCAAATTGTTCTTGTGATCCACTTTATTATGGCTCTTTTTGTGAGTATAAGGCTATGAATTGTTCAACTCTTAGCTGCTCAAATGGTTTATCGGAGGTTTTGCCAGCGTCAAGTGGGTTATGTAAATGTCAGTGTTCTAAAGGATATAAAGGGCAATTTTGCTCAGAGGATATTGATGAATGCTCTGGTGAAATAGATCCATGTGGAATGGATAATAAATGCAATAATACATTTGGAAGTTTTAAATGTGAATGTTCAGAAGCGTGGAAAGGCGATGTTTGTGAGAAAAGTTGGTATTGCGATCAAGAAGTTAATGGAATTTATCGTCATACTGATTGTTCGAAGTTTGTAAACTGTACAAGCGAAGTTCATAAAATAGAGGATTGTTTTGTTGGTCAAACTTTTGATGTAGATAAACTGGATTGTGTTCACTCTTCATTGACAGAATGCAAGCCATTAGGTTTGTTTTTTCAAATTGATATATCTTAAGTAGTGAAATAATAGCTTAACTTGCGCAACTGTTTTCGGCTTTCACAGACAGATGTGATGCCAGTACTTGTAAAAATGGTGGTCGTTGTGAAGAAACAAGAAATTATGTCAAGTGTCACTGCGATAACCATTATTATGGTGAATATTGTCATCTTGAGGCCGAAACATGCAATAATCTAACTTGTGGTAACGGGAATAAGAAATCTCTACGATTAGATTACTGCATCTGTGACTGTAATGAGGGCTGGACAGGGCCGAGATGTTTAACTGGTAATAAACTAAAATCGTTTATTTATTTTCATAGAAATATAAGAGTTTTTCACTTTTCACTATGTACATTATAGATGTCAACGAGTGTGTGTTGTTAGGGGAGAAAGCTTGCTCAAATGCAGCTAATAATTGCACTAATATTGAAGGTTCGTTTACTTGCCAATGTAGTGACGATTGGATGGGTTCTAATTGCTCCGAGAGCTTTTTCTGTTCAAACAGAACAGATGGACTTTATAGACACCAAGATTGCTCTAAATCAGTTTCGTGCTCAAATCAGATTCACACAATAAACTCCTGTCCTTCTACCTGGTTGTGGAATGGAAACAGCTGCCAAAATATACCTGCAGATCAGTGTACAAATAAAGGTAATTTTTAGAATTTGAAACCTAGATAATAACTATTAAGAAGTAATAATACATACATTTGTTGTTGCAGAGAGATGTTCGTACAAAGTATGTCCATCAGGAAAAATATGTGTTGAAGATGCAAATGACTTTGCGCGATGCGTCTCTAGCTAAAAAAAGAAAAACTGATGAAATTAATACTTAGAAATGGCTAAAAACCACTGAAAGAAACCAAAAACGACTAGATTACTGTATCTATGACTGTATATATATATATATATATACATATATATATTTATTTATGTATATATAAATTATAAAAGTTATTGAACGATAGGCAAATATGAGTATTCTTTCTATATTTTGAATTGTTTATTAATTATAGTTTTATACAAGGTGTTTTTATTTGTAAGGGGTTTGTTATTTATAGTTCTCTAAATAATAAAATAAGAAATATAAGAAGAAATATTAAACGAAAAGTAAACATATTCTCTTTTTAGGCTCTTTTTTTTCATTTTCTCTTTTCGTTAATTAATAAATAAAGAGTTTTTAAACAAGAAAAAGGAGGAATGGCACTCTATTTATCTGTCTGTCTGCTTGTCTGCAAAATATAGTGTTTATGTTTATATACCGATTTAATAAGGCTCGGTTAGGTAAAATCAACATTTTAGAGTTTACTTATAATAAATTAAGTACGATAGAATTGAATGAATGAATAAAAAAAATAATACTCTCTTTATTTATTCATGAAAGAAGTGGAAATATTTTTTCTGCATTATGTAATTTCCGGTGCAGTTTCTGCTTAGTACAAGTTTATTGACTGATGTTATAAGACGAATACATATAAATGTAAATATATGTATATATATATATATATATATATATATATATATATATTGATATGGTGCTCTATAAAAACTGTCATAACTAAGACTTAAAGCAATTCATAAATGAATAATTAATATGTAATTATTATATTTCTTCTTTTGTTAAAGCAACTTTATTATTGACCGTTTACATGCCACATTACACAGAAAATGGTGATAGTCAATACTGAGTTGGTACAAGCATAAGTCGGTGATCAGCAGGCAAATTTTCAGAAAAATAAGGAAAAGAATGAAAAAAACGATAAATATATTATTTTATTATCATTATTATATAAATATAAGTTTGATATTTTCTCTTTATAATCTATACGTTTTTTAATATATTTAAATAATATAATCATTCCTATTCTGTAGCATCTCTCCCAATTTTTCATTTTTTTGTTAATATATATTTTCTGTTTTGTTCCTCTCATAGAAGAAGTGATTAATAACAGCTAACTGGCATGGTATAAACTGGTCCGGTTTTAGGATCCATTGGCATGTTTTTACGCATACCCATACAAACTTTTGAGTCAATCTGCAGACTATTCTCCTTAATACCAATATCATGCTCCAATTGAGCTCTTGTCTTCAATAGACGGATAAGAGCATTCTCAGCTCTACGAAGTTTATCCTTCAGAATACGAACCGACTCACGAATTTCGTGCACTTCTCTTTGTAGTCTATAACAGAAAAATGAGTTAATTAGATGACATAAAAAAAATTTATTTAAACTATTTACCCTTTCATTACTGGATCATTGCATAATTCAACATTGATTCTTCGAGTTCTTTCATCAAGACGAGTTTGAGCAACCTTCATTGGTCCCTCCTTGTCTTTGATAGCCTTTTTCAGTAATTCTATAGCTCTTTCCATATCACGAATCTCGTTGCAAGTCTATCAGTAAAGGACGAAAAAATTTAGTTATAAAGACAAAGAGTAAAGAGAAATACAGTATATCGGTAAATCTTTCTTTTATGTGTTTGTTCTTTTTAAGGAAGATCAATAGCACTTTGAAGAATTAAATAATAATGTTCAATTTTTGATGTTCCTTGCAAATAAACTTATAAAAAGTTGTAAGTATTAAAAAGAAAAGAGAATGAATGATAATATTCCATACATTTCTTCTTCGTTTTCAACTCTTTTCATTCAGATTCATTGAACACTTTTTTATAAAGCCTATACATTTTGTCATTGACGTCACAAAATACTGATAAAGTGCACCATATTAAAAGAGGAAAAAAAGTGAAATTAGTTAATTAAATTAATTATTATTAGTTATATTTGCGATTAATATAAAGAGAAGGGGAGGAAGGTAAACTCGGTTGCAGATTATGACATATGATCAATAGAATAAGCAATAAAAGAAATGAATAGAAAGATATTTTTACTCAGGCCAAAGCCCTCATTAATGTGCAAACGCCTGATCAATAGCCAAGAGTGGACTAGTTCGGCAATACAATAAGACTGCCGTCTATTAAATGCTTTATATATTTTAATATATGATTTTGGCCCTTTTTTAAGACCCTTTGAAAGAGAAAAAAAACTAACTCTTTGCATATGAGATTGAAGCTTTGCTTTTGCGTCCTGAGTAGATTGAACTCTACTCTGGAAAGCGTTGTTGACGTTGTTGAAATGACTCCACATTTCATTTGCACAAGCACGTAAAAGACTGTCGATTTCCCCTCTTAACTTTTCCGACATTTCCCTTTCGTGCTGAGACCTCCTAATGTTCTCTTGCGTATACTTAACCCAAGTGTAAGGGATCGTTACGGTATTGTCAACACTCTCGACTCCAGGGTGGAAACCAATTCCACCCGACGAATTACGTAAACCATACATTTTATCATCAACGTGTTGAGCATGGCCTTTGTCCTTTGCGTCTTTGTCGCAAGTGTGCTGAGCAGCTCTATTCATCTTTAATTGAACCTCAGCCTTTTGAATCAGAGCCTTCATCTTGACTTGACATCTTTTAATACAGTCAACTTCCTTCGATAGAGCTCTTTCAACATCATCGTGAACTTGATCGATTCCTTGTCTCTTCTCTCTTTGCAAAAGGCATTCTTCAGCAATGACAAATGGAGTTTTCGTATCCGCATAGGCTTTTTCCAAAACTCTTTTATGCTCCTGAATAACATTAGAAAAAATTGAACCATCTAAATATCTAATAATAGCAATACTTCATCTAACAATTTAAGGATTTTCTAATCTAATTAAGGTTTAAAATAAGGCTAGGTTTGTCCTTTTTTTAATGTTTGCAGTAGTATATCTTCATTAGTAAGAATTGGAAAATATATATAGGTATTAGAGAAAAGAAACTTTACAAAACATGTCTTTCTAGACCAATAAAACAACATGCCAAGAAGTTAAGAGATATTTCATACGATTGAAAAATTTTGTCTTAATTTCAATTCATTTAAATAGAGCAGCTCTCTTAATACTTAGGTTATTAGTTAGCGTTAATTTCAAACTCTTAATGGGAATCACCTCTAGATTTTCTGTTTCCATATCCATTTCTCTCATTTCATGTACTAATTCACCCTTCCAGTAGGCGATATCTGACACTCGATTCCCTGTTAAATAACACGGCAAAAAAAGGACATAAATTTCAAGGTTATTTGTGCAAAGGCAAATAAATAAAAAATAAAATAGTTAGGTTTGTTAAGGTGTTGATAAACAAGAAATAAAAATAGAACAACATAATTATGGTGGTGTGAAAGAATTGTTTAAGAGACCTGTAAATTGCTTATTTCTTGATCCATTGCTTGCATTTCACAATGTAATTCATGCTTCCAAAACAATATGTCTTGAACTCGATCACCTAATTAACATTTATTTACCTTTTAAGGTGAATTTTTGTCTAATTCATTAAAAACACTCAAGTTTATAGTTTAAAAATTATATATTCGTATATTTATATAATGAAAATTTACTCTCTCTTGGCATCCACTCTCTCTCTCTCCCTCTCTCTCTTTCACTCTCGTTCAAGCTATTGATTGTCATTTACTCTTTTATTTTATATTTCAAACAGTTATTCGGGAACAGTGAACAGTGAACGACCTCTATTCTATCGTTGTCCACTTACTAAATTAAACTATAGTGTTAAATGCCTAGCTCTCCATAGTTTATTGATTGTGTTTAGGGTTATAAGATAATTGTTTTAATGTGGTACTGTAATCTACACAAAATGAAAGCTATTCTCTAAAGTCAAATCGATTATGTAAATATATTATAGATCGAAAAGAGGGAAAAGATTTTAACACTTGATTATTTTATCTAAATTATCGTCGTAAATTTACTAAATTCTTTTTTGTCTTGACAAGTAGCTTATTCTTTCTTATATATAAATTTACACATCGTTCTATGCCTCTCTCTCTTCTTTCTACGCTAATCTTTTTAGTTCTATGATATAACTGCTATTATCACATAATAAACCTATCATATACATACAAATACATTATCTTTCTTCATAAGTTCAATCTTGAATTATCCCCATTCATGCAATTCCCTCTCGTTTACTAAATCATACGAAAAACGTTGTAAATAAACTATTACGTATATGAATTTACAGTAAAACACTTGATAATAAATTTTAATAGAAAAGAATAGACAAAAGAAAAGTTTAACATGAATATTAAATTTTCATTATTTAGACACACTCTATAACACAAATATTAATTTTCAACAGATTAATAATGAAAGAAGTTCAAGTAAAATAGAAACGGAAAGTGAGAGGAGAAAATGGAATAGACTAGAACAAGGATATAATTAAGACGGTATGGAGAATTTACTTTAAATAGTTGTGACAAACTGTACAATATTCAAACATTGTTTTAGAGAAAGAGAGAGTGTTTATACTTTATTTCCTTATTATTAGACAGTATATTAATTATTTATTAAAATCTGTCTATTCTATTAAACAAGTTTACTTTTTTTCCTTTGCTTTTGCTACTTCTTTTATAATTAAAACAAAGTTTTTAAATATTCATGAAAAAAAAAATCTTTGAAGAGAGAGAGAGAGAGAGAGAGAGATAGAGAGAGAGAGAGAGAGATAGAGAAAGAGAGAAAGAGAGAAAAGTTTCTTCTTTTCTTTTTTTTGGTTTTCCTTTCTTTTTTTTTTTTTAAAAAACAAAAGAATGATTTTTGTGAAAAAAAAAAAAAAACAAATGAAAGACATTGTAATTTGTTTTTTGAAGTTTTTTGTTGTTTTTGTTGTTGTTTTTGATTGAAATTTAGTGGTACTTACCCAATTTTTTTGTATTTGCGTGTTGTCTGTTCTTTGTTCTGGCATCTGTAGTTTTAACTGCCCTCCACATATCAGATCTAAGACGTTCAGCGACGTTTCTTTCCGATTCGGATAGGGAAAAGTAGTTTTTGTTTGATTCTTCCCATTCTTTTGTTGAATATCTTGAATATAATTTCTGACTGGCCGGATTGTAATAGGTTCTAGCGTGGCCAAGTCCTTTTCGGTCTTGGCTTGCGCTTAACAATCTCGACATGTCGTTCATTGAAACTGGCGTCGCAGATCGGGTTCTCATCACGGGAGACGCTGCGTAGTAGCTCGTACCAGCGGCCATTCCTCCTATGAAAGTGACGCTTTAGTAACTGTTGCCTAGGTGAAACTTATTACGCATTCAAAGAGATGTTTGCGCATTATAGGTTTACATAGGAACCATTAAAAATTCTTAACTTTATATAGTGATTCATATAATTGAAAGTTCCTAAGCTAATCTATTTCTAATGCCAACGTAATAAAAAACACATTAAATCTAGATTTATTCATTCCGTTTTTTCTTTCAATTTCTAAAAGAACTGAGACAAAACTTGAATATTTCTAATCTTCTTAACAAAACTATGACCTCATTTTAGCAAAGCTTGCATTAATATCTATAAAAATAGATAGGAAGCTTATCTATGTTAACGAAAATATTAATAATTAAAAGAGTGGAGAAACCTTTTCTGATGGTTGCCAAGCTATAAAAGGAATACTAAGAAACTGAAAATTCAAGCGTAAACTGTGGCTCATTGAAAATTTAAGTATTACTGATCGTTAAAATGATTGATTACATACGTAAAGATACGTTATAATTTGTATTTCTATGCATTTTTGAAATTTAATTATATTAGTTTATACAGTAAATTTATATATAAACATAATTAGTATAAATATTAATTCATACAAAGAGTTAAAGCCTAGTTTGAGAAGTATGAGAACCTTCTTTCCAATATAAATAAAGGTCTAATCTTATCGTGTAGAAAGAAAAAAAAACACATATATATATATATATACACATATACAATTTGTCCAGTAAACCAATCAATTATTCATTAAAATTGCCGTTGTCTTTTATATAAAAAGATAAAATATAAGGGAGACTGCGAAAATATACCATTTATAGAATTGGAATTATATTACAACCTCTATTAAAACATTCATTTGTTGTCATGTTACTTTATGCAAATTATTAAATTGTTTTCTATTCAATTGGCACGTAAAATACAAATTAGACGCCGTCAATTTTTAAATATAAATTATTAATAACTGATATAAAAACTAGTATACTATTTAACAAGTTAGCTATAATTTAAAATTGATAATTAAAATAGTTCAATACACTTTCCCTATAATGCCATGATAATATGTTTGTTTGAATATATAACAAAGTATTACCTTATGATTGAAAATTTTTGAATATTTTAGATAAAAGCGGTCTCTTTTATAACGGTCAGTTAATAGTAATAGTAGCTAGCTAGCTATATGTGTTATCTTTCTTTACCAACAGAAAAAAAAAAAAAGAACGTTTGATAAGAAAAAAAAACTTCAATTCTTCTGAGTTTACCTTAATTGAAAATAATTTGAAGAATGCCTTCATTTTCAATCTAATCTAATTAATTGACATATCAAAATATACTACATTCTATTACATAACTATTAATATATTACATAGAAATAATATTGGAGCGCCACAGTCTCAGTTGCTAAGTAACTTATCTCCAAGCTGCAAAATTTTCTTTTTTTATTCTCTTGTTTAACTATTTAATTTATGATTTAGCTCATTAAAGACAACTTTATAGATTTCATTGTAACATTGCCTATTTTTAGAATATTTTGCAACGAAACACGGAAATACTTTAAAAACATATTCTTTTACCTTTAGAGATATTCGTCCAACACCTATGCTCAGACTTAGTCTAGTGGTTACTAACGAGATATTGTGTTTGACGCCGCTAGATGGCGATCTTTAAGAAATGTTGATTATCGATATAATTGTAGGAATTAATCAATAGTTCATGATATAGTTTGGTTTATTGATTTTTTTGCCAAAAAATGTCTACAAATGAAATAGAAAACAAGTAGATTTAGTTACTCTATACAAGGACTATTAAAATTTATAGACAACTTTTTATTTAAGTGTTCAAGTCTTTTATACTTGAGAAATATTAAGTAAATGTTTCAGAAATGTATAATTGAAATATCAATATAGGCTTAATAAACTTCTTTTTCTTCTTCATCCTACCACCCACGCTCCTCTTTATTCCTTACCCTTCCTCCTCCTTCCACTTTAAATTATAAATTCATCGGATTTTAAGCACTTTCAAAAAATTCTTATAGGATTTTCATAGGCTTAGTTTGACTTTTGTATTTGTCATTTACAAAGAAAAGAGAGCCACTTTAGAAAACAGGTAAGCGATTCTTCGATAGTCTCAATTCACTTTTTGCTGCATTTACATCCGTTATCATACTGCATATTGCAGGCAAATATTGAACGATAAACAATGCATTGGTATTGTCTTTCGTATACAGCCTATATACTTTTACTTTTAGCCTATATTAGAAAAAAAGTCTGTAACAATACAATCAAGTTAAGCTAAAAAGATTAACTTTGAAGGCCTATTATACTTAATATTTTACTATTCTACCCTTAGACTTACTGATTTCCACCATCTATTAAAGAATTTAATAGGTTTTCTCCTTTGATCTTTCTCTCTCTATCTCTCGCTCTCTGTCTGTCTGTCTGTCTGTCTTTCTTTCTTATCTGCAAATTAATACTATACTGCAAAAAAAAAATTGAAACAGAGACAAAGAAGGAGAGATATCGCTCTTTGCTAATTACAATAGAGTCTCTCTTTTCATTATATTGACTAGTATAGGCCAAACTTTAGAAATGACTGGTGGAGAATACAAACAGGAAATTGTAAATTACGATATAATTACTGATATATGCCCAAAAAAAAGCGAAACCTCCAATGAATCTGTTGCACTCGAATAGATGGATTGTAATAATAAATGTATAGATTTTCTTAGGATTTTTCATACGATTGCTGGATGCTTATTATTTTTAAGTGGAATTTATCTCAACAGCAAACAAATTCTCAAATTTGCTTCATCAACTTTTAGTTCAATTTCAAGTTCGAAATTTTACATCAGTTTAGCTGCAACAGACTTATTAACATTAACTATTAGCCTAATTTACGATCTACCGTTTTATTTGAATATAAAATTTTCAAAAGATCATATAAAAACATACTTAAAACCGGATGTATTCTGCCAATCGCTCTATTATCTACAATTTGTTTTTGCAACATGTTCAATTTGGCACGTGGTAATTTTAATTACATTTGAATTTATTTATAAAAGATTACCTGGAATTGAAAAGAAATGGTTGACCCAGTACAAGACATGCCTATATCTACCTTTTCTCTATATCTTCTCGTTAGCCTCTACTTGCTACATTCTTGATGAAATATATTTCTCGAATGGAATTTGTATAGGTCCAATTCATAAAGGAATATATTTCATCATTATTAACTACATACCAACCTGTTTAATCATATTACTATTAATTGTTATATTTATAGTTCAAATGTTCAGTAAGAAGAGGATTAGATCTAGTGATGAAGACAAACTGTCGTACCGATATTATAAAAGGCTAATTGGAAGAGTTAGCATTGCTATTGCAGCTTTCCAAATAGTTATGACAACACCATACTTTATCTTGACAAGAGAGGATGTACTTAAAAGGATTGACCTTGAGAACAAACAGATTCTTTTAGCCTCCTTACGTTTGTTATACTTGTGTAATTTTTCTTTTAAGTATTTTATATATTACATAACAAGTAAAGTAGTTCATTAGAAGTTTTTGCTTGTCTTTAATACATGTATAGTAAACTGTATATATGATTATAAATGACAAATAGGAAAGGTAAAAAGGCAAACCTACGTTTGAACTATCAATACATTAACGATATAACAAAGCAATCGATTAATTCCAATTAGGCTACCCAATAAAAAACGAAGGACATATCTTTAACATTGCTCTATTCTTGTATTCCCTTTTTATTCAATTTAGTTAATTTGAGTAGATATATAACAATAATTATTAAAGCATTTCCATAATAACAATATCAAGAATTACACTGTATGAACGTATATTCACTTTTCCTCTCTCTTCTCTCTCTCTCTCTTTATCTTTTCAATAACATAGAACAGTTTGTATTCACTATAAATAAGCTATATTGTACTAATTAATTAAATTTATTACCCTAATAGCATAGTATTTATACAATCTATACTTTTTAGAAACATGCTATAATATACTTATACTAGATATGAGTAGAGACAGCTTTTGTATTATAATCCACTCAATTACAGATCAAATTAATTAAGGTAAAATATTAACTAAGAGAGGAGTGGTTGATTAAAATTTTTTGATAAGATCACCTTTACATCTTATTCTAATTTTCCTTGATTATATCTTCCCTACCCTTCCTTCTATATTCTCTCTCTCTCTCTCTCTCTCTCTATTTATCTGCCTGTCTATCTGCCTCTGTCTCCATCTATCTTTCTGTGTTAATTAAATAGATACATTAAATTTCTTAAACCAGCTATAGGTATTCTTGTCAAAATTCTGGTTTAATCGAAATAAAATACGCCCATCTAGGCTGAAATCAGTTAAGTATTGTAATTTAATACCTCAATTAAAATTATTCGGTTCCCTTAAGAAAATTAAATGAATAAGAAGTTTTTACAATAAAAAAAAAGAAATTAATTCCAGTTTATTTTCTTTTATCACTAAGCTTCATTTTAAAATATACCATTTAATAAAAACTTAGATATACTTGAACGCCCCCTTACGGTAGTTTCTTTAACCTTTTACTAATTGCTATAAAACACATATTGTATACATTTAAATATTTTATATTTAAAATTTTGGAAGTAAAATCCGTACTAAAACATAAATAGACAATATTAACACAGATAGCTGGATGACACATATATATATATATATATATATATACTGTATATATATTACTAATATATTACTAATATACTGAATGAATAATTTGTTAATTAAGAATGATTGATAATTATTTTATAAAAAAAGAAAAGAAAGAAATATCCTTTTTTTTACATGTTTTCCTTTTGATTTTCTTGAAAAATGATCTTAAATATTAAGTTAAAGAGATTGATATGCTCTGGATTTTATGGTAAATATCCAAGAGTTGTCTCCAAATCCAAATCCCCGAATGTTCTACCTTGATCTGCACTCTCAGCTAGTGGAATTGCTGGTTCTATAATATCGTCATAGTCTTCTTTTGGAAATATATCATTGTCTGGAGGAGTTGGAGGACGTGGTGCTTCAAAATGTTTCTCTTGTCTTTTAGTTGGTGAAAGATAGTCTTCATCTTCTTGACGCTTTTGATTTTCCACGTTATAATAATCCTCGTCCTCCCTTCTTCTATCATTTCTATTTAAGTCTTCATTCAAGTAATCTTCCACTTCATTATCCTGCTGTCTATTTGGCGGTATTCTCCTTCTGTCTCTAGACTGATAAAGGTCGGCTTGTCTTCCATCATCAACCGTCATATTCTGAAACCTATTTCTCTCATCTTCTAATCTATCTCTTGAACGATGTCTTCGTTCTCTTGAATCAGAGCGATTATTTCCAAATTGCCTTTGGTTCCTTCCTCTTTTGTCTTCCGGAGGATCTCTAGAGTATTCCATTCTTCTTCGATCCCTATTCTCATCGGGGTATCTCCTATTATCTCGCTCTTTTGGGTATTCTCGCTCCCTTCGTGTTGTATTCTCCACTTGCCTATCTGGAGACACATCATCGAGCCTGTCTCTCGAATGATTTCTGCGTCGTCTATTCTCCGTTCGATCATCTCTATCATCTCTGTGATCTCTATCGTCTCTATAATGAGCATTTCTCGAATGACTTCTTCCATGCTCCAATTCATCTCTTGACTTATCTCTCCTTCTTCGATTATCTCTTCTTCCGTCATCCCGAGCATGTCTACGTCTCCTCCGGTCTTCGGGATATTCCTCCCTAGGTTTAGAAGTATACCTTGGAGGTGGACTGACAAATCTTGGATCATAATTGTGATGTCGCTGTTTCACTGGTGAAACACTTCTCTGTCTTCGATGTCTGTTATCGTCGTCGTCATCATATGTTGGTTTTCCTCCATTGTATATATTGAAATTTCGTATGAGTTTATCACCATTAGCATAGAAATAACCATGTTCTGGTGGTTGTTCGTAAAATTCAGGATTTTCCTTTCGGCTATCAATCTCGTCAGCCTTAATTAGTCTGGTTGTATTAAATCTGGGTGAAACTGGTCCATTGTTATCTAGTCTCATCATAAGATCTAAAGGAGGTAGCTCAGTTGTCCAGCCTTCTTTATGGCTATAAGCATGAGTACACGCTTGAACAAGAGACATTGCTGCTTGATCGGATTTTGTGATAAAACCGTGGCATTCTAAAACTTTTATGCCCTTCATTCTTCTCATAATTGATGCAAAGACAGGTGGATGTCCGGTGTTGACACCTTGCGAATCGAGAGAAACAAATTTAGCTTGTTTTTCTCCTGTCGCTCCATTAACTACTATAACAGCCTTAACAGCTGCACATACATGTAGAGTTGGGATCGGAAACCATGTAATATTTGATTTATCTTCGACAAATTGCATTAGTAATCCACTGGAAAATACTGTAAGCCAAGTATCAATTCCCTTCATTTCACCTTCACCAACAGGATATCTGCATACAAAGATATTAAAAATATAATAGAAACAACAAGTAAATGAAGTTATAATCAATAATTTAAAACCTATAGTAAAGATTTAATTTCTTTTAAAGTTCATTCAACTATTCTGGAAGCCATTGAATTCGATCTTTAAAATGTTTAGACCTATCTACGAGGAATCGAAAGACGTAGTAAGAAGAGTGTTACTGTGATGTCTCAGATAGGAAATATTTGAAGCCCTGCCTTAAATCATTAGTCATTGAATAAAAGAAAATTTTGATAATTTCATGTCTTTCCTTTACGATCTAGTCTTTAATAATAGACTTCATTTCGGTTGGTTTATATATATATATATATACAGTATATATATATAGATATAGATATATATAGAATACTCGTAAATTCCCTTTTTTCCAATAGCTAGCTTTTAATTGAATGTTGTAAAACTCTGAGACTGTCACCACTTATATTTCACAATAAAGAAATAAGAAATGATAATTAAGAGATGATACTAACCTTTCCCTTAGAGGTTGCTGAACAGCCTCTAGTCCATTAGTTGTCTCTAAAGGTACAGCCGAACCCAAATAGAGAACTCGACATTTAGCCAAAGGATGGTGCTTTCCTATTTGAATATTCGTTGGAACTCCTACTACCGAATGAGCGGGGGGAGTCGGTTGAACTGGAACTGAAGGTCTCGCCAGAATGTGTTCAGAAGCAGCAGTTGATTTGACAGTTCCTCCAGGCGGTAATATTATAGGTTGGGGTACGGCATAAATGGGTGTGGCATGTCCGTTTAACACATCAGCTCTGGCTACGTGCAGATGCTCATCGCCCAAGTCGATATTAGCTTCCGATGCTTCAGTTGGTGGAGCAGGCACGGGTACAAAGCCCATAGGAAGCGTATTTGAAGCGATAATAGGTTGTTGATTAACAACAGGAGGTAGTGGAACAGCATTTTTCGCTGCAGCCTTCTTCTTGACCATGTTTCGGCTTGGTGTTTTACTGTTTAGTGTAGGTAATTTCAATACGCCTTACGCCCTCTAGTCATATTCAATCGAGTGGAACGTCACGCCTCGCGATACTGCATATATGGCCTAGAAGGAAGATCGATACGAAAATATTATTTTTTTAATATTCATTCAAATAGTTATATTAAATATAAAAGGTGGAAGAATTACTATTTCTCCATTCTTCTCCCATGAGTCAGTTAGTCACGACTCTTTAATGCAAACTATTTTATTTAGCCTTTTTTTTCAATAAGATAATTCTCATTTTTCTTCATTTCTCTCCAAGTGTACGTGTACATATATATTATTGTCTGTGTTTATCAGGGTTTCTAACTTTATCTCTCAATATAAAGTGAATTTTCCCTCAACTTGACCAAGTTAAAACAAGTTTGTCAACAGTTCCTTCACTTTCTATACTAATATAGATATACCATAACAGTATTTTATTAATAAATCTCTAATAAAGAGAGGTAAATATAGAACAAGTAGATAGTTATATTTATAGTATGTTTGAGAGATTACGTAAGATAATTCTTCCTTTTATCCTTGTACAAACTAGCCTCTTTATATATATATACAGTATATATATATATATATATATATATACTGTATATATATTCTATCAAATAAAAGAATGACAACGAAGGCCCTTTTTTTAAAAGTATTTTCATTCTATAGCAATTTTAATACTGGAATATTTTTAAAAAAATTCTTTATTGGTAATTTATAACTTAAGATAATAATATATTGGTCAAAAAATACGAAAAAGGTGATATATAGGTCAAATTGGTTCCAACAATGATAAATCAATTTCTATTATATTCTAGAAACACCTAATGTCAAGTTATAAAAATGTTCTTTTCACATAAACTTTTCAAGAATTTTATCTATAAATATTACAAATATTTTCGAATTTCTTAAGTAAATAAAGGTGAAGAAAAACAGCACTGTATCAATTACGAATTTCTAATAATTAATACTACTAACTTTGTTGTTCAAATATTAAGTTATTTGTTATATACAGTCTTTATCTTGTAAATTATCAATCAATAGACTCTGGTTGAAATTGAAAATTTTATCAGTATGGCAACGCCATCTGCACGATTAGTTGTGAATTAGAATTTTCTTCTTGCCTTTAATTATTTTCATTCGATTGTTATGAATACATTTTATTAGAAATTGAAATATTCAAATAAATTAATTGAAAAAAACATGGAATAAAGAAATAGGTCATGAATATATTTCTGTATCTATTGATAGCGTATACACTCTATTAATATTCTGTACGCTAAAGTTTATACAGATGATTTTACCATTTAACACCAAAATATTAGTTAATTAACCTAGATATTAAACACATGAACAAGCTACAATATACGAGAATATCGATTTATATTCTATCGACATAGAATTAAGCGTAAATTCTCTTTATTCGATTATTTTTTAACTTGATGGCAAAATTCAATATTTAGAGATTTAATGACAGAAAGTAAATAGGGTCGTTTCCTTGATCAATATTGAACAAGTTAACAGTCTTTTTTCTTTTATCCCAAAGACCAAGACAGAGAAAAAAGAATGTCCAAGCAAAAGAATATTTACAAAAAGTTAGTTGAAAGCTTTGTTACAAAAATTTTTTCCCGTTTCTCTTTACTCCAGCCACCTCTTCACCTCTGGTAATTGTAAAGAAAACGGTGAAAGTAGGAAAAGATACAACAGCGGTCTATCAAAGAGAGGGATTAGTGATGCAATTAGCAATAGGAACCTACTTTTTTTTGAACAATTTTATAAAAAGGAATTCCATTACAGAAGTGTTTTGGAGTAATTACAATTCTAAACTCTGACTTGTATCATTTAAGAAAATATCTGAGAGAATACTATCTCTCTCTCTCTCTCTCTCTCTCTCTCTCTCTATTTAAATTGTAAAAATAACAATTACGAGTTATTTCAAAAGAGAGGAGACTTTTATGCAAATAATAGTTCATTTATTCAAGATTATTGTATAAATAAATATAAATATGTATTATTTTGATTATATATATTGTATTTTCTCTGTTAGGATTAAAATAACTATCTACGTATCATTTAGATTGACTATCTAAATGTCTATCTCTTTCGGTGCTTCTTTATTCTCTTCAATATTCTCTATGAATTAATTATTCTAAATTTAAAAATACAAAGATTTTTCACCCTTAATTTTTCATTTATTTTTACATTTTAAATAAATTTACTTGAACAAGTGTAATGTTTGTTATAAAAACAAGTAGTAAGAATGTTCGAACACGTTCAATCCAGGGTATTTTTTTTTAAAAAGACAAGAAAATAAATGACAAATAGTTTTTTTTTTCTATCAAACGACCCTCTCCGTTCCATTTTACTTTTTTTTTTAAATTAATATTCAATTAACTTTTAATGGTAAAACTTGTATTTTTACTATTTTTAAGCCTAGTTTACTCATTTTTTACCTTTTACCTAAAGACTATAAAAAGAAAAAAAGAATTGAGAAAGAATTAATTTTAAAAAGCAATTAGTTTTCTACTTTTTAACGGATGTTAACGCCAAAAAAAAGTGTTACTTGAATTAAAAAATAATAAAAAAGGAAAATATAGCGAATTGAATGATTTATGATATAATTTTAAAAAGTATTTGAGATTGTTATTCTCCTCTATTTCAACGATAATCATTAGAAAACTGTAGGAGGTAGAATTCCAAAGAGGAAAACTAGCGTGAATTAAATAGTTCAAGCAGTCTTGAAAGGCTATAGATTGTCATTATTTCTTCTTAGATTATAAGGATCTAGCCAAAAGACGACAATAGGTTTTTCTTGTAGATTAGACGCCTATTTTTTTTATTCTATAAACATATTTTATATCTGATTGAAATGTATTTAAAAAAAAACAATAATATAGAAGCTAGAAAGAAAAAAGGAATAGAATGATTAAATGAGATCAAAAATATCCAACTCATTAATCTTCCTATCTTAAACTTATGGGATCAATAAAGAATACGGGATAAAAAGTAATCGATTAGCCTTCTTATAGTCTCTATTTAAAAGACCAAAAAAGGCTATTGAAAACTCTAAGAACTATAATAATAGAGATATTAGAAATAACTTACAAAGTTTAACTATACTATACAAATAAGATTATAGTTAGTAACTATGTAACGTCTAATCCGTCATTTAATAAACGTCTCCTTTTATTATCCTTGCAAGTGTCAACGAAAAGTTTAATAAGATCATTTCCTGTTTAAGAAATTATTCAAAATAAAGTTTATTTTAATATGATATTATTACTATTTAATAAACGCTTATAAAAAAAAAAGAATTAAAAAAACACCTGGCAAGCGTCTCTTTTCTTTAAAATAGATATAGGCTTAGTCTTTTTATCGTCCAATTTAAAAGTAGAATATTAAAAGTATATAATACTTGCTTCTTACTCTTAATTTAAATTTGACATTCTAATGAGACTGTTCTATTGAAAACAAATTGCCTACTCAATTAATTAAATCGCGACTAATTCGATCGAAAATTAAACAATGACGTCATTTTTTCAAAGAATCCGACAGAGGTTAAATAAGGTTGAATAGGATTGAAATAGTCTCTATCTATCGCTTTTCAATTATATGCATTAAAATAAGCGAAGATATTAGAACTATAGAAAAGAGGAAATTCTTGGCCTTAAGAAAGTTATTTAAATTTACTCCAGACACTTACACGCCCGCCTTTAAGAAAATCAAAGAAAAAAAATAACAGTCAACGAAAGTAGATAGTCGTGTAAGAAAAAGGCGGCTGAGGCAATTTCAATACTGCCACCCCTTTTCGTCTTAAAGGAGTTGGGCAGAATAGACTGGTCTAGTATTGGCTCGTTCCACTTGGCAGATTGTTTGAACACCAATACTCAACTCTGTGATTTGCTTGAATAGGCACGGACAAAAACAGAGGATATAGGCCTAATCCGTACGAAAATTAGATATAATTTTTTAAAAATTTTGTAAATAATATTGGAAAGATGAGTAGTGATCCGAAATTAGCAACTTTCCTACTAGAAGACGTAGAGAAACAGGTTGTTATAGCTTCGTCTGGCAACGATGGTAGACTTTCTGCAAATTTAACTATGTTAGCCGGTCAAGATGGGAGTGTAATGTGTGTACTAGCAAACTCAGATGATGATGATGACAGGAGCAACGATAAAGGCTTAAAGAGGAAGTCGCAAGAAGGTGATAAATGCGGTAAAGGTAGGATTTTTTCTCACTTATTCACTTCTCTGTCCCAACCCAAAAAAGAGGATATTCGTGGAATGCCTTCATGCTAAAGATATTCCCTAAAAAAGTTTCTTTTTTTACCGGTTAGCCATATTTTTAAAAGAGAAATTCAATTTGGATGTTTCATTTTCTCCGTCTTTCTGTTAATTTTTGTCTTTATGTAAATCGGTATAAATATTAAATGTAGGCGCGTTGAAGTTGCCATTGTATTACATACACAGGTGTGCCACGGTTGGCCTGTCACGTCACGCATAATGGTGCCAGCATGGCGCTTTTATAATGTCCCTTTTGGCTATGTATGTAGGATCTTCAGGAATTTTTTCTCAATTTTTTTAATCTTTTGCACAGTTTTAATTTCATATAGTAATTTTTTTTTTGCATCTAAAATGATGGAGAAAATCTCGTTTGTTCGTCCATCTTAGAGCTTATCATTCGTATAACAATGGTAATGTGTGAAGAGTCGTTTAAGAGTATTCTTATTAACCAAAGTACGAACCATTAATACTTGAAATCACTAATGAAATCAAACACAGTTAATTAATTTAAGAAACTTTTACTGAGCAGGTTTACCTAATTTGCATATTATACAAGTATAATATATATATATATATATATATTTATATCGCTTTTCTTCACTCTTGAGATAAGAGATCAAAAAAGTTTTCTCTATTTGAAAAAAAATGTTAACCTCTTTTCCATTCAGGTCAAAGTGATCTACTTTCATATTGTATTGATTGTATCGTAACGCTTTTGTCATTGGCCGACTGAGGTGTTATAAATACAGCAGATGGCGTGATAAAACTTGTGCCGACACCTAGTGAGTTGGAAAAGGAAAGGGTTTTCGTTTGGTACACTTGCTATTAGCTTGTCGCAATTATGTAACTTTATCTCTCAAGTAGAAAGTGTTAGGTAAAATCTAAGTCAATTAAGTCTACTTAAAGTGTTCACTTAATTACGTTAATTGAGTAGAGAAGTGTGCCATGGTTATACATTTATTCTTAAATAGCATCTACCTTAACTAAATACCTAATAAAATACAATTTTGACAATAATAAATATACCATTGTGACTGTTATAGATAGATTTAAACAAAGGAAATTACACCAAAATAAATACATCACCTCATTTGAATTTCTATAAAATCGTAAAAAAATTTTCTGACCCTCTTCCCCTTTTGTCCAAAATTAAGGTTAAAGGTTACATATGACACTTTACGTAATTTGTAAAAAAATAAAAAAGAGAAGGGTCATCGTTATTCATAAAGAGGAAGAGAGGTGAGAGAGAAGATGAAGAGAGAAAGAGAAAGAGAGAGAGAGAGAGAGAGAGAGAGAGAGAATTATAAATCCACCAGACATTAAATAAAATATTTCAGAGCACGGGGCATAAAAAGTAAAAATAACAATTTTTCTTTATAATTTAATAATTTCTCTTCCAGAAGAACATTTAACAAAAAAAAAGCTCTTATCCCCCCTCTTCACAATGTTAATAATGCATGTATACCGTATCTATCAATATAGCTTAAAAAATATAGTAATATAAATAATTAGATGCATACAGCATATAATATATATACTGCATATAGTACATATTTGTATACATATATATATATATATATATATGTATTTAGATGTATTTAGCTGTCTATACAGAGAGACAGATACATTTCTGCAACTGTTTAAACATAACTGCAGACAGCTTTAAAAAAATGTATTTGTTATAAAAACTAAAAAATAAAAAACAATTAAAAAATTCATAACCTTTTTTTATTAAGAAACATTTATGAATTTTTTAATAACAACGTCTTTTTTTATGTATAAAAAAATTAATGAAAGAAAGAAAGAGAAAAGAGAAAAAGAGACAGAGAGAGAAAGGAAGAGAAAGAAAGAGGGAAATGAATGACACTATGACATATAAAAAATGAATTAATATAGAATGATTGTTGTTTTTTATTCAATTTAACTTTTTTAATTAAATTATTTATAGGATGAAATTTAACAGCAAGTTTAACGGTCGTAAAAGATATCTAAATATAATATACTGTATTGTTCTTATTTATACTTTAATATGTTTCGCAATATAAAGGTCAAAATTAATAATTGTTTGGCGCTGTTATATTTGTTATAAATTAGTTAAAATATCTGTATTTGTAACAAATATTCGACAAAAGATTGATTACTCTCTATTTCTTTTAGGTGAATACGAAACAAAATATGTAGCAAACATGAACATTAATTAAACATGAACAAGGAAAGGTCGAGCTTAACTGTTTGTCACTTGTCATTTTAAACGTTCAATCAAGTTTTGTTTCAGTTGTTGTTTTGTATAGTTTCCTTGTTTTCATTAGAAAAGACTGGTACAATTGTATAAATATAAGTATTAAACAAAAAGATAGCTAGCTAAAAATGGAAATACAGCAAAAATATAGCTATAGAATTAAAAGTATAGATTTGATAAAGCTTTCTCAGCATGCAAATGCCCTCGAAACGGCGTAAAATGGACAATGCTTTCAAAGGTCATATTTAATAACAGTTTGTCGATTGTCAAGCTTTAGTTTATATTATTTCTTTTTTACGTTTAACTATATTGAAAGTAAAATAACAAAATAGGTAAATAATAATAATAATAGTGATAAATAGGAAAGGAAAAGAGTACAAAGACTTGAACAATTGGAGTATTTAGGATGTAATTATTCGTAAAAGTTGGCTGAAAAAAGAGGCCATATGTAGTTTACATCAGTAAATTTCTTATTTCTATTGAAATATTGGAAAGTAAATGAATAATTACCCTAAATTTTAAAATTTCAACCATTTAAAAAAGAATAGACATAACATTATCGACTAATGACTATATAGAAATGTTGAAACCTTTGCCTTCGCCCCAATGCACACTACTTTTTAAGATACAAACCAAGCGAAAAAACTCAATATATCTTCTTTAAAACTTCTAAACTAGACTCTTTAATGGGGTAAGTAGGATTCGGTCACGTGACAGAAAATTTAGGATAAACAAGCAAAGAGAACAAAAGTTTCTTTTAAAGTTGAAAGTACTCTTTCAGATATGAGAGTTTATTTGTTTGCAACAAATTTGTATTTTGTTTATAAACAAAACGGAAAAAATTGATGAACAGAAGGAACATTAGCGAATCTGCTCACGACAAACTCAAACGATGATCGGATAATTAGGGGAACAGAAGCATTCTCTTCTCGCTCGTTGCAGAACGCAGACTAGCCACGTTAGTTGTAGTTCACTGAACTGCAAAATTACATTATTTTACCGCGCTTTTTCACCGAGTTTTGCTGCTCGATCTAACGCCTAGTAGGCGACAAACTATCTCTAAAATTCGCACATGTAACTAAACCGATAAGTCTATAAATATTCTAATTGTTTAATCGCTTAAAACCGACGTCATTTCGAAAATGTATACAATTTTAATACAATTACAAAAATCGTTTAATTAACTTTTGCGTTATATCTGAATATCGTCATCGACATATTTGTTTAGAAAGGGGAAGGGGGAGAGAGACTGGAGTGGGAGGGAGGAAGAAATCGAGTTTTTTAGTAGATTACGACGGGGGGTTTTTGGAGAGTATAATTTATTTGAAGCCAAAGTAGCGATTCCTCTTATCTGAGCTTCCATAAATCACTAAGAATTGACTGTAATATATACAATACACGAAGCTACATGTAATTGAATGCATATACATAATTTCCTCTTTAACTTCCCCTAAGTATCGGCTATCTCGCAAACATAAAATCATGAAAGTCGCAGGTGGAACTGAATGAAAAGGTACTTGTTTGTCTAAACTGTGACAAGCGACTATTTTAGAAAAATTACCGCGAGGTGTCATGGCAGCTAATTTAAGCGTTCGGGTCGTGTCGTTACTGCTTGGGAGGCTACATCACTCAACGAGTTTCCGGAGAGAATGTTTCCCGAAGGGAAAATTGGTATTTTCTGTCTAGAATATGATAATACATTTACCATTGAATCGTTTCCATGCAAATGATATTTTTGTATAAGTATTACAGCTTTGATAAAGTTTCTACGTAAAAAATATTTATTCAGACAACCGCAATATTTGCATATTCATTAACTAGCAAATCTTGATAGGAGGCTTTCAACATAAGATTTGTGGTTGAATAGCAGATAAGCTCGCTTGTTTAGTCAATCCATTAAGTTGGGCTAAAGTGAAGATGGGTTATCGCCAAATATTCTACAAACTTGTCCGCGTTGCGTGTTTAGAGGCGTGGCAGACTGAATTAAGGGAAAAGATGCCCCCCCTCCTGTACACTTACCAACTACCTATAAAGGCCTACTAAAAAAAGCACGTGTAGTTAAGTGGCGGGATGAACACTGCTGGTTTCTTCTTTCATAGTCCATTTCAGCTCTTCTCGTGCCTAACGTGTCAAGATTCTTAGACCTTTATAGTGTAAAACACGAAGGCGAAACGTCACAGTTCGTTTACTATGGCAAAATGCTATACGCCGTATTTTTTCACGCCGAAATTGAGTTTAGGGGCGATGCTGGCGGGGGGTTTATTACAAATGATTAATGAATGTGAAATATTTACCCATTTTACTCTTTTTTTTTCATTTAAACTGCCATCCCAATTTCCTTATTTCTCTTTCCATCTCTTCTCTTGGTTCATTGACTTTTGTTAATCACCATGAGACATTGGAAAGAGGCAAAGGGGAGGGGAAAAGGAGGAGTATGAGAAAGAAAGATGGAAGAGATCCTTAAAATTTATTTATAGCACCAATTATCTTCCATCATTTTAACTTTTTCTTTCTTGTTAAAGAGGATAATTTATGCAAATTCTTTTTTATTCATCTTCAAGTTGTTTATTACCTTAACCACTTGAACCTCGTAATTCAGTAGAATTAAGTTTACAGGTATGATTAATTACTTTACAGGTATCGTAATGTCTCTTTGTCCTTTTCCCATACGCACGCACCTATACCATATATCTAATATTTTTTACACAAAGTATATGCTCTTTCTCTCTTTCTGTCTTCTCTCCTTCTCTTCCCCTCCCTATTTTTATCCTTCTAT